TAGCTACCTACAGAGGAGATGGGGGATCGACGAGAAGATCAAGTCTGAGGTTCCCTGCCTCAGACCCCCTACTATTTATACAATTACAACGGTGCACAGACCAGGTACCTATTTGTCCCTGCTTGGTCAGAGTCTGCTGACTCGTGTCCTGTCTCCTGACCTGTCACATGGTGTCCTCATGACTAACACCTGAGTCATGCCAAGTCCGGACTCCTGCTCATGAGTAAGCGCCCCCTGCTGGCATGTAGGTCACCTGTCCGTGAGTGAAGATGGGCGCTCCCGGACCCCTCAAGGCCCTGGGTTCGATCCTGGCTCCTCCACTTTCCGATACGAGTTGTCCGTGGTCGAGGTGAGCGTCTGTCCTGGTTCACATGACCCCCAGGTCACGTGGCACGAGAAAACTGTGACATCGACCATGCGCCGCCTGCTGCTCAGTGAGGGTTTCACCTGGTCTGAGCATCGGAAGGCAATCTATTACGATGGCCATGAGCGACCTGACGTCTTGAAGGATCGGAAAGAGCGCTTTATCCCAGCCATGTTGAGGATCCGTGAGCGCCTCGTTCGGTTCAAAGTCGGCGCAGTGGACATCAAAATCAAGCCCGATCCTGGGTCCAATGGGATTTTCATGCAGCCTCGTCTTGTGCTCGTTGCGCATGACGAGATGGTGGCTCAGGCGCATGACGGGAAACATTGGAGCTGGCTTCTCAATGGGGAGTCTCCGCTCAAGAAGAAGGGACCTGGGCGGGGATTGCATCAGAGCGATTTTATCTGCTCGACAGTTGGGTGGCTTTACGAAGCGAGTGTCAGTCTGGAGTATGGAAAGAACCACGAGGGCTTCTGGAACGGCGAGCTTTTCTGCAAACAAGTACTTGTTACAGTTATCCTTGTTTCCGAAAGAGATGCTCACATGCTATTTTTAGCTGACTGAGAAATTCTTCCCGGCATTCAGGAAGGCACATGGAGATGGGCACATTGCATGCATTCTTGTCGACAATTCACAGGGCCACTCAGTATATGCCTCGGATGCTTTGCGAGCATCGAAGATGAACATGAATCCGGGCGGTGCACAGCCTCGCATGCGAGATGGATGGTACCTACGGGATGGTGAGAAAGTTGTGCAGCAGATGAATTTCCCGTCCGATCATCCCGAGCACCCCAACCAGCCGAAGGGGATGAGGGCTGTTCTGATGGAACGGGGGTTATGGCAGACGAGGCTTGTCATGAAATGCAAGGGCGGCTGCCAAGAAGACGCTGTGGAGTGTTGTGCCCTGCGTATTCTTGAGCGGCAACCAGATTTCGAAGCCCAGAAGTCAAGGGTACAAGAGATCATCGAGAACGAAGGTGAGTTAACTGACCATAATTCACAAACTTGGTCTGAGTTGCCCATAGGTCATATGTGCATATTTCTGCCAAAGTTCCACTGTGAGATTAACTTCATAGAGTACTTCTGGGGTGCAGTAAAGAACTGGCTCCGGGAGAACTGCGACTATAGCTTCGAAACACTCCGGGAAAACATGCCGAAGGCATTGCGGTCGGTTTCACTCGAACTCATCCGAAAATGGGAACACCGTGCCTGGAGATTTATTGACGCCTATGCAGAGGGTCTTGGAGCGCGGGAGGCACAACAAAAGGTTAAAGAGTTTAGCTCGCGTAGGTACAAGTCCCATCGCCGTGTCCCAGAGCAGTTGGCACAGGCGATGGACGTGCTATAGTATTATGTAATCATCCAATTACTCCTTTGGGGAATAGACGCCGGTATCACGTGCTTTGGCGGAACTGGCAAGGTCGTCTTCGGCAGTTTTGACCCAATGGAAAATTCCCTTTGGGGATCAGTGTCTCTGTTCAATTCCCTGCAATTGACACATAATGGAGCGATTTCATGAGCATTTGGAGGACTTATAAGGCGGCGCTTAACGGTGTACAAAAGTGGCGGCGTTTAAGTGAACTGCACCATAGCTTCACTCTTGGTTATCATCTCGTTCCCTTCGACATCGCCTGCTGTCGCTGCGGTTGTCTGTACACGTACGACGAGTCTTATCAGCTCAGCCGATGCCAGCAAGACAAGGTAGGCTTGATACTTGCGGTGCGCACCTACTATTCCCGTTCATATACCGTCCTTTCGGTCAGGCTTCCGCTCCACATGAAGAGCCTGGGTGATGCTCCAGCACGTCTCTGTACCCTCGTCTCCATGAGTGCCATTCTCTTCCTACATCGCTGTCAGTAGAAGTTATGGGGCGGCATAACTGGGAGTCGGAGTGGGGCCAACGCTTCGATTGAGGGCAATGGCATGGTGGCGTTTGGCGAAGCCTGCAAATGCTGTCAGGAGGCATCCGGAGCTGTCTGCAGATCATCTCACGCTCCCCTGCTCCGGACACACGCCCCCCCTGACTTACAGACAAGCTGGTTCTTCTAGGAGCCGAATTAAGCTACTACGTTCATGGTGATTTAACGGAGAAATGTCACGGTGGGAGTCGCGCCGTTTGTTCATTCCGGGACGCTATCCGTTGTCCGAAGAACATATGTTTTGCATGTTTGTGTTCTGTCATATTTTTGCTCTTGATACTCCGCTCGTCATGACGATTCGGACTGCGAGCAGGACCGGAAACCCGAGAACAACACAGACAAATTCAGCACAAGCACCGTTGGAGTACGGAGCTCGGAGACGGTTCTGTCTGTGTTCATTTTGCGTGGCGAATTCGGACGTCACATGCAGGAGAAGGTTAGTGATCGTTCCTCACGCTGCCGACCCTTATCCTCACTATTACCGTTTCCCGCGGCCCACACGAATAGCGAGGGTTACACGCTATCAATAGGTTCCCCATTGTGGCGACAGCACTCAAATTGGATTGTTGAATGCCAAGCCGCGGTGTGCCGCGCGAATGCACTCCACTCAATACATGGAGCTTTCAACCCCAGATCGTCGCTCGTCGCTCGAACATACGACATGCGGCACAGTCTGACTTCGCAGGCGTGCCACAGAACCATTCTCAGCACACGAGCAAGTGGATACGGGATGTGTCGTATGTCATCTCTTCATTCGAAAGTGACCGCGAGCTTGGGCTGACCGTCGTGCAGCACGGTCCCGTGGGGTCAAAACGCTGTCGTGTTCTAGGGAGACGGCTTCGACAGCGATGCTGCCTTTTGCTCGTGTCCCCGAGACTCACACGACGTGGCCCTCTCGTCGTCAGGCGGGCAGAGCACGCGACCCCACATCATGGTCTTTTGACAATCGAGTTGCCTTCCAGTGCGAAGACTTTGAAGCAGGACCCTCTTCTCATGCGAACTGCCTCCCGTGGCCTCTTGAGTCGTTGAGTCGAAGACGAAGTAGACATAGACGATTGGTACGCATCGCTCTCTTACGCCTTCGAGTCTCCACAACACACACCCCGTTCATTTACCATGCTATGTACGAAGTGCTGCTGTGGCCCGGCTGACGACGAGGCTCGTTCTCTTCCCCTTCCAGGCGTCCTTCTCCACAACTTCTATCGGCACGCTATCTAGCGGTTGAATCTCGCGTCTACCACCCTTCGTGTTCACAGTTCTATGCAGTGCAGGGCATTCAACGTGGCGAGCACTGCGCAGCTTCTGCGACGCACGCAATACGCCCACGCCACCCCATGCCGCTTCTCAAAATTTGCAGATTGATGAGGGGGAGGACGTGCCACGGGGTATGTCGGATTCGTGTCTTCGGAAGCCGACCTTCCTCCGGGTTCGACCGTGGCGAGGCTTCTGTCTTGTGCTGAAACTTAGGAAGCAGCACCTGCCATCTTTCACAGGTCCGCACGGCGCCCTTGCACCAAATGTCGGCGCGAAACTCCATTCTTCACTCGTCGCTGATGTCCCGCTGACCATCACGTATGTCGAGGAAGTAGATGAACTCGGACCCTACCCAACGCAATTCCACGGCATCGAGAGTCTCGTCTACGGTGGCTTCCATTGCAGGCAAGGCTGTGTATCGCTATAGTAAGCTAACCATGCACGCAAAGATGTAGAACTTCACCTCACCTTCCCAGCCGGCTTGGGCACCATTGGCGGCCTGAGATCGCAATACAGTACCTTCAGAGGCGCCGAAGCGCTCCTGAGTGGTTTCGAGTTCTGACAGTTCACTGCCTTGGTTCGCCATCAGGAAAGGGTCTCGACGGGGGACAACATCAGGGCCGGTGGTGTCCGCCTCGGGAAGAGTAGTCCCATCCTCGATGCCGACCACAACTACTGGGAGGAGTCAACGTTAGGGAAAAACATATGCGTTTGCAGTACTGACCTTGCTGGGCAGACGGTGGGACACCTGTGTTGTCCACTTCCAGGTCTACTAGGTTATAGTGTTGTTGAGAGGGATGATGCGGTTGGTGTCCGCTCTGAATGCTAGGGCGAGACTGATTCACACTGGCCTGATTCTGGTGCAGGCTATGAGGAGATGCTGTGGGATGGTATGTCTGAAGAAGCAGTGGGACGTTGGGGTTTGATTTTTGCGATTGCCCATAATGAGCGTGGAACGATCCATACCACTGATAGAAGAGAAGGAAGACCGCTGTTCTCCATGTCTGCCCTGTTGTCGATGGCATCGGAACCTCTGCCGTCTACTCTGGTGTTCTGACATTTAAAAATGACAATCTGAGCACACTTTCCAAGTTCCTGCACTGCAATACTTACCTGGCAGACTACTCGCTGTGCTACTGCGAACATCAAGTCGATGACACGGTGGACCTTTCAAAGCGTAGTGTAGATCTTGGGTTTGAGACCATGCGATTAGTTTGGCTTGGCTTGGCTGTCTTGTGATGGGTACGAAGTATCGGAGTTGCCTCTAATCATGGTGAGCAATGTATCTATACTGCTGGGAGGGGGGGAAGTAGAGACCTCTTATTGATGCACCGTTTGACTAGGTAGTGGTGCGCCGAAACCACGCGGTGGACAGATGTGGCCTTGTGCGCAATGTCTGTTCATTCCCGGGAGTGAAGTGTCACCACAGCCTCTGAGTCTATAACTGCCAGTCACAAGGCTCTGGATCTGGCAGTTGATTGGCCGAGGACCGTCGACTATCTCAGCAAAGACGGCATAGATGTCCACCTTTGACTGAACCTTAGTACACGAGCCGTTCATGATCAACAGCTGGCGCTGCAGAATTAGTTTTATCTGCAGATTGCCAGTATGAACTTGAAGTTGGTCCTTGTAGAGATCGCAGAAGGCGAATCGCGATCAGCACTCAGGCTGGTAGGCCACATGTGGTCATGTTCTACTCGTTTCTCCTCAGACATCTGAGGTCTCCAAATCATCGCTACGGACATGACTTACGGTAGAACACGAAATATAAGGCCACGTTCGGTACGTCGGATAGGATCAAGATGGGGTTAGTTTACCAGCCAAAATCGCCCTAGCCGCTCAGCGATGGGAGTGGGTCCCCGAGCGGCTACGGCGATTTTGCAGGGAAAACTAAAACTATCCTACTCTAACCCGAGGTACCGAACGTGGCCTGAGTTCGCTACACACTGCTACGAACGAATTTGAAGATACACACTTGGGTGTTCGTCCCCAGACTTGCGGGCGTCCTATGACGAACCCTTCCTCGACTGCTGCAAAGCATTTTGTTGTCAATGATAACAGCGCCACCGATTGGGACATGCTTGTCGATGACCTGGGGACGGGAGCTGTTGTTGTTACAAGCAAGGCAGGCGTAGAGGAACTCGTCAGACACGTTTAGTGGGATTTTGAACACATTTCTTGCATACAACAGATATGTGCATAGTCGTCATTTGCATGTCGCACGATGTACATATGTCCGAACAGACTTCGCAACCGGTCAAGATCGAACAAACATTGCACATCACATCGCAGATTGGCTCAGTTCCCACGCCGCAGACAGAGGTGCCGGGGCCGTTCCTTGTATCGCGTTCTTACAGGCTACAATAACAGTCCATGGGATATCTTCCCTGGAGGATAGGCAGGGAGAGAACGCAGCGCAAATAGGCGCAAAGTGACGAGAGCTAGTACTGCCAGTGCCACAGCGCCTGATCTCGACCGCCCTTGCATGAGATAGCCAGTCTACGCTGCTGGAGTTGCGGTGAACAGATCACTCAGGTCGGTAATCTTGCGCTCTGACTGGTCACTGGAGTCGGAGTGGAAGAAAAAACTCGAGCTCAGCGTGGTAATCTTGAGTGCGCACGATTGTCGCTGAATGTCTCATGATCCTAGTCTCGTTCCCATCCGTTCTAGCGCTTACAGACAGTACCGCTAGAACGTCTGGTGCATTTCGGGCTCGGCAGAGGGCATTGTGACGATCAGTCACACCACGTGGGCTGACTAATGGCACGTGAGGGCTGTCGACACCGCATCGCGCGAGGTAGTCTCGTGACCAGACGTTCGGAGCTCCAAGCGGGAACGAAAAATCGGAGGTTCCCGAGCACCTTAACGTCTGGTGGCTTTACCCCCGTGACTCCCCGCTCGGTGACCTATGTGACCTCCCTGCCCTCTCTCCGGGAGTCCGAGCTGTCCTTGCGTGCGCGCCTGCATGCTTATCTCCCGCCATCTTTGAGCTGCGCTGAGCCTACTCTGCACTACTTATGATATCTGCAAGCAGTCAATCCCCCTGTAATCCTCTGTCTCTGTTATAGGCAATACACTGTGACTTCTCTTTGTGTGCGCAACCCGATAACATAATGTGTCTGAATTCAGGAGTGTGATGCACCTATTGCCGTGTCCACTGATGCCCGTCACCTTGGGCTTGTACCCCTTTGAGGTTTCCTTCTCTTCTATGGGAGTATCATCACTCAGATCTGCACTCTGTCCAGCACCAGAGTAATATCACCAGCGGTGGTTGAACTCCTGTCAATTCCATCACAGGTTGTAGCGGGTAATTTCGAGGGGGGCAGGCATCATGGGAAGAGGCATCCTTAGCAATGATATCATGCATCTCTCGCAGGGTGCTCTACAATACGTGTGGACGAGCGCGCACCACGCAAGGGGTTCATGGTCAGTAGCTCGAGCGACTGCATGGTCGTCTACAGCAGGCCGCCACATCGCACACTGAGGGCGACCTCCGGCTTTCTCGGACTGCCCCAAATGGGTGTCGATATGTCACACAGGTCACCGAGCGGGGAGTCACGGGGGTAAAGCCACCAGACGTTCGAGTGTCCGGATGCCCCCGATTTTTCGCATCCGCTTCACACTCCGAACGTCTGGTCACGAGACTACGCGCGAGGCTGTTACCAAAAGATTGATGCCTGTTGTGTTCATGTAATCGATACATGCGAGAACGCGATCCTCGAGAGACATCCCACCAGCCTCCATGCTGTTGCTGAGCGCGCGGGTGTAGTTCTCGTATAGTGTGGAGCGCGCATGCGTGCGAGGAGGAGGGTCGGCAAGGGGAGGGGGTGAGGAATCCACTTCTTCAATACATGAGTCCAGGTAATCGTCAGGATCAAATTCCCCGAGATCATTGTCGAAGGCTAGATATTCATCTTCCGCAAGCATAGTGGAGGTATAGTTACATGCAGACAGAAGAACGAGTGCGCGACATCGATCCCTCCGTCCCGTCGTGCGCCTCCGATGTGATGTTGTCACGTATGTAACGACGGACCATGGACCGGTGACCCGCCTGTCACAATGCCCTCTGCCGAGCCCGAAACACACCAGACGTTCTAAAGCCTCTCTCCCCCGGCGCTCGTTTCCCCCCTCCAGATCTTTTCGAGATTCGTTCCATCAATTTCGCCTTCCTGTTTTGGTCTACTCCCTCCCGAGGCTTGCGGAGCGCAGCGACGCATCGAGTGCTGGGGCAGAGAGGCTGAAGAACGTCTGGAGCCGAGACTATCATGATCCCAGCTCGTCTACATAGATTCACCTGTCATCTTTGACGCTCATCTCCGCCGTGTACAGATCACGAATAGTGAGTGATAGAGCGACATGTGAGCCACCACGGGATGTCGATGTGGACGCTCCTTCGCTGCGCATTCCCAACCGGACGTCTTCTTCCTCTCGAGCTTGGCGCGTATGGAGCATAGACAATGCCGAGCTCGTAGAGGAAGAAGAGCTCTCGCTGATCATTCTATTTTGTCCCCGGCCCCTTGCGGCTTGTCCTGCACGCCATGCCTGTTCTTAATCCATTCGGCTATCGGCCCTGTCAATCCGAAAAGTGAGTACCCGGTTCCGATGGAGAAGTCCACTGGAAACCTTGACCAACCTCTATCTTGCATCGTGGTCCGGCTTCTGGGCCTGTCGCACACTCTACGGGCAGCCCATCGTCCTCGTCGAGCGGCATCGCTTGCACTAGTGAACAGGTGACCCAATTCTTGCCCGAGTGGTCGAGCGTCTACGGGTGCATCGCGGATGGTTGGCCGCAGTACCAAGAGGTGGGGACCCCGGACAGGCCTTGTGTAAGTACGTGCGATGATGGCTGCAATAGTGGCGTAGCGCCGGCGGATGTGACAGAAAGGGGTTCCCATCAGTCGAAGGCCCGGATTGCTGCCCTCGTTGAGGAAAATCGATATGCACGCTACTGACGTAGGTTCGGCGCAAAGTCCTCGCTGCGAACGGTTCTTGGTATGAGACTACTTACCGACGGAGCCCTCGGACTCTACCACAACACTCTCGGTTTCGACACGGCACCGGCAGTCTCCGAGATCATCCTGTACCTGAATCTGCGGAGTGCGGTGCAAGTTGCACTGAGAAGGCGGAGGCGGCGATTGGGAGCTCTCCGTCATACCAGCGAACCCCATTTTAGAATGCTAACATACATGGACGGCTGTGACCCACCTGTGTTGCATGGCATCTTCCGTCAGGTTGAAGAAGCCGCAAGACAATATGAGAACAACTTCTCTGCTCACCAAGACGCAAGGCGGTGAGTATATCTCATACCATCTACGTCCATCTAGTAACCGCCTCTGTCTCTCAGGTGGGCAATTCCGTGCATCCAGTCGTTCGCGAAGTCACTGGCGGCGGACGCGACACGTCGAGTCTTCGACAGTTTCCGGAAGGCACGACGGCTAAGAGAGAACTCGGGTGAGCCGTTCCCATGCGCAGTGCTATGTCCCGTCTCAGGGCCGTCGATCTGTGGTCAACGACCGTCGTTAACTACGTCCCCCGCATTTTTCGTCAGTCGCCAGTTCGAAAATCAGCGTCTCAGGATAAGTCTGTCCAGAGTGCGACATTCAAGTTAGCGATGGGGTGACGTACACTAATTCTGCTGTTGTTGTGACGGCTACCAGCAGACTGACCGTCGGACTCACGGCGGGTTGTTGGGGTGGTGAGCATGACGTATGCGCGTGATGCACTACTGTGCATAGTGGAAGTCGCATGACTGATCGGGGATGCTTAGTAGAGCTCCAGCACAATAAGTAAGCATTCAGAGCCGCCGGTGTTTTAAACCGAGACAAGGATTCGAGGGTACAAGATGAAGTTCCAATTTGGTGAACATGTGGCCGCTGACCTATGTACGCACACATGGGAGGGCCAAATTACCTAGGCTATTCTTGCGTCGCTCAGAGTACAGTTACAATCGTCCGGAATTCGAGGAAAGGTGGAGCATGCGGAGTGCCAGACACTCCCCTGGAACGGCCAGGTATCAGTCGACGCGATATCGAGCGATCGCATCTCCACTCCGAGCCTCTGTTCCGTGGCCCGGGCTCTCGCAAAAATACATACTCTCTTTCTATTGTAAAGCGATCAACTGGCGATCGTGCATCATGCGCCGACCGGCAAGCACGCGCACGTTCATATCCGAGAATGCAAGTGATCATCATGTCTCGGGTTGCCGCAGGACGACCTGTGGTTGAGATAGTAACTCAACAAGCGACGAAGCGTGAGCGTTGTCGGTTAGTATGGCTCTTGCGCTGCCGCCGCCTGAGATGCTTCTTTTCGGCGCATGCAGACCTCGGATGAGGCGGGGGGACGAATCTTCGAACCTGTTCTATGTTCCCTTAGGACGCGAACGTCGGGACATACGAATGGGAATGGGGCATGGGATGCAAGCAGGGAAGAATGCTATGAGTTCCTCTCTCCAGCCCAACCCGGCCCCTATGACCGTCTCAACATATATTCCTGCTGAATTGTGGTGAGCACAGGATGCACGAGTACATCATATAACAGGGGGTAAGGAAAGTACGTAGTTGGCTGAGACTGTGTAGTCTGGCGAGAATCTATGACTCTTCTTAGGCCTAACGATGCGATATGAGGGATGTTTTTCTACCACCCCAAGATACCCGACCTCACTGCCTCGAGGTGGTTCGTCCCGCCCGCTATGTACCCGACTGCAAGCATCCGAGATGCCGTTATGCATGGAGCACTGCATTGACAATCAACCTTTTGATGAATCGCCGCCAGCAATTTGATAGAAGTCTGCTAGCGGAGCGACGAATACGTACCTAAGTCACTAAAGGCACGTCTGCATGGTATGTGCAGGAAGGCATCTAACAGTGAGGTGATTATCTCGAGTCTTTCGACTGATTCTATCTGTATCAGCTGCTTTAGCTTGCAAATGCTATTGACATGCAGAATGCACTGACCTAAGTAAGCATCTCGCAAGTGGTAGCGGAGCAACTCGTCGCCGAGCTGATCAGCTGCGTTTGGGCGCCGCCTCGTTGTTTCACTGAGGCCAGACGGCATGGCTGCTTGAAGCCTTTTGTATCCAGGTGTCCGAGGTCCTCGCAGTGCGCCACTCCCGGGCGTCTGAGATAGCTCTGCGGTGTATCAGATATCTTTCACGACCCTGCAGTCGTTGCCTTGCGTTGTGTCCGTAGACGGCATATTATGCAAAGCAGCGATACAATAAGTCGTCGAAAAGTGGTGCAGAAGGAGAAGGCAAGAGGCACGGGGGAGGGCGCCGAGGGGGCAGGTAACGGACGGGCGCGTGCGAATTGTAGACGAGCTTAGGAAGAATAATATGTAGTTGGGCCGGGATGTTCTCTCCGCCGTCGCTTTCTCCCTCCTCCTCTCTGTCGTGCCCATCGTCGTCTCCGTCCTGAGCGACGATGGCGTCCATAACTCAGTATTCACAACATCCGTTTTTCACACATCTCGTCGCTCTCTTATCTGTCTACGAGCTTGGTCCTGCCCTCCCGACGCCCATTCCCAAATATGACGGCCCGACCGATTGGCAGATCGAGAGCATCCTCCGCTCTCTCGGCGCCATGGCGCGCCGCATGTATACCGCCGAGGAGGCCCTGAACGCCATCCGAGATGCAGAGAGTTGTGGGCCTGAGTCCAAGAAGCGTCGCAGCGTCGGCGACAGTCCCTTCATATCGAGCTCTGGCTCATCCCACACAGACAGTTCGTCCGCAGAGTCTAATGGCTTTGCGCACCGCTCATCGTCAGTCTCCCCTTTTTTCACCCCCACGAGCTCAGTCGAGAGCATCCCCAGTACCCTTGACGACTCTGTCAAGGACGTCGAAATGTCCGACAGTACGAGCGAAGGCAGCTCCGGGAGCAGCCAGCCTACTCCGCGCGCTCGTCACCCCCACGGCAACACCTCCAGCAACGGCAACCTGCGCACCCCGAACGGCATGACTATCAACCTCGACGGCGTTGTGAATCCTCTCGACAAGATCTGCCGGCCCGTTACGAATGCCACCTCCGCGCCCCCCTCGGTCCAGGCCGACCATGTGTCGTGCCCCGGTTGTGGTAGAATTATAACGGATACAGCCACGATCTCCAAGATCGTCAACATGTCTACAGGCGACGTCTCCTCCCCGCTTGTTGTGCCCCCCGGCCCGCTCGCTGCCGCGGCGTTCGAGAGCGGAATGAGCGCGGTCGACGAACTCAAGCTTTTGAAGACCCAGGTCCAGGATGTCGCACGCGTCTGCAACGCCGTTGCGCGCGGCGACTTGTCGCAGAAGATTACGGTGCCCGTGCAGGGCGTGGTCATGATCCAGCTCAAGGACGTCATAAACGCGATGGTGGGTAGATCGGCCTTTGCGTGCCATAACGCCCTGACGCCCGTCCCCCCAGGTTGACAAACTCGGACAATTCGCAAAGGAAGTCACTCGCGTCTCTCAGGAAGTCGGCACGGAAGGGTATGTCCTCATCCCTCTTCGCTGCATCTTCTCTGGCGGAGTTCCACGCGCACCGCATGCTGACCAGCCGTGCAGCAAATTGGGCGGACAGGCACTCGTTTTGGACGTCGAAGGCACATGGCGCGAGCTCACGGGCGTCGTCAACAAGTTGGCGGCAAATCTCACAAACCAGGTACGGTCTATCGCAAAGGTCACTAAAGCGGTCGCATTGGGCGATTTGTCCAAACAAATCGAGGTCGACGCCCGCGGTGAGATACTGGAACTCAAGAATACTGTCAACGGCATGGTCGTCCGGCTCAGAGCATTAGCGGCAGAAGTCACACGGGTCACAATGGAAGTCGGTTCTAAAGGGCAGTTGGGTGGGCAGGCGCACGTACCGGACGTAGAGGGAGTATGGCTAGAGTTGACGCGGAATGTAAGTGTCTCCCGAAGCGCTGATTTTGATCACGCTTGTGCTCATATTCGGGATCCGCAATGGCTGGCCCAGGTGAATCGGATGTGTTCAAGCTTGACGGATCAAGTGCGGTCGATCGCGAAGGTGACGACAGCCGTCGCGCGCGGAGATTTGACGCAGAAGATCGACATTGAGGTCGAGGGCGAGATGCTCACTTTGAAGCGCACCGTTAATTCCATGGTGGACCAGTTGAGCGCGTTTGCATCGGAGGTCACCCGGGTCGCGTTGGAGGTCGGTACACAGGGTATCTTGGGCGGCCAGGCGCGCGTCGAGGGCGTGCAAGGCACCTGGGCAGACTTGACCAGGAACGTCAACGTACGTGCTTCGCTTGTTGACTTATCACTCGCTTCGTTGCTCAACCCGGCGATGGGTACAGAAAATGGCAACGAACTTGACGGACCAGGTACGGTCCATCTCGGAGGTCACGAAGGCCGTCGCGAACGGCGACTTGAGTCGGACCGTCAACGTTGACGTCCAGGGGGAGATGCTTGACTTGAAGACGACCGTCAACCAGATGGTGGCCCGGTTATCGACATTGGCTAGCGAAGTTACTCGGGTGTCATTGGAGGTAGGAACCGAGGGCATCATGGGTGGTCAGGCTTCGGTCCCGGATGTGCAAGGCGTCTGGAAGGTACGTCTCATTACCTCGATCAGGCGCATCAGGCGATCGGATTGACATCTGTGGGCGATGTAGGGCTTGACTGACAACGTAAATTTAATGGCGATGAACTTGACGAACCAGGTGCGGTCGATCGCCGAGGTGACGAAGGCCGTCGCTGGCGGAGACTTGACGAAGCGAATCACTGTCGACGTGCGTGGGGAGATGCTCGATTTGAAGGAGACGGTCAATGGCATGACGGAGAGCTTGAGTCTGTTTGCGGACGAGGTTACGCGTGTCGCGAAGGAGGTCGGCACGGAGGGTCTGTTGGGTGGCCAGGCGCAGGTTACGAACGTCGGCGGTACCTGGAAGGACTTGACGGACAACGTGAACGTCATGGCGGCCAACGTAAGTGGTGGCTTGGCAGTGCTGTGTTGTATGGTGTCTGAACATCTTGTGCAGTTGACGTTACAAGTCCGGACCATTGCTTTGGCTACGGTAGGTCCCCGACTGCCTTTGGAGGTAAGGATATTTCTCTGACCACATTTATCCAGCGTGCTGTCGCCATGGGTGACTTGACACAGAAGGTCATGGGCGTGTCGGTCTCCGGAGAGATACTCGACCTCGTCAACACCATCAACAGCATGATCGACCAGTTGGCTATCTTCGCCGCCGAAGTCAAGAAGGTCGCTCGCGAAGTCGGTACCGAAGGCAAGCTGGGTGGTCAGGCCGAGGTTGGCAACGTTGAGGGTATCTGGCAGGAGATTACGTACGTTGTTCTCGTCATGCCTGTGGGTCTCGCGAAGTATGCTGATGGCCCCGGGTTTTCTTAGGATGTCCGTTAACACCATGGCGAGCAACTTGACGACGCAAGTAAGGGGCTTCGCGCAGATCTCCGCGGCGGCCATGGACGGCGACTTCAGCCGGTTCATCACGGTTGAGGCGAGCGGAGAGATGGACTCGTTGAAAACGCAGATCAACCAAATGGTGTCGAACTTGCGCGACAGCATACAGAAGAACACCGCTGCTCGGGAGGCGGCCGAGTTGGCGAACAGGTCGAAGTCTGAGTTCTTGGCCAACATGTCGCACGAAATCCGGTATGTTGCTGTCACGCACGCTATCGGTTCTTTTTTCCGATCGTTGAGCTTGTGATTACCAGGACACCAATGAACGGTATCATCGGTATGACGGAGCTCACCCTGGATAGTGACCTGAACCGGTCGCAGCGCGAGAACCTGCTCTTAGTCCACAGTTTGGCCCGCTCCTTATTATTGATCATCGATGATATCTTGGATATCTCGAAGAGTGCGTCCATCGGTATCTCTATGGAATTCTATCCTGATTATCCTTGCCTACAGTCGAAGCCGGCCGAATGACCATGGAGCAAGTGTCTTACTCAATCCGGCAGACAGTCTTCGGCATCCTCAAGACCTTGGTTGTCCGCGCCTCGCAAAATCAGCTCGATCTCACCTACGACGTCGACCCCGACATTCCCGACCAGCTTATTGGCGATTCGCTCCGTCTGCGCCAGGTCATAACAAACCTGGTCGGCAATGCGATCAAGTTCACGCCTTCGAAGGTTTCCCGCAAGGGTCACGTCGCTCTCAGCTGCAGATTACTCGCTAAGGACGACCAGCACGTGACTTTGGAATTCTGCGTGTCTGACACTGGTATCGGTATCGCCAAGGACAAGCTGACCATGATCTTCGACACGTTCTGCCAGGCCGATGGCTCCACGACCCGAGTGAGCCTCTCCAGTGATCCGTATCATTGAGCTTCGTGCTGATCATCATAAAGGAATATGGCGGTACCGGTCTTGGTTTATCCATCTCAAAGCGCCTTGTGACCCTCATGTTGGGTAACATGTGGGTAGAGTCGGAGGTCGCAAACGGGTCCAAGTTCTTCTTCACCATCACGTCCCAAATCAGCCCTCTCTCGATGGAGGCCACACTAGCCAAGATGCAACCTTTCCAGAAGCGGAGCATCCTCTTCGTCGATACCATGTTCGATCGCACCGGTGTCGTCCAACGTGTCCTTGAGCTCGGACTCAGGCCGTATGTCGTACACTCAGTGGCGGAGGTTGCCGACAAGACGACTTGCCCGCACATCGACACCATTGTCGTCGACTCGCTCAGCGTCGTATGTATAGCAGATTGTTCTATGGAAGCTAGCCTGCTCATGCCATTGTTCGTAGACTGAGAACCTGCGCGAGCACGAGCACCTGCGTTATATCCCTATCGTCTTGCTGTCACCGGTACTTGTTTTCCATGATAATCTGTGAACAGCACTGACGGCCCGCTCATATCGGCAGGAATCGTGCCCTCGATTGAACCGTGAGCACACCTTCTGCTGTGCTCTATTTCTTAAGGTTTACTTACTCGTCATATAGTGAAGTGGTGCCTGGACAACGGCATCTCCTCTCAAATCACAACACCTGTCTCCGAGCAGGACCTCGCCTCAGCGCTGATCTCAGCGTTAGAGTCAAATACGGTAACGCCTGTCGTGGCCGAGAACGACGTGCCGTACGATATCCTGATCGCCGAGGACAACCTGGTGAACCAGAAGCTTGCTGTGAAGATCCTCGAGAAGTATGGTCATCAGGTCGAGATTGCCGAGAACGGTCAGCTGGCCGTCGACGCGTTCAAGGCCCGCGTGCAAAGGAACAGGCCATTCGACGTCATTCTCGTGAGTCTCGACCATTCCATCCAATTCATTGTGTCAGACATTAAGCCTGCTGTCCTGCGCACTATTCCAGATGGATGTTTCTATGCCGTTCATGGGCGGTATGGAAGCCACGGAACTCATCCGGACCTACGAGCAGACCCATGGCCTGGAGCCAACTCCTATCATCGCGCTCACAGCGCATGCAAGTACGTGCATTCGAAACCTTGTCTGCTGTTAGCCGTGTATAACCAAATCTGAACTCAGTGATCGGCGACCGCGAGAGGTGTCTGCAGGCTGGTATGGACGACCATATTACGAGTACGTGTCAATTGAGGGTGTATGACATCAGTCATATATACTCACACTTCCACAGAGCCCCTGCGTCGGAGCGATCTCATGAACTCGATCAACAAGCTTGCGGGCGAGAGGAAGATGGCTTTGGCGCGGAGTCGTGTGCAACATCGTTCATCATTCCCCATGCAGGCACTCTTGCGCGAGTTCCGATGATCATAGCTCATCCCATGTACACTCTTGTTCTCCTTCGCTAGCATCTTGTGGCATCCATGCACTAGTATGCTCCATGCCCTCTTGCGGTACTATCGTTTCTGTGTCTCATTTGTCGTGCATGTATTACCATCATATCCTCCTGCTATGTGTTCCATTTACTCTCAGTCTCGTTTCGTCTCTCACTTACCCACTCTGATTTACGAGTAGTACCGTTCGAAGCATCCTTACGTCTGCTAGCATCCTTGTATCGTTCCTCATCGTCTCATTGTACCTATCAGCGTAGCTATGTTAATGTTCATCGTACATGTTCATGAATTCCATATGGAAAGAATTAACCGTGGATGTACGAGTTGTAGCATGCGTTATTCAATGTCCGCTATGACTACGCTATGTCTTTGGAACGATAAGAACAGTGAAATCAGCAGGCGAGCCGCGACGCTAGCAACTTAGCGGCTAAGCAGAGGTCGGAAGGGCGCCCAGCAGGTTCGCTTTCTGATCCCAACTTACATCCGTCGGGAGTACCTTGCTCTCATCTACTGTCTGCTCTCTTACCCTATAACTTATTGCCTCTGAACCACCATCTGTTCTGTTTTCTCAATCTGACCTATACGTCTGGATGCTGGCACTTCGTCTGATTCTACTCCTATGTCTTACATTCTTGGCTGGAGCTCGAGAAGAACCTATTGGATCCCTTGGTAGGCAGGGATCTTCGCACACCAACAATTGGGCCGTGCTGGTGTGCGCGTCGAGATATTGGTTCAATTACAGGGTGCGTTGACTCGCTGTCTCCGGCGGAACAACTTGGTCTTGACGAGGACACCAGCACATGGCCAACGCGCTGGGAATGTATGTGCTCCTTGCTCCCAATGCTATGTCGCATGCGATGTAGCATCAAACAGAGCGGCAAGACGTGTACGCTTACATTGTCGTCAAGGTACCGCACTGTGAAACGACTCGGTATCCCCGATTCAAATATCATCTTAATGCTCGCAGACGACGCAGCGTGTAACCCACGGAATAAGTTCCCAGGTTGCGTCTACGCAAATCCGGGACGCAATCTTGACCTATACGGAGACAATATCGAGGTCGACTACCGCGGGAATGAGGTCACAGTCGAGAATTTCCTCCGCGTCCTGACGGGTATGTCTTCTGTAGAATGCCTGGGCTTGCTCATGTTCAACACAATGTTCGCAACCTGCCCCCATGGTGTACCCTCTACTAGGTCGCGTGGAGCCCTCAGTACCTCGTTCGAAGCGGTTGTTGACCGATGACCGCTCGAACGTGTTCATCTTCATGACGGGACACGGAGGGAACGAATTCTTGAAATTCCAAGACAACGAGGAGATCAGCGCATTCGATATCGCGGATGCGGTGGCCCAGATGTGGGAGAAGAAACGGTGAGTCGATAAGGGACTTACTGCGAGATACTGCAAGTACTTACGACCGGCAGGTACAACGAGCTATTCTTCATGATCGATACCTGTCAAGCGAACACGATGTACTCAAAGTTCTACTCTCCCAACGTGCTCGCGACTGGTTCCTCGGTCATCCATGAGAACTCTTATTCGGTGCGCGTGGTCAACTCTAGCAACGTCTTTCCGCTTCGCTTACTCTCGACACAGTACGAGAATGACTATGACATCGGCGTAGCAGTCATCGACAGCTACACGCACTACGTCCTGGAGTTCATGGAAGGCATCAACAAGACGAGCCAGACTACCATGGAGGATCTCGTACGTGATCCGATCTCCAACCAAATATCATCTTATCGAACATGTTCCTACAGTTTAACACGTACGATCCGGTCAAGATTCGTTCACATCCAGGCGTCCGGTCGGATCTCTTCGAGCGCGATTTTCGCGACACGCTTGTTACAGACTTCTTCGGTGGCGTGGCCCAGGTTGAAGTCCTCCCTCCTCTGAACGGATCGCCAAGACCCCGCGTCTCTTTCGACGAAATCACGTCTGAAACAGCAGAGTTAGGCGTTCACCAAGAGAAGGAGTCAGGGCTCGTCGCGTCAGTCGGAGACATCAATGGGCATGTCTTTCTGGCCGCGCTAGGAGAGGGACCTCAGTCGGAGGTCGGCCGACCGTTTGTACGGAAGGCGAGGACATGGACGTCGACACTCGCCGTGCTTGTAATGGGGTGCTGGGTTGCTACACGGAGGAAATAGACTTATACCCTTCGCCTGCCCCGTGTGCTACCATCGGAGCTGAATCGTCTGTGTTCAGCTACACTTGCAGGCTCAGAATTGGAGGCGCTTGCCGATTATTACGGTCAAGACTACCTCGTCTAACCACTTCGAGGAAGGGCGAGCCATCGCGCTCAATGATCTTTGCGGCCGCCATCGATGATTTGTGGCAAATTGCCGAACCTAGAGATGATCTGCCTGACGGTCGATTGAAAGGTCCGGATTGGCAGGCGAGCCGGACTAGCATGTCGGTGAGACGGGAGACAGGTAGCGTCAACGACGTCTCGATGGTATATGTTGAGGGAAACATGAGTCGGCGGGTTCACACAGTCATGTCGCATCCGTGACACTTGGCCCAAGACAATGATAATGGTGTTTTCCAATGGCATACAATATTGCTCTGACTCGTCTACTTTGTGCATCCGATACTCGTACAGTGACGTCTAGTAAGCTAGTCTCGAGTGACTACGCCTTGGGGGCCTTGCCACCAGCCTTGGAGCTGGGGGGAGAACCTGCGGCGTTCTTCGCCGCAGCGGACTGCACGCGAGACGGGAAGGAACCCTTGCCGGTGTCATTCCCGCTCTTGGCCTACAGACGGATGTGCATGAGCTCAAAACCCATAGAAAGAAAAGCGTCGATGAAGTGCAAGAAAGGGCCTGGGCTGACCTGGGAGGACTGAATGCGCGAGGCATCGGAGGGGGTGGTCTTGTTGGCGCTAGCTGTAAGGCCCAAGCCGGTGTCAGCGGTCGTTGGCGTGGGCGACGAAACCGCAGAATAACCACTTACCAGCACCACCGCGAGCGGGCTTACTACTGGGCGGCATTGTAATATGAGAAGTGGTGAAAGTGGTTGTGGTGGTGAGGAGTTGAAGACCGTTGGAGGCTTGCTGAGCAGCGACCCAACGGTGCCCTCTTTATACCTTTGGCCGTGGAGAGATTGCCTAAGTATTACGCCGTAATCCTGTCCGCCTATGCAGTGAACGTCCTCTGAGATGAGAACGAGCTTGGAAGCCTCGTGTGACGCGCGAATTCCACTATTGGTTGTCGGGGGAAACTTTAACACCAAATCAAGCTGAGCAGCGGTCCAGTCCGGTACGGCGATACCGCCATTGGGCGGGATGCTGTCTAGCTAGAGCACCTCATGAAGGCGTCGATGTGTGAGGAAGCGATGCGACAGGGAGGCGGGCACATACATGGAAGGACGTCCACCTCGGAAATTAGGCGATGTCCGCTGCTTTCTTGACGTGCGGGAGATAGAAGCGAGAGATCAGCGTTCAGTCTGTGCGCAGAACCGCGTTGGAGTGAATGCAAAGAACTTCAGTGGGTGCCGCAGCGCAGCCGGAGTGCGGGCCTGTGTAGGAGGTTCTCGAGGATAACCGAGAGTAACTCACTAGCATTGTCCAACCACGTCCCGCCATCGAGTTGACTGTCGCCTGCCATCGGACTGCATCCCATTCGTGTCGCCAACTGTCCGTACCTCACAATGCATTTCGCATCGTCACGGTAAACATCGAAAGAGAAGGCCTGAAATAGAGAGCTGCCAGATTTAGAGTCCAGACAGCGGCCCGTAATCGCCGAGTACAAATGGTCCGCGCGAGAGAATTTCGCAGTATTCTCGCAAGAAGTCACGTCCGTACACGTAGGGAGAACATGAAGCTCGTTGACGTGGCATCCATGTAGGGCAGTAGATGTGCAGGATGTGAGCTGGTATGAGCTCGGGCTATATTGTCGCCCGTAGGGTAGCGTAGATCGTTTTGCGGTCCGCGTGGACGAACTCGTCTGCTTGCTGGCGTGATCTGAGGTGATTTGAATCACTATCAGCAACATGCACCGTGATCCAAGTCACCTGCAAGACCTCTGGATAGGTCTGGTCTACTCACGGTGTGGTCTGTGATTCGTCTCAAGACCAGCCATACCCCACATTCCCATGCTCGGGGGGAGGGGATTGGGCCGAACCTATTCACGGCGGTGCGAACTATCCTCCCTATTTGGATACCGTCCCCAGACTTGTCATCGTGATCGACGATCTCGTCCACGTTGTCCTGGTGCGAATGCGTTGTTTGAGGATATAAGGACGATTAGCTCGGATGATTTAAGAAGATATCACACCAATATACCTGCGACTAAGCATTACACTAATCTCGCCTCAGTTATGCACGGCCTTGGAAATGGAGGCCTCCCGCTGAGACTTTCTACCCATTCATTGTAGCGTCACGAATGGAGTTCACTCAAGCGTATGCTACTGCTGAGATGTATAATCTGCACCTAGACTCCACAGGAGCTAACATACCTTAACGAGCTACCGTTGATTCACCAAAGGGACACGCGCGCTAATGCAGCGTAGCGGTTCGTCCCGCAGTACCATAAATTCAGTATAGTCTGTGGTTGAGGATTGCAAGACGATAGTAAGGGTTGAAGCATTTTGTTTGCCTTGTTCATGAGAGACTCTATTACTGCCGGTGAGGTTCGTAAAAGACGCGTCTCACTGATTTGGTGGTGCCAATGCCAGGACAGAGTGCTTCCCGGCGCCCGATGCGGTTTGCGGCTGGGGGTGGCCATGACAGCCTGTTGATTACAGCGCGAACAAACATAGGCTTGTCACTGGGCTCAAGCTGGACCCGCTTACTGAGCCATAGAGACGGGTGAATGTCTGCAACCACGAGGAGACGTGAGCGTCGGAATAGGAAGCACAGAGATGCTTGAGATATGACTAGAATGAACGAACTCAAGATAGCACGAGTTCTGTACTGAAGAGTCGCCGTCCCCGTACTACCAGTAGAATCCGAGAAAGCAATTACCGCAGCAATTCGGACGCGCGGTGGATCCTGTTTGTTCGTATTTGTTATCCTCAGGATGTACCGCTGCCAATCGCGCCGAGGACCGTAAGAGTATAGTTGTAAGCCGCATCGAATGTGAGTACCTCTGAGCCTTTGCGGGTGAAAATGTGATGGTTAGACAGTGCACTACGCTTGACCATCGCGGTTCCTAGCGGTTAGGACAGGAAACCCTGAGACGGCGTCTTCCGCGGGCCTAAAAACACGAGCAAATAGCCGGGTTCAAACGAGTGCATCCGGTGAGAACTATTGTCTTTCACTTCCATCGGCTTTTGGACCCTCATATTCTTCGTGTTGCCTCATGTGAGAATGATCATAGTACGTGATCCCGCGGATTCTGGTGCTACGATATGCCGATCAGTGAGCCAGCAACAGCGATCTCAATTGTTCAACGAGCCTTCCGTTCGAGAAGCCCCAAGCATGTTTCCTGACAAGGCTTCGAGATAGGCTGGACAGGGCTGCCGGCATAAGCATCGCCGTCTACAAGTCATGAGCACTCTACAATGATCTCGCGGTAAACCCTCGACTTGTCATCATAGCTGCAGTGAGATGGTCGAGGGTCGTCTCTTCTGGGGCCATTTCACGTCGAAAGGAAATCCGCCCGGCCGAAAGCGCGGAATCCCGTCATTTTGTCGCATTGCCTTTTCGATTGCCACCGCTCCGTCCCCGTCTCCGTGTGAAGAACGTAAGTAAGTCGGACATTTCCCCTTTCGATGTTGTAGTTAAGTTTACCTCTATTGCCTCAAGCAGGACTTACCGTCAGGCCGAATTTGCAAGGAATGGCAAGGAGAACTGTTTACAGAACCCATACAAAGCTTTGTCTCTTCACCACGATAGCCTACTCTCGTCTTGGCACACATCATGAGGTGCCACCGTGCAGAACGCGTAGCAGATTGGCTCGAGAGGGGGCGGTGAGTATATGATTTGAATCTAGCCCCACCACCCAGATCGCTCAACCTTCGCGTCTTCTCGGAAGGGAATGCATGTTCAACTGCCCAACGAGAACATTCTCTGACAGCTGAACAATGTGGCTACTAGATAGCTTCGACGTGCATGTGATGCCTTATCGCACGACAGCAGGGCAGTGTGCTGGCAGCCATGTCGCCTCATGGCCGTGCGCATCCTTCTTCAACCCGAGACTCTTGGCTGGACGACCTTGCGGGAAGCCTCCCCCGGAGTTAACTGTAAGCATCGGCCGTGGCAGCCGTTTTCTCATAGTGGTCCTACGCGCTCGATTGAACGCTGAGAATGTCGACAGTGACTCTCCCACGAAACTGGGCTTCCTGGGATTCCCGGTATCCGTCAAACAGCTTATCAGAAGTGCCATAATGGCGTATACGGAATACGAAGTGGCCTTTGAGAACCTATATTTGCAATCAGGTTCCACCGAGGATATGGTCTTCTACGTCAGGCCAGGTCACGGGCTCAATCTCGTCAAGGATGCATGGCCTATTTACGACCTGTCGGTGTGAACGCATAACCTGTTCGTGGAAGCACAACGCATGCCTATGCCTCGTCAAGTGATTGCAGAAGCCACAGAACCATGCGTGTCGCCACTTGGGCGTACCAACCAAGCACAAGGTTTGTCCATCGAGCCCCATGTCATCTTCTCGGTCAGGCGTTTGATGATTACTCCAACACCTGCCAAGCCATTCGCCGACAACAGCGGCCTATGCGGGGGAGGTCTGGGTCGTTTGCTACGCTGGCAACGGGGTATAAAATGTTCGAGGGACATGCTCCATCTCCTCAGCTCGGGATCCACCCAGTTCTTCGTCCAGCCCCTTCACGAATATCGCCCTCACCATGTTCGCTGCGACGCTCCTCTGCCAGATTCTCCTCGCCACCGCGGCGTTTGCCATCCCGACGTCCAAGGAGCGTCTGGCACAGCGCGTTGCTCGTCGTTCCTCTGGTCTCACCCACCAGGGCCGCCCTAACCAGGTGGTTGCGCGTCCCGCGGCTGAGGCTGGATCCAACTCCACGCACGCCGAGTTCAGCAGCAACTGGTCGGGCGCCGTCTTGGTTGCTGGATCTGTTCGTAACCTTCGCTCGCCGCAGTGCATTGACTAGATCTCACACATCTTCTCAGAACACCTTCAAGTCCGTAACTGGCACCTTCACCGTTCCCACCCCCAAGGAGCCTTCGGGCAGCTCTGGCACTCACTCCGCTTCGGCGTGGGTCGGTATCGATGGAGACACCTGCGGCAGTGCCATCCTTCAGACTGGTGTTGACTTCACCGTTTCTGGCTCCTCGACCTCCTTCGATGGTGAGAGTCTTTCCCACAGAGCTGCCGCACAACGACCGCTGACGGTAGCTCCCTTCCCCCCCCGCGCATGCGCATTCGGTCCATCGGAAACATAGCCTGGTTTGAGTGGTTCCCCGACTTCGCGACGGACTTCACCGGGTTCAGCGTCCGCTCTGGCGACTCGATCACCGCGACCGTCACCGCGACCTCGCTCACGGGCGGCACGGCGACGCTCGTGAACCACCGGTCCGGCCAGACCGTGTCGCACACGTTCTCCGGCCAGCCCGCGCTCTGCCAGGAGAACGCGGAGTGGATCGTCGAGGACTTCGAGGAGGGCAGCTCGCTCGTCCCCCTCGCCAACTGGGGCACCGTCACCTTCACTGGCGCCTCTGCCGGTCTCTCCAGCGGCTCCGAGGGCCCCTCGGGCGCGACCATCATCAACATGGAGCAGAACAGCCGCGTGCTGACATCCGTCTCTGCCTCCGGGTCCACCGTCACGGTCGAGTACACCGGCTCGTGAACAGTCGAGGGGGCAGGACTTTGGGGGCGCAGAGGATGAACGTTGAGCGACAATAGGGTCCACACTTGTTGCGCTCAAGCGTGGAGGGTTGGAAAGAACTCGGTCGGGATTCTGTGAACGGTAACCGTACAATGTACCAAAAGAAGGGGAAAGTGTATGTTGTGTCAGGCCAGAACATCATGCAGTGTCGACTATGTGTCCGGCTTGCTCATCAAAAACCCGCGTTAAGCTTGCGAAAGTGCGGTAATCATCCATAACAACTCGACAAAATTGGGGGCCTCAGAGAATACACGTGCGAAGAAGAAATTTGAGCAAAGCCGAGACCGACATCATCGTCGGAGCATATCACAACCGGGCCAACCCATCATGTCCAACCGATCCTTTGCTGAAGCAAGGATACAGATCATTGAACTGCTGAGCATGAGCATGGATCATTGCATGGAGTATCCGGGCGCGTTGCCGCTGCGAGTGGGGTACCGGTATGTATTCGAAAAGAGGTGATGACGGAAAAGGAAGGACGACGAAAGTAGAACGAGCGCGCGCCATTAACCTTGCTTCTACGGTGGGAAATTTGGCCAGATCGACAGGACCGGCCATATACAGTTGCACTGGACTTCCATGATTTCACCGTCCACCTGTACGTCGTAAGAAAACGACCCCGGACCTGCTCAGTGCATCCACGAGCCCACGACTTCAGGCACTTATCTCCTGATACCAACCGTGATGTCCATCGAAGCCGCCGCAAAGGAGTATGCCAACTCTGTGTATTATGTTGTCTGCCCTGACCTGATGTCCTTTGTACTAGTGGAGCCCTCTTTCCTGAGTTCGTCGAAGGCAAGGAGCTGCGTCTCTCCCTACCGAACGCCGGCTCGTCCTCTTCTACGGCTTGCACGATAGTGAAAGCATTCCGCCCGTTCACCATGTCTCCCGTCCTTCTTGTGTCGCTGATCCAACCCTCTACACCAACCCACGGTGACGATGTATTGCCAACCACCGCGATCATCAAACTATACGACCGACGCTGTCTTTCTAATGCACGCGACGAATTCGACGAGGGCAAGCCATGGTCCCTCGACAAGGAACAGGAGTACAGGCAGTACCTCGACGACGTCGCCACAGGCTCTGTCGCACGGGGCGACTTCGACAGCCCGACCTTCATGTGGGACAACGACGTCTCGGATGGCGAATTCGAAGCCTACCTCCAGCGCGTGGCGCAGCGGATGTTCGACGCGGAGCGCACGGCGTACGAACGGTTGCGCGACCTCCAAGGGAAGAAGATCCCGAGGCTGTACAGCGTCGTCGAATACGAGATCGCCATCCCCAACGCCCGCGGCGATGGAGCTGCCGTCACAGACACGATCCCGGGCCTCTTGCTCGAATACGTCTCATCGCTCTCACTTAGGCAGCTCGTCGCGACGTGGACGGCGCGCAACCCCCCCTTGGCCAACGAGGTCCTGGCGGTGTTGTGCGAGGAGGCGGTCAAGGTCGTCGATCGGATATCCGACTTCGACGTCCTGAACGAAGACGTGCGCGTGGACAACTTCCTGATCCGCGAGCCCTTCATCGATGCCACCTCGTCTACGCAAGGGGGAAACGCGGCTGTTGTGGAGAACGCGGTGGTGCTCATCGACCTCGGCCTCTGTCGCCTGCGCAGGGAGGACGAGAGCGAGGATGAGTGGATCAAAGCCAAATGGTCCCAGGACGAGGCGGGTGCGGTTGGCTTCGTGCTTCTCGGTCTCGTCCGGGAGTTCATTGGAGAGAACGTCTGGAAGTACGAGAGAAGCCTGCGATACTATCGCCCCCTAGAGGAGTAATTGCAGCTCCCGATCGGAGGCATGGTGTTCTCATGAGGGGGTAGTTGTACGCTGATATGCCTTCTGGTTCCAGAGTTCTCTGCGTCCCTTTCTCTTCCAGGACGTATTGCCCCTATTCATGGTTGTATTGAACACTAAAGGTTACATCTCGATCGGGTCCAGACTCAGGAAATCACATAGTATAACGCAATTCCCGTGCTCACCGTAGCATCTACCGGGACTTACGAATTCCGGGGGCAGCGACAGTAGTCCGAACGAATTTGCAAAGCACTGACTCCGACATCGTGTCCTCTCCAGGCCGAAGCCGGTTGAGGGAGGTTCGGGCCAGCCATGGAGCTAACTCGAAATCGAATGCTGGTTGTGGCGTTTACCGACCTTCTGACCTCCTTTCTCTGGGAACAAAGGCACTGACAGAAGGGATGCAGTGAATGTATGAGGTGCAGGGCGTCGTCGAAGGCGTCGAGCGCTTCAGGAAGCCGGTGTGGCGCCCTGAATTGTGCAATTGTGCCGTACGCATCGCCGCTAGTGGTGAACCTGAAACTCCGGTGCTTGCAGTAGTGTCCAAATGACACCGGTCTTCCTGGCGTTCGCTCGTCTGATGACGAATTCCTACATAAGGATATAAGTGTAGAGACGACGTGAATTCCCCCAGTCCCATCTGAGGCTATCTCCCGTCAACCCCGCCAACGAAGGAACGAATTGATCTCTTGCCAACGATGCCGGTGAGGTACCTCACTCAGCCAGAGGCTCGTCTCCCGCTGATGCGCTCTCAATAGAAGAAAGCCCCGTCCGTCAAAGACTATCTCGACGGCATAGACGTCTCCAAGGTTACGTCAGGTCTTTGGGCCCCTGCCAAGCAGTGGAACCGCCTTCACGGCGACGGAAAGTCGACCACAGGAGGCTCATACCATATCGAGACCATACATGGCAGCGACGGCGTGTACAAGGCCAAGGTTGTCGGCCCGGGCGGTGCCACCAAGGTCGAAGTGGAATGGGCTGCTGCTACGAACCCGGCCCCTACCGTCGCCACCGTCATCGCGGCGCTCAAGGCGAAGGCCTAGATCTGAAGATTGTGGTAAGGATGAAGTCCTATTCATTGCTGGAACGCCAACTCACTGCCTGAGCTCTAGTGCAGCAACACCATTGGCACACAGTGCGGTCGAACGCTAGGAAAGAGGGAAGAACGTCGGGGCGTAGGCGTCGTGTGTAAAAATAGTGAATCCATGTTGTCGTTGACTTTGCTTCGGTGTTTGAGCTCAACGAGGTCAGCGGGACAGCGAGCGGATAGCCCAAATTCACGTATCGTACATGCAATGCCTCCACCGCAAGATGCATCCCTTCCAGAACGCAGGTGCACTTGGTCGAAGGCAAAGAAGCCGACACAACAGATACCACCGAGTGTCATGATCAGGTAGATGCATCAGCAGCCTGCCCAACCCCTCTAGCCGAGCCTAAGGGCGACTGTGCTCTCCATCCATGGCCATAGGACTCTGTAGCAAGCATCGATCAGTTCGAGGAGTTGACCGTTCACAAGCAGAATCAGACCCGTACGTATGAGAATCGTCGAAACCAAAATCAAATTACACATAAAGTAACACACCGGAACACCTATCGTATACCAAGGACGCCCACAAGAAGCATTCAAGCTCCACATCGCCATGCAGGTCCCAGTTACCGGTCCACATCTACAGGCAACGTGCGCGTGAACCCGACGTTGCATACATAGGGTATCAGTGGACGGGTATTGGTGAACGATGATAGCGGTGGTGAAGCTGGACGAGACCCTGAGGCCAGCACCGCACGGCAGCGACGCGCATGGACTCGATAGGGGGTATATGTGCAAACAAGACGACGCTGTCGTACGTGACCCCACGTGCAGTAAGGGGTGAAGCGTAGCGGGAGGATGAAGGGGCACTGGGGCAGGTAGCCAAGCACGCGGGGCAAGAAGGATTGTACAGCCCATAACGGCAGACATAAATCAATAAGAGGGAGGAGCACGCGGAGGGATCAAGGTAATCGCAGATGGAATCAGGAACACGCTAGGCGGGGCACAAGGGATACGAGACGCGAACAGATATAAAAGACTAGCGTAAAATCGCAGAAATGACAGGAAGTCGCATCAGGTGCGGACGAGGCACTGCAATACCTCGCCTGCGCAGATGCGAAAGAGGCGAGATTGGCAACCAATACACGTACAGGAATTCCTACAACCCAACGGGAAACGGAGACGAAAAGGCGACGCAGAGGGTCTACGAGGGACTCTCACTCGGCGGTGCCGACGTACGCGTCTTCGTCGTCGTAAACCGTGTTAGCAAGGTTCTTCCTTGAGTTCGAGGCGGCGACAGGGTAGACGGTAGAGGAAGAAGCCGAGGCGGTGGTGTCGGGAGAGTACAAGACGCGCATGCCCATGCTGTTGTAGTTCGCAGCGGGGGTGGGGGGAGCAGGACTGCCGGGGACGGTAGCACCCATCGCGCGACGCTCAGCGTAGGCACGGAGCATCGCGTCAGGTGACATGACGTTGGCGTGCATGGGCTGCATCGGCATGGCGCCCAAGATGGGGGACTTCGGCGCCTGGTGCGTGGGGCTGGGGGGAGTTGGCATCTGAACGGCGGAGGGCATCTCAACCTGGGCACCTCCCTGTTCGCCAAGCCGCATCACTGAAGCGACAGTTAGACATAAGTAAGGACGAATGAAGGAAGAATGCGTACTAGTCAAAGCAGGCATGAATTCATCGTAATTTGACTGATGCTCGGCATCTCCTCCGGCCATACGGGCTTGAATGTCCTCGTGGGTGAGGCTGAGAGGACCAGCAGTCTGTATCGGGGACAAGATAGGCGAAGAGTTGCTCGAACTCTCGCTAGAGTGCTGGCGATCAGGCAGGGGCGGGACAACAACACTGCTGGTGTGGAAGGCACGGGACTGGCGGGCGCGGCGAGACTCTGACGACGGGCGGGGATCGGCAGCGAACGACACACGGGAGACGCGGTTCTCAAAGGCGGAGGTGCGAAGGCCAGGGCGAAGTTGTGACATGTACGGCGCATCAGGAGGGAGACCGTCCTGGGCTAAGATGCCACGGGCGCCGATGCCAGCCTGACCGCCTTCAACGGCGACGGTCGATGCAGGTCGGATGCCGCCGAAGGAGAACGACGACGTACGATTCCCAGGGACTGCCATGCTGTTCCGAATGGCAGCGTTCGCACCCGCACCGGAGAGGGACTTCCAATCGGTGGAGATAGTGGACATGCGCTTGTCGACCATCTCGCTGAACCGCTTACGCTTCTCCTTGCCCTTTTGACGGTTCATCCGGATGTACGCCACGACGATGAGACCAATGATAAAGAGGAGCGGAATGATTACGGCGGCTGCAATGGCACCCTTCGACGGTCCATGCTTCTCAGTTGGGAGGTTGTTCACCTGCTCGACAGCCCCTGCGACAGCAGAGTCACCCGTCGAATTGCCGGAATATGTCGCGGTGAAGAGCGGCCCGGCAGCACCACCGACAGCGAAGATAGGTTGCCCAGCGGGGATGATGGTGAATTCAAGGCTGACGGAAGACGTAGAGTTCCACCAGCCAGGTTTGAGGGTTGCGTTGTAGCTCCCGGTCTTGTAGTTGACGTTCTCCCACTCGTGGATGAGGGGCGGATTCCCGCTCGGTGCGTAGAGGTAAATATCGACAGCGGTCGTGTTGAGACAGGATGTGTCCCAGCTAATGGTGACGGGCTGGCTGGCATCGACGGTTTGGCCTTTGGTAGGCGTCTTGTAGAGACCACCTGTTAGGCAGTCTGAAGATGAAACATTAGCAGAGGTGGTAAATGGTTCGCTCGCAGCACAAAAACTTCGCATGGGCAACAAACGGCTGTCCATCGCGCTCTGCATGCCTTATCTCATGCCATGAGAGCGTAGAGGCCGATGATGGGGTAGAAGAGCCATTGGCAGATATTATCTTCGTGGCCTGCAGTTGTTTGGGGAGGACGTCAAGAACCAGCCCTCAGGAAGTCAATTTTTGAAGGCCGGTCACATCCTACCAGCCAACCGTCCGCGAGTATTCTATCTCTCGAACTCCCCAAGTTTTCAACATCCATGACACCCGAGACTGGCTTTAGCGCAAGCCCGCAGCTGCCATACCCGCTCCATTTTCGCGAGCGTACGAAACATTAAGTTCTGTGTGGAAGGGCCATATGACTTACCATCGCGTTTGTTAAGCTGATTGGTATGCTGATGCAAACCAACGGCATGGCCCAAGCGTACAGTCTTGAATCCACTCTTCATAGTTGACGTCAAAAGAGTGTGGGATGAAAAGAAGGGGATGAGGAAGGAAAGGATAGCCGGGGCTCGAGGGCGAGAGCGACGACGACAAGGGGGAGGGCGACGACAACGATGGCGGCGAACAGGAGGCTCGCGACGGGAAAGACCCTTCTCCGGGAACAGACGCCCGAATCCAGATGCAACTCCGAACAACAGCCGCTTGCTGATAGCCGCTGATGGGTCCCCGGGAGCAATAGCTTGCTTGTTCGAATACCGTCTATTCGTACACATTTGAACATACAACAATGGTTGACCGTGCGGGAATACATCCAAGACCTAGCCTACACATTTTCGTCCTCAAACAGGTTCGTACACCTCCATTCTAGTATGCAATACGATCCATTCCTCGAGGTACCTACGCTTTCTATCAGCCACAAGTAATGCAGACATCTTACTGAACATACATACCTTCCAACCATGCGTAGCAGCCGCCCGCTTATAGCCAGCTAATGCCTCCTGAATGTTGTACGGCCTACATCGACATACGAACAATCAACACCGACAACTGGCAGTGCGCCGGATTCGTGGCATCGTAGATATGTACTCACGTATCCCAGTTCGGGGCGAGGCGAGCGGCCTTCGGATCCAGGTTCGAGATCGCGAGCTTGATTTGGAGGAGGACGGCAGAGATGCTGACAGGCACATGTCAGCTTCCGGGAAGAGCGAAGTAGTTGCGACATCATCTATGACTATATATACCTGTAGCTCGGAAGCCAACCTGCCACCAAGTAAGGCGGTCAGAACATCTGAAACGATTGAACCGCCGCAAACTCACCATCTGCGGTCAAAAGATCCATACACATCGAGCCTCCTACAAAGCATACGAGAGGTCAGTAGGAGCGAATCGAGTGATTACAACCACAACAAACCAAGGGTGACATGCCCGCCACCGCCCTGTAATCAGATAGTTAGAGCGAACATGTAATGGGATGGCGCGCAGCGAACCTGGCTGAACCCTAAGAATCTAGGCTTCAGAATGCGGAAGAAAGGTGGCGCATGGGGAAAGTCAGCCGGGAAGCGGATCTCGAACACCAAGGAGTTGACACCACTATCGACACGGTCAGCTATGTCATCGGACGGAAGTTTCCTACACACCAACCATCTCGCCATGTCCTGGGCGACAGGTAACGTCGGGTCGAACGAGTGCAGCTCGACGATCCACTGGTACAGATTGTCGCCGATAAGATCCTCAGGAAAGTACCACCCGAGTTCACGTAGGCTTCTTGCCGCCTTTTGCTCTTTCAGGATCCCCTTCAGCTCCCTCTGTAGTGTGTTCGTAGCCTGCACCGAAGACTCCGTAGGAGGCGGTATGAGGTGTTCTATGCATTGCTCCACCCATGCGCGGTCGTGCCTCCAGTCGTCCACAGCCTCTTCGTCATCTTCTACCGGGGACGGCGCGGCTGGGACGATCGGAGCCGCCTCGAAGATCTTGAGGTCATCTTCGTCGTAGTCTACCGAGACATACTCCTCACGACGCGTGGTGAGAACTTTCTCCAATGCAAAAGTAGGTTCGGGGATGCGAATGGTCATAGTCCCGAGAGTGAGTGGGTGCGCAGGGTCGAGCGGCACGTAGGGTATCGATTCGTCGATTTGCTCAGGCTCAGGGGCCTGTGGGGCTCCGCTGGTTGGCCACATACCAAGGAAGCTCTGATAGGTGGGAGCTGGTGTCCCTGACCCGGAACCGCTGCTCTTGACCATGAGGTATCGACTGAAACACGACCTTTAGTGCGGAATCGACGAAGGCGCTCAAGAACTCACCAAATTATCCACTCGGTTTGCGCGACAACAAAGAAAGGCTGTGTAGAGACGAACTTGGTCGGCAGATTGACTATCTCTGCGAGGGCCACACAGTTGATAATACGAGAAGCACTGTTTCGCCAGCAGCTCGAAGCAGCTCGAGAATAGGAGCCAGTTGAGACATTGCCGTCCTTCGCGAAGTATACGCCTAGAGATGATCAGAAAATTCCCATTGCTCATCACAAGGATTCGATCGCACCATTTCCATATGCTCGCCCATGGGCTATGTCTCTGAACCACAGACCATGTCGTATGATCTACAAGGCATTGTTAAAACGACATCCTGTGACCCACTGTAGGCTACTCACCGAGTGCCAGTTTTTAGCAGGAGAGCCGTGGAAAGCCTGACCAATTCGATCAGCGGTCATCAAAGCAATGTGACTACATAGGGGAGCATCCTACATAGAGCGATGGATATCTGCGTGCATTGGCGTTCTCTCGTTGCGCCTGTTGGAGCGCCGTGCGGAACTTGGCCTCTGCATCCGGCGCACCAACGCTGAACCGGAATTGGCGCCACTCGGAGCCTGCAACGCATGCGACTCAATCAGGACGCTGTGCAAGCAGAACAACGGCGACGCAAACCGATGTTTTTGACTTGCTCCTCATCGGAGGTGAGTTCCTCCAGGTGCGCCGTGCAGGAGGCGACGATCCAGCGCAAGATGGACCACGCAGCATCCGGGATCGCCTTATCGAAGTCTTGCAGACGCGGCATCGCCCGACCTGCACCTCGCGACTGCTCTAGATGCTTCTTCATGTCGCTGATCTGCGGAGAAACTGCGTGAGCACGATAGACTACATCAATTCACGAGTACTCACCGGTGGGAGTGAGTCAATCAAGTACGTTATGGCACTACGCATCTGAGAGAGGTCACGAGGAGCTACGTCGCATCAGATTGTGCAAACCTACCTCAGGAAGCTGAAGTTGATCAAAGTCGCAGAGCCCGTCTGGATCTGTGAGAACGCTAGATCCCGCCCTCGGTTTCACGCGAAGGCCCATCCCGACTGGAAGAGGCGAGTCGAGAGCCCCCTCTGCGGCCGCTATGTACGCCAGCGAGACGAGGATATCCACAGTCACAGGGTTGGCCCGGATCTCGTACTGGACATGGACTCGGTTAGTATTCACGCGTGCACGTGCTCGGCGAAGGTACATACCTCAAGAGAAGGACCACGATTCAGGTTGTAGTATTGATACGTGCACAGCTTGGAGCTGCATACGTATGGCTTGAGCGCATCTAGGTCTTGCTTGAGCTGCTGATGACAGACTAAGCAGTAACGAGGGCAAAGCTATAGATAGGGCAGAATGCGAGCTAGTGAGTACTGAACGCCAAGCCAGCAGTGGTAACGACTCACAGTAATGCGCCGCATGAGATAAGAGAAGGCCAATAGGGGCAGGTTGATTGGAGCATCTGCGTTGCGCTCGAGGAGTGGGTCCGCCGGGAGCGCGTAGCTTTCAGATAACAGTTCATCGGCTGCGTCCGCACTCCGGATGTCCTACAAGCGGTGTATGTTCAGCCATCAGAAGAGGCGCATCATATAAATGATCACGCACTTGGCCTCTCCAGCGCATGATGTCTCCGACGGCTTGCTGGGAGGTTTCTACTTCCCACCACAGTGTCTCCGCACCCGCCCATCCGAGCTCATACCGGATTCGAAGCTGGAGGATACGGAGGAAATGGCCGTTCAACAAACTCTCAAGCGACGAACTCAAACTGAAGGGCTGGAAGCCGACCAACGGCTCCTCATCCTCCTCAGGAGCATCGTCCTGATTTTCGTTACTATCTGTATCGGCGTCGTATACTTCATCATCGTAATCGTCATAGAGCGGCTCCTCGACAGGATCTGCAGGATGCGCATCGTACCCTTCCTTCAAGCCATACCTGCGCAAGGTCTCTGCGGCTTCGTCCGGGGTCGGCTTGTAGCCTGGGGTCAATCCAAGACGAAAATGCGGCACAGAGCCAAGAAAGTGCGCAGCGTCGGTGTAGGTGGCGTCCTGCTGAACGACGGGATATACACCCCTCAGTCCAGAAATCAGGAGGGTCAGGTGCTGAGGGCGTGATAAGAGTTGTTTGTCCCATGCCATGAGGGCACGAGCAGGAATGGTATCCGCCAAGGACTTTGCGGGTAGTGATACGGATAGCGCGAAGTCATCCTGACCGAATGGGACGAATCCCGGATGGTAGCCGTATGCCACAATTTCATTGAACTCTCTGTGTGGATTGTCAAGCAGCGTTTGGATTCAGTGATGCAGCAAGAGCGTACCGCTGAAGGACGGTCTGATCGAGCTTGCTACGTCCAACTGCAGCCCCCATCAACCCCAAGTCATCGTCCAAGTCATAGTCTGCCGCATCGTCTTCATCATCATCATCATCATCATCATGTTCATCCGCATCATGTTCATCTTCACTGTCTGCCCTATAGCTTCCTTGGCCATGCGTTGCAGCTGTTCTCTTAGCCAACCTCTCAAGTAATCTCATTAACAAATCTTGAATGGTCAGAGCACCGTCTTCATGTACGGACCCGGTGATGCACAGGACATTTGCAGGGAGATCATCTTGGGAAGAGCAGAAGAAGGTATGATCAGAGGGGTACTCGGACGAGTCTGTTGAACGAGCATGAGTTCCGGAACTAACTCGGATAACATGACACGACACACGCCATACCGGACACCAGGACAGTTAAGGACGCAATCAAGTCTCCATTTGTATGGGCAATCGTGCAATCAAATGAGCCGTCCTCATCTCCCGGTACGGCACCTAGAGACCTCTCAGACATGGGGTGGTAAAAGCAGCTAGGACGGCGGCGTACTCAAAATCCGGAGCCCTTGGACCTCAAAGCCCTGCTCGATAGCCTCGGTGGCATTGAGGAGGTCGTATTGGAACCTTTTGCGGCCCCTAGTTGGAGGATGTGAAGTACTTGTTACCATGAGTCCGAGGTAGTTGGTGCAAGGGCGTGGGTGGCACAACAGATGAGATGTGACTTGCCGCAGCGCACTGCGCGGCTTCAAGGAACGTGTACCGTGGGTCGTTGATGATTGCGCAAAACGCCGATTACTTCTTACAGCGTAATCAGACGAGGATGAGGCTGGCCTCAATACTGCGTTGTCGGCTTCAAAGCTCCAGGGTTCTACGCGAATATCTCAAGCTGGTGTTCCCCCGTGCTAGGTGCTGAGTTTGCTGCTTGCTACAGACAGCCCAGATGTCACAAATAGCAGGTTTGCAGGAGGTGTTCCTCAGAGTTGCCGACAGACGAGTCAGAGCTGGATAATCGACGTGACACTTGACTCGTCGCGTCGCACGGCCGCCACATACATAGGCTGAGATCTGGGCGCTCGATCGCACAACATCGCTCGTTGCTACGTACTCCGATGCGCTTGCTGACTTACCGTGATCACTATTCAATGCTCCATACTTTGTCTCGATCATAGTTGACTAATGCTTGCAGTGCAACTAACGCGAAATGTGACTATGTAGATTGCCTCTACAGGTATGCTCAAGTGTCGTTCTCGTACTCATATATTCGGAACACAGGTAGTAATGACAACCTCGGAGCCTGGCGCACTTACCAGGTGCGTATCAGAACTGCATATCGTATCAACTGCGAGCGAATCAATGACAGCACTAATTGTAGCGCACCTCGTTATCGCTCTTCAGGACAACTTTGGCCTTGGTGAGGACCGTTGTCCGAACTTTCCCTCCATTATCCCTTTCCCTTCCTCCCACCTTCGTCTCAGATAGGAGTCCCAGGTGAGTAGTACAGAGCACGGTCCTGGAAGGAGCGCGAGCTGAAGGTGCCTTGAGCAGTTCCGCATTATCGCTATCCATGCGCGTAGGGTCGTATATCGCGTCCGAGTCTGCCACGTACACGACGAAGTCCCGCGAGATGACGCATTCACCCGCGGTCCACTGGAACCTGAGAGCGAGATTCACGACCTCGTAGAGCTCGGCCTCGAAGTCGCGCACGACCGCCTCCAACACGCCATCCCACGTACCGATGGCGCCGCACAAGATCAGAACGTCCGCGATGACGACGGAGAGGGTCTGGAAGAGCCGTTGCGTTTGAGCCTCCCCCCTTTCTATCAGACTCTTGACGTGCGTGCGACAGAGCGCCCTCCACCTTCCAGCCACGGACTGGGGTTCTGTGTCTGCGTCAGTACTCTGCACGCATGGTTTCTGCGGAGTAACACTTACCTCTTTCCCGCATGCTCAAGTAAATGCCCTCCAACAGGCCTCGTGAGTCGAGCACACCGAGATCCCAGCACGTCGCGAGCCATCGTGCGTACATCGCGATTCCCGCTTGCAGGCTAGTACGGGCCAGGTCGGCCTCGTTCGAGTGATCGCTGGAGCGGAGTGTCGTGACGAGCGATGGAGGAATCCAAGCATAACGCTCGAGTCTCCTCGCGGCTTTCTCGACAACAGCGGAGTCCTGCAAGGCCCCGAAACGGACGTGCGGCGATCCCGCGATCTTGCCTGCGGTTCGGGCTACCTGGGCGTTCAAAAGCTCGACGATGTGCAAGACCTCGTTGTCCTCGACGGCGTCCTCTTGGGCGAGGAAGAGTTGCGCCTCTCGGAGCTCGGCGGTACGGGCCTGGAGGAGTGCTGCGGTGGATCGTCGCTCCTTCTCGGCCTGCGCGTGCACCCGTTCCAACTCGGCGATCCTCGCTGCGCTGCGCGTCGCCTCGCCCTCCAACTGCGCCAGACGGGCTTGCAGCTGCCGGGCGTTCGCGACTGCGCCCTCGAGCTGCTCCTGGCTCCTGGTCCGAGCGAGCTTCTCCTGCTCCACTTGCTCTCGGAGCTGCTCCGCTCGTTCTGCGTCCGGCTCTAGTTGGAGAAGGCGCAACTGCACTCGATGAGTCTCTGCCGCTGCAGACTCGAAGTCGACCCTCCTCTGCTCGGACGTCGCGCCTACGAGCTCGAGCTGGCGACGAAGCTCGTCTACCTCCTGCTGTTCGTTTGCGGCTATCCGACGGACGTTCGCCCCGGTTTCCTTCTCGTGCTGGTCTTCGCCGGTAGTCGACAGCGTTGTACGGATACGGTCCGCCCGGAACGATCGTACAATCCAAGAGAACAGCATAGAGGGCAAGTCGCAGACAGGGAGAGGACGTTTCAGCAGGTTCATGGTCGAAGGTTGTGGGCGGGCAAGACTGAAGCCACCGTCATGTCGACACTAAATAACCTCCACACCTAACGCTCATCAGCCCGACGTTTGCTCATTCGACCTCCTAATAATCGAGTCTGACGTATTCTTCCTCGAGGACGGATTAATATCGCAGGTGAATGGTCTTGCGGACATCGCATGCCTAAAATATCTGGGACTGTGGTCAGGACCCTTGGAAGAGAACGGGGATGCCCATTCACTATACCGGGACATTCTTGCTAAGGGGGTTCATGGTGCGCGCATCGCCTCAGGCGAGGATTCTCATCTCATATTGTCGTTCGCCAGCCAGACCTTGGTTCTCCTTACACGTATTCGAGTTATTTGGTGGCCGTGCCGAGCAATGCCGGGGCTGGGTAAGACGTACAAGTTGAGCCGTTTGACCTTCGGAGTTCGGGCCTCAGGTCACGAGCTTCAGGTCGGGCATTCGTTTCCGAATCCAATCGATCCGCTACCTCTCTGTGCCCTTACGCTCGAGGAAGCATTCTCATACGTGCTACAGTGTATATTCCATCGAGATATAGAATCCATATTTACATCCAAACATAGGCACGCGTCTTACGTACCAGAGTCCAAGCTACGCTGATTACACGGATCACGCTCGAGACACCTCGCAGTTGTAGTAGATCTGCATCAAAAGTCGCTTGTAAAGCTGTTATCAGACTCGGCACACTTCGAAACCTGGATCCGCGAGAGAGCGAATATGGCCAGTAAACTTACAGGTATGTGGTGAGCCCTTCGTGACCCAGGAGATTGTTCCATGACGTACAAGGGATCCCTTCCCGGATACAGTGGGATTAAACTTTCGATTGGAGATCATATGCCATTGAGCTCACCTAGAGTTCAACGTCCGAGTCAGGCTCTGCACGGGCTTGGACATGCTCGTTGTACAGCTCGTCCAGCATGCTCGTGAGGACGACCGTCGGTTTAATCAGGGTTGTCTCGTAGAAGACTGCACCATCTCCGTCACTGCCATCCCGACGTTCCTGTCGAGTAAGGCCGAGCCGCGTCGTGCACAAGATGGGATCGGTTAGGATCTGATGGCGTTTTCCCTTCGCAGGACGTCCCCATTCGTCGTCCATGAGAGCAGGGTCAAAAACGGCATCGATCGGCGCGATCGTCACGGTGAGGTCCCGAGAAACTATCATTTCCCCTGACATCTTCTGGAACTCTAGAGCGAGGTGTACAACGTCACCTATGGCTGAGCCAAACCGCGTGTTCATGTCGTCGAGGAGGGTCTGCGGAACCGCTGGAACACCACAAGCCAACAGGACTGTCACAATGTGTTTCGCGAGATCGTCTTCGCCCTCTTGCTGGAGTTGTACGTCTCCCGCGGAAAGCGCTCTGACGTGGACACGACTGAGAGCCCGCCACCTCCCGGCGACAGACTGCGGCTCTACACAAAAGTCAGAACTGTAGTACTGGCTGCTAATCAAGCGTACCGCTCTGTTGGATGCTCGTGTACAAGTGCTTAAGTTGGACACCAGACCCCCGTCCGCCACAGAAGTCCCAAGTGTTGCACAGCCATCTGAGATATGCCGTTACAAGTGCCTGTAGAGCGATCTGCAATATGACTGGGTCTTCGGCATGATTGTGATGCTGAATGGCATGGAGGAGCGGTGATGGGAGTAAAGCCGGATCATGTGCAGCGAGCTGAGCGCGCGCTTCTTCCATGACTTGTACGTTCTGGTCGACCCCGCAGAGCCCATCGAAGACGTCCGCTATCGTAGCGGCCGTCTGGTAGATTCCTGAGTTGAGGTTCGTGACGCAGCGCATGACTTCGCTATCCGAGGTATCGTCCGTCTTGTCCAGGTAAAACTGCGCTTCTTGTAGCTCCGCCGTCCTGGTCTTCAAGAGGAGTTCAATTTTCTGCTTTTCGCCCGAGGCGAGTAACGCCGCCCTCTTGAGCTCTTGCACCTCCCCTTCAAGGCTCCGATACTCCCTGTCCTTGTTGTGCAAACGGTGCTCGAGATCCTCGGCGTGCGCGGTGGCGCGGGTGCATCTATCCGACACCCTCTTCAGCTCGCGCTTGGTCCGCTCTAGCTTATCCTACAGAGCTCCAGATCAGATCAATATGCCCCTCGGATCCCTCCTCAAGTCTGTCACGCACCTCAGCCTCGGATTTTTGGGCAGCAAGCTCCCTCGTCAACCTAGCTATCTCTGTCTCTGCGGCTTGCAATTTCCCATTCAGACGTGTCACTTCTGACTCCGGTCTCGCTCTCGTGGTTTCCGAGGAGACAGTATGGGTTCGTTCCGAATGATGAGCCGTTACGAGAGGAGCCTTAGAACGAACGCTTTCCGGCTGTACAGTGTTCGACTGCCGGACGGCCTCTGGCTGCGTGCCGTTCATAGAGCTAGGCTGCGGATCGTGGTCTCGTTGTTCATGTACTTCCGAGTAAGTCTGCATCGAGGGCAGCGTTCTCGTCTGAGTGTCGGCTGACATTGGTTGCGGTTCAACAGGATCGAGGAATCTGGCCAGGGTGCGTCGTGCGATATGCAAGAAGAAAGATAAGTCCAAGGTCATAGTGGATGGAAGAACGAGTGGCTCAGACGGTGCCATCTTCCGGGTTTGTTGATTAAGGTTGGTAGCCGTGGTGTCCGATGACCTAACATTCAGCATGGTTTGAGTATCTCGGCTACTACGCCGAGCTCTTTAGTCCTTTAACGTCAAAGGCTACCGCAGCACCGACACCCTAACACAAGACAATGCATAATTCTTCTTCATTGCCATCGGGAGCCCGGATACGTTTATCGGCGCATTCGAGATTCTCACGCGGTTAACAAAGGTAATCGAAGCATTATCTGGCTACCGCAGCACAGCGACGGCTCCCGCTTGTGGCCGTTAATCGCCCATTGCCTCGCAGATCAGGCGGTCGTGATACCGACAGGGGTCTCCGAGAAACCAACAATCCCAATCCCTACCTCCACTGTCGATTTTCCCCTTCATACACAGAATCTATGCCCTCACTTCAGCCTTACAGTGGCACTGTCCGGAAGCTCGTTCTCGGCATCGACATTGGCACCACGTATTCGGGCATCGCATACGCTCTGCTTGACCCTGGCGAGGTGCCCAAGATCCATGGTGTTACGCGGTACGTCTGCTTCCGGGGCATATCTGAGCGTTGTTCATGTGGGAGAGGACAGCTTTCCGGGGCAAGAGAATGCTGCAGGCGACTCAAAAATCCCCTCTATTCTATACTACCGTCAAGATGGCTCAGTACATTCTGCCGGTGCCGAAGCAGCTCTCCCTGGCATGGATTTAGAAGCTGAGGACCAGGAACTCGTGCTCGTAGAATGGTCCGTGTCCTTGTTGTCGAGTCATGCCCAATCCTTCTTATATAAAGCCCCAGGTTTAAGCTTCATTTGAGGCCGGAGAGACTCGACTCCGGCGACTTCAGACGTCAAGACCTTCCTCCGCTCCCGCGCGGCAAGTCAGTTATCGACGTCTTCTCCGACTTCCTCGGGTATCTCTTCCGCTGCGCGAGTCAGTACATTCGCGAGACACACGCAAATGGGGAGAGTCTGTGGACATCAATCGAAGATCGCATCGAATTTGTTTTGTCCCACCCCAATGGCTGGGAGGGTCTTCAACAGGGCAGAATGCGTCAAGCAGCCATTACGGCTGGCCTTGTTCCAGACACTGCCGCGGGTCATGCTCGAGTCCACTTCGTCACGGAAGGGGAAGCGAGCTTGAACTTCTGCATTCAAAGTGGGCTCACAGAGGAAACCATGCAGGTCTGTCCTGATTTCTCATGGTTGCTAAGCCTCCAAGTGCTTGTTGCTGATCTAGATGCTACAGGATGGCAAGACTGTCATGATTATCGACGCGGGCGGAGGGACTGTCGATATCAGCACCTACACATTCGTCTCCATCTCTCCTGTGTCGGTGGAGGAGATCACATCAGCTGACTGTGAGTAGCCATTATGCCCCACCTAACTGCTCTCACCGTGCGTTATAGGTATTCTTCAGGGCTCGACGCGAATCAATCTCAGAGCCGAGAAGTTCTTGAAAGGTAGAGTGCTCTATCAGGGTGTCAGGTGCCATGTGGATCACTGAAACTCTCCAAGAGAGACTGGCGTCTTCAGCTTACGGAAATGACGAGGATATCAAGTCAATGATGGACTACTTCGACAAATCGACAAAGCCGGTTTTCAAGGACCATAAGGAATCGTCGTACATCAAGTTCGGTTCGATGAGCTGCAACGACGCGAAACACAAGATACGTCGTGGTCAGCTCATGCTCAGCGGGTAAGGCCGCAGCTCCAGTTGTGCTGACCGTTTCACCGATCACTCACTACGTGGTGCAGGGCGGAAATGAGTTCATTCTTTCAACCCTCTTTGGATGCCATCGTCGACGTCGTTCAAAAGCAGCGTCGAGAAGTCGCTAGTCCACTTGAGGTAGGTGACGGTTCTCGCTCGGGGGTAGCCATTGACGTGCAACATTGCATCATAGACTGTCTTCCTCGTCGGTGGCTTCGCTGCCAGTCCATGGCTGCATACTGCTCTGAAGAGTGCACTCGACGCTCATGGAGTCACCCTGTGCCGTCCGGACTCCCACACGTACGTCCGAACTTCCCTCCCTTGCATACGTTTTCTAATTCCCGTATTACTCACAGGAGTAAAGCAGTCGCCAATGGTGCCGTGTGCTTCTACCTTGAGCAATTCGTCTCGGCACGAATCATGAAGATGACATATGGTACCGGAGTTGCCGTCGATTACGACCCCAACGATCCGGAGCATCATCGACGCCGCGACAGCTTGTTCATCCGTCCTTCTGGCAGGGTTATGATACGAAATGGCTTCTCTACGATCTTGAAGAAGGTACTTACTCAACATCAAGTCGTAATGTGTGCTGACCGTTTGAGGACCCGTACACTTAGGGAACGCGGATGAGGGAGAGCGAGGAGATCTCTCAGCCGTACAACATTGAGGCCCGTAATGTGAGAACGTTGGACAGTATCGTCAGCGATGTCCTTTGCTACAGAGGCAGATCTGCTCAGCCCAAGTGGGTCGACGTTGAACCAGGCAAGTCTGATTGATACTCCCATATCGGGGTTCATATCAACAGCATCGCGTTGCCAGAATTCTACACACCTCTTTGCACGGTGTATGCCGACACATCCAGGGTGAAGAAGGTAGCACATAACGGGCCCGAAGGCCTGTACTACTTGCAGGAATTCAAGGTTGTCCTTCTCTGTGGCCTTACCGAGCTCCAAGCACAAATCAGCTGGGTAGATGGGGTGAGCATTTCCGTCCTCCGCTATCCTGCGGCAACGAGCTGATGGACATTCGTCAGGGCGTTGAGCGTCGGTGCGTCCTGCATTGCACCGTCATAAACTGCATTACTAACTAGCATTACTAACTACGACACAGGGGCCCAGCCAAGATAGTCTATGACGATGATCTCGAAGTCTCGCACTAGATCAGGACTTGGCTGCTGACCGTCATGGATGAGGTACTGTCGTCTATTCCAATTGTTCCTGAAATTGTATATTTGAAGTTGAGTTCTGCAACTTGTTGGCGTCGAATAGGAGTCGCGTTGGTAGCATTTCTTGAGTGTATATTCATGTATCAGTATCCGTCGTTCGTCGAGTACAGTCTACTACTAGGCGAAGCACCGCAGCATATATCATCAACCACTTGTCTTCGTACGTGATAGGGCAAGTGGGGGTGTTCTAGCCTTGAGTGATATCATCGGCATTTCAGGCTACGCCTAAGGAGCCACCTCAGACCCTTGAGTCCTGAGTCCACTGGCAAGTCGTTGCGGTTCAGCTTCAGCGCTTCGACGGCTGCACCGGCTCAACGGCCCGGAGCAGAACCGGCGCTTCTGTTACCATTATTGTGAGGATAATCGGGTATGCCGAACGCGACCACTTAAGCGAGCCATTGACGTCGGATTCCAACTTAAGGTTGTCGAGTTTCGGTGACCACTCCATCTACAGTCCTGCCTGAAGCTTCACGGTCACGGACGCCGATTTTATGCGAGTATCAGCTGGCATATATGCAGCTGCACATATTGGCACGCGTCTTCCGCACAACAAAGCTTCGAACTGATCACGCAAGCCCCAGCTCCGAAGGCTGGTACTAATTGCACACATGACATTCGTCTATAGGGTGATTTCTGAAGCCTTATCTGACAAATTCTAGGCCCCAGAGAAAAATGTGTAGGATCGTCATACATCCAGGTGCGAGCGGTAGATCATCGCTGATCACTTTGCTCCCCAAATGCCCTACTGGAGACGGGTGTGACCTGTGGTGAGATCTGGTGAGTGTTAGCTTCTAGCCCATTCGCCATTGGACTCACATGAGGTAAATGTGTCTCTATCAAGGCATAACGGTATTGATATGCTCGTTCCACAACTCGCTTAACATGCTGGCGAGGACGACTGTCGGTTTCATCAGGACTGTCTTCTCGACAACCACTCCGTTTCCATCACAGCCTTCCCGTCGCTCCTCTCGTACGAGGCCAAGCTGTGTTGTACACAAGACAGGATGGGGTTGTATTGGACAGAAGTTCCCCTTCGCCGGAGGTGCCCATTCGTCGACCATCAGAGCTGGGTCGAATACCGCATCGACTGGCGCGACAACCACGGAGAGATCACGGGAGACGATCATCTCCCCGGTTGTCTTTTGAAGGCGTAGAGCAAGGCGCACGGCCTCGTGCAACGCAGGCGCGAAGGAACTCTTCACGTTGCAGAGGAGCGTCTGAGGAGGCGTCAAGACCCCACAGGCCAAGAGGACATCGGTGACGTGTTCCGCAAGAATACCTTCTCCAACCTGCTGGCGTTCTACATCCCCCGCGAGAAACGCTTTGACATGTAACCGGCTCAGAGCTCGCCATCTTCCGGAAACTGATTGCGGTTCTACGGGGAAGTTAGAGCCGAGCGACTGACCTCCGGTAGCAGCAGTACGTACCCTTCTCTCGAATCTCTGAGTACATCTGCTCAAGGAGTGAAGGTCTAGCTGCAACATGGAAATCCCAACTGCTGCTCAACCACTTGAGATATGTCGCCATGAGTGCCTGCAGCGTAGTTTGCATCACGATAGAGTCTCCGACGTGATCGAAAGACCGAACGGCATTGAGGAGTGTCGCGCTGACTAGCGCAGAACTGCCGAGTCGAACACTCGCCTGTTCGATGGACTCCGCGTTCTGGTCACCTCGGCACAGCACGTGGAAGGCGTCTGCTATGGCGGCCGCGGCTTGGAAAATACCCGAGTTGAGGTCTGCGACGCAGCGCACGACTTCGCTATCCGAGGTATCGTCCACCTTGTTTAGATAGACCTGCGCTTCCTGGAGCTCCGCTGTCCTAGTCTTCAAGAGGAGCGCAGTCTGTTGTTTCTCGTTCTCCGCGCATACTACCGATCTCTTTAGAGCCTCCACCTCCAATTCTAGGTACTGAATACGCCGCTCCATGGTGGACGAATGGTGTTTCATCTGCGACGCATATGCAGTGGCGTGGGTGCGCATCTGCTCCGCGTTTTTCAGGTCGCGCTTCAAACGAGCGATATATTCCTGTAGAGCTGCATATCAGACACTCTTCTCTATTCCTCAAATCGTTTGACCTACATCAGCATCTGATATGTGAGAGGCTAGCTCCGAGCTGAGTCTAGCATCACGTTCCTGTGCGGCCTGCAGTCTCCCACTCAGCGTCTCCACCTTTGACTCCGACTTCGTCAAAGCCCTCCGAAGACGTTGGGCTTCCGACATCGAATCCCCTGTCTGGACGGCTTTCGACTGACTAGTTGATACCAGAGAAGCCTCGGACTGAACGCTGGCTGGTTGCCCGATATCCGACTCTCGGGTGGACTCCGACCGTGTGCCGCTCATCGAGACAGCTCTGGAACGACGAGTTGGTCTTCCACGTTCTTCGTACGTACCCATCGAGGGCAGCTTCTGGTTTGCAGCGTCCACTGACGTCGACTGAGCAGCACGGGAGAGTTTGGGCATGAGGGTTTGGACGATACGCAGGAAGAACAGAGAATAGTCCCAGTTCATGGTGTACAGCAGGGCGAGGGGCGGTTGAGGTGCTGCCACCTTGTCCTCTCTTGAATCAGCTCGCTAGACACCATACCCGATTACCGGAATTGTGGTATGACTTTGGTACTTCGTTGCTACGCTAACGTCTTTCTGATTGCTTTGTGCCTCTTGTTTCAAAGGCTGCCGCAGCACTGACAGCAATTCACGAGATTATGCAAAACGCTCCAGGAATCAAGGGCACGCGGCTTGAGTGCAGAAGGAGGTATCTCTCTTTGGTCATTGATGTACCCTTTGTAAGTGCACTTGCATTCGAGATCCTCAGCCCTTTGACACAGGGTGTTTGACCATCAGTCTGGCTACCGCAGCACTACAGAGCTTTTGGCCGTCAATAGCTCGTTGTTCGACCCAGATAGCCATAATAAGGACATGGGCCTCTGAGGCATCAACCGACCCCAGTCCCCACTCTTAACCTGCACTATCGCGTTCAGCAAACATGCCCTCACTACAAGCCTACAAGGGCACGTTTCGGAAGCTGGTCATTGGCATTGACATTGGCACCACATATTCAGGTATTGCATACGCTGTGCTTGACCCTGGTGAGGTGCCACAGATCCACGGCGTCACTCGGTACGTCCCTTCGTCCGAGCAGAACTCCACGGCATGAATGTTTGGGGCAACAGCTTCCCGGGACAGGAGAATGCTGCAGGAGATTCTAAAATCCCCTCCATTCTATACTACCGTCAAGACGGCTCCGTTCACTCGGCTGGTGCAGAGGCCGCTCTGCCCGGGATGGACCTGGAGGCTGAAGACCAGGAGCTCGTGTTTGTGGAATGGTTCGCATTTTTGTTCAGCCTCGATGAAACCCCTTCTCACACAGCTATCAAGGTTTAAGCTTCATCTCAGGCCGGAACGACTCGACTCTGGTGACGTCAAACGTCATGACCTCCCGCCGCTTCCACCCGGCAAGAGCGTTATCGACGTTTTCTCCGACTTCCTCGGATATCTCTTCCGCTGCGCGCGTCGGTTCATCCGCGAGACACACGCAAACGGCGAGAGTCTATGGACGTCTGTTGAAGACCAAATTGAGTTTGTCCTGTCGCACCCAAACGGCTGGGAGGGTCTTCAGCAGGGGAGAATGCGTCAAGCAGCCATCATCGCTAACCTTGTTCCGGACACTGCCGCGGGACATGCTCGTGTCCACTTCGTCACGGAAGGGGAAGCGAGTTTGAACTTCTGTATCCACAGCGGGCTCGCCGCAGAAGCTATGAAGGTCTGTCCTGACTACGCACACCTCACATCGCATGTCGTTGACATACTTGATACAGGATGGCAAGACTGTCATGATCGTCGACGCCGGTGGCGGGACTGTCGATATCAGCACATACACATTCGTCTCCGTCTCTCCTATTACGGTGGAGGAAATCACGTCGGCCGACTGTAGGTAGTCACATATGCCTCGATGGAGTCCACTCTCACCATGTACTCTAGGTATCCTTCAAGGCTCGACACGAGTGAATGTTAGGGCAGAGAACTTCCTGAGAGGTAATGTACCCGACTGGGGTGTCATGTGCTATGAATCTCACTTGAACTTCTAAGAGCGACTAAAGTCTTCGGCGTACGGAAATGACGCAGATATCAGCTCAATGTTGGATTACTTCGACAGATCCACAAAGCCAGTCTTCAAGGACGACAAAGAGTCTTCCTACATCAAGTTCGGTTCGATGAGTTGCAACGATCCGAAAGTCAACATACGTCGTGGGCAGCTTATGCTCAGCGGGTCAGTTCCGCCACAGCTTCAGCTAACATGAAATTTCATCGATCACTCACTACGTGATGCAGGGCGGAAATGAGGTCCTTCTTCCAACCCTCCATGAATGCCATTATCGATGTTGTTCAGAAGCAGCGTCGAGAAGTCGCTGGTTTACTTGAGGTAGGTGGTGGTTCGCTCTCGGAGTTATCTGTTGCTCTATAACGACGTTTGATATTCGCCATCGTAGACTGTATTCCTCGTCGGTGGCTTCGCTGCCAGTCCATGGCTGCATACCGCTCTGAAGAGTGCACTGAACGCCCATAGCGTCACTTTGTGCCGTCCGGACTCCCACACGTACGTCGAAATTGCCCCCCCCCTTTGCAGAGCTATGTTGTCTAATATTCGTGTTGCCCACAGGAGTAAAGCAGTCGCCAATGGTGCCGTGTGCTTCTACCTCGAGCATTTCGTCTCAGCTCGGATCATGAAGATGACATATGGTACCGAAATTGTCGTCGAATACGACCCCAACGATCCGGAGCATTATTCGCGTCGCGGTGACATAGCTGTCCGTCCTTCGGGACGCATCATGTTACGGAACGGCTTCTCGTCGATCTTGAAGAGGGTACGTGTCCATTTACCCCAAGTCGTACATGTGTGCTGACCGTATGAGGACCCGTACACTTAGGGAACGCGGATGAGGGAGAGCGAGGAAATCTCTCAGCCGTACAACATCGAGGCCCGTAACCCGAAACCTCTAGACAGTATCGTCAGCGATGTTCTTTGCTACAGAGGCAGATCCGCACAGCCCAAGTGGGTCGATGTTGAACCAGGCAAGTCTCATGTATACTCTCCCAAATCTGCGGACTAGTACGCATTGACAGCACGGGTTGTGCGCTGCCAGAATTCTACACACCTCTTTGCACGGTGTATGCCGACACATGCAGGGTTAAGAAGGTAGCGCGGAACGGGCCAAACGGCCTCTACTACCAGCAAGAGTTCAAGATCGTCCTTCTCTGTGGCCTTACCGAGCTCCAAGCACAGATCAGTTGGGTAGAGGGGGTAAGCATTTCCGTCCCCCGCTATCCTGCGTCACCGAGCTGATGGAATGACCCATTCGTCAGGGCGTTGAGCGTCGGTGCGTCCTGTATTGCACCGTCATGAACTGTATTGCTAACTACGACACAGGGGCCCAGCGAAGATAGTCTACGACGATGATCTCGAGGTCTCGCGCTAGATCAAGAATCTGGTGGAAGAAGGACTGTTGTCGTCAACTCCATTTATCGTGGCCGTGACATCTGGCTTGTGAGTGCTGAGTAGGAGTTGAGTTGGGAGAGTTTCTTGAGCCAATGTTTGTGTACGAGTTACGAGTAGTGTTCCCCTTCTATCGTCGAGTACAGTGAAGCACCGCAGCATACGTCGTCAGCCGCTTGCCTTCATGCGTGATGATATGAACGGGAATGATCTATGTTTGAGTGTTATAATCGCAACCGGTAGGTCATTCCGTGCTCCGCCCAAGGAGCCATTTCAGACCCTTGACGACGTCCTGTCTGACCAACTCCGCGAGCTTGATGCTCGGGAAGTTGTAGTAGAATCCGTGCCCTACACCAGGATATCTAGTATTCTTCCGTAAGCTTCCAATTCATAAAGTAACCCATTCACTGGGCGACTCACAAGTCGATCCTGGTCTCGACGCCGGCCGCCTTGAGGGTCTTCTCGTATACGATGCCGTCGTCCCGGAGCGGATCGAGGCCCATGACCTGGACATACGCCGGCGGCAGGCCTTCGTGGGAGGGATACAGCAAAGGCGACAAACGTGGATCCGCAGGAGGGCCCTGGTACATGTCTGGAATATGTCAGTTCGCTGATGCTCTGGAAGCCTGACAAGCGTCTAGTGGGGACGTACGAAAGAGATCGAGCATCATTGCGGCAGTTAGAGGTGGGTTGTCCTTGTTCTCTACTGAAGCACGGAGTTCGCCCTTCAGGCTTCATGTAAAGTGAGGTTGGGGCCAATATCACTGCATTGGGGGCTTTGCCGCTTACCTTTGAGGGTAGGCGTCGAAGTGGACGACGACCGGTTCCCTGAGAAGTTGTCCCGTGATCTGCCTTCCGGCAAAGAAGGGGTCTTTCTTCGTTTCGTGCGCCAAGACAGCACTGAGGTTACCTCCAGCGGAATGTCCTCCGACGAGGAACCCCTTGCTGAGATCGACCTTTAGCGACGGTGCGTTCTCTACGGTCTGTTGTAGATGTCGTTTCAGTACGTCTGAGTGAGTAAGCAACATTGGCACGTACCCATTTCAGAGCGGCGTAGCAGTCGTTCACGGCTGTCGGGAACGGATGTTCAGGAGCTAACCTGAGAGTGCGTTAGGGTAAGGATGCGTAGGCAAGGTTACATGACTTCGCACCTATACTCCACATTTACTACGGATATCTGCAGATCGACGCTTATTCGGCGGAGATGGTAGTCATCTATCTCAATGCTGCCCACACACCAACCTGTAGACCGCGCACCAGGGGGATGAGCCGAAGGCATGTCTAGAGGGACGTGGATTTCGTTGACCTCCGCCGTGTATGTTCACAAACACGGGAAACGTCTGCCCTTCGTCGTTCACTAGGGGAGTAATGCAACGCACGATGATCTCCCCGCCGTCCACCTTCACAGTCCTATCCTCAACAGAGTACGCGGAGGCTGATGTACACTCAATATTTTGCTGACGCGCTCATACACAGAGTCGAGATTGCAACATACCTGGAGGGAGACGCCCTTCATGAAAGCTCTTGTTCGGTTCGATGAGGCTATGGGCAAAGTGAGCTCTGACTTGTTCCACTGAGGGTGGAGTCGTTGGATGAGGAGCGTTGAGGAGGGGGGCCACTGCCGCGGCGTATTCGGGATCCATCGTAACTGGGATGTTTCGCGTGGGTGACTTGTCGCCTTCCCATACCGTCCCGTCCTTATATATCTGGCTCTATGTCTACACTTTGTGGGACCCATGTCTCTCTGATGCCCTATACCGACTGAAGGCAATCTGAAAAACCACTGACTCAGAACTATGCTGCGATCTCGAAGGAGCTATCAGTAAGACGTCAGCAATGGATGTCATGGGAAAGTGAAAGTGAAAGTGTATGCTTGAATCCTGAGTAATCCGCCCATCGTGCGTCTGACAGTAGTGATTGTAAGGGTGCTCATGCACTCAGAACAGAATCAGTGTAGGCGCCTAATTACATAATATCGACAAATCATTTCACACTCGTCATCCAGTTCGGCAGGTCCCGGAGTAGCAGCACGATCGTTTCACCTCCTTTGTCCCCTTAGGCTATGAAGCAGATCGAGTGTCTACCAGGAGTGGGAAAACACTGACTCAGAAATGTGTATTGCACTACTCTCCTCTTAACGTTGCCTCTGAAGGCTAATGATCACCCAATCTGCTCACAAGCGCACGTTTAAGCGCCAAAGATAGTCGTAGTGCGAATAACTATGCTAATCAACTCGCATGTAACCAACAGCATTGTTAACCAGCGAATATCCATAGGCTTTACGCCCTACACTTGAGAGAATGGGATGGTACAGTGCGATAAAAACCAATTTTGATGGAGATGAAGAGTCTTCCATACTCCGACAGGTCCCGACTCCCCCCGGCCGCAGCCCCTACAGGCAACCCTGTCATCATTTAGTCTGTGTCAACCAGTCGTTTTCCTACAGTGTGCACGGGGTTGTGACGGAAGATCATAGGCCCATCGTAGCAGGAGTCGTGGACGGTGGTGGCTCAGCGCTTCAGCTTCAGCGCTTCGACGGTTGCACCGGCTCAACGGCCCCGGGCTGCCGGGTATGTGGAAGGGCGGCATGCTGTCACCACGTTGGCGTGTTCTAGGACCGGCTGTCTCTGCAACAACGACGACAACGGTGTTCGCATCGACCATGCTCATGTCGCGTGTCACACGCGTGCCATTGTGGCTTCGTGAGTGTGCATTTCCGTAGGACTTCATAGACTAAACCATGGTTCAGCTTAGGCTTCCATCCCCAGAAGGCGGCATAGCGTACGGGTACCTCGATTCCCAACCGTTCAAATTCGGCGTCAGCGCAATCACCGCTCCTGTTGCGCACTACATCTCCTGGACGCTGCCGCGTTTTACGTCTCCCTAGCCATCAACAGGCGGAATGCACGCCTAACGCGCTATTTTGAAGGGGGCACTGCAGGGTCGGGTGGAGGGGGCGTGTCCGCACACGATATGTGTCCGCGCAGCACAACGGTCCCCCTCTCTCCCCTCTCGGACTTCTGATGGAACCTCCCCCGCACTGAACACCACGATCCCAGTCGCGACAGACGTCAGCATTACGCTATGGCCCCCTCAGGTTCCTTCATTTCCTTCGCGACGACTGCGTGCAAGATCGCGCTTGTCCTCACGACGGTTGGCTACGCTGGCGTGGTCGTGCACCGGATGCGTACCCGGAATGCGGAGCTGCTGAAGGCATTGGACGATGCGAGGGTGGAACGCGAGGAGCTGCTCGAGCAGCTGGCCTTGGAGCGAAGCAAAGCGGAAGACGTCGTTGAGGAGAAACGGGAAGAGACTGAGTTCTGGCAGCGCATGGAAGGGCTGGCGAGGACGGAGCTGAGGAAGCAGGAAGAAGCGTTGAAGGAGCAAGAGGCCGTAGTCCTGGCACAACGCGAGCAGATTCTCAGCCTCCAATCTCAAGCCGGCGATGCGCACACCGTATCCCAGAGTCCTTTGTCTAACGCCTTCGAAGTCTTGCGAGCACCGGAAGATGCATCCTCGCGGCACGCGGAGTTCGTGGACGTCGGATCGACGATTGCCTCTTACGATGACGTCGTCCTCAGCATGGTCCGGACTTTGAACTTCGAAATCTCCGAGGTCGCCTCCCAGGTCACGAACGCCTTCCGTGTCACGGACACGCCTGACCACGACAACGTCAACCTAGCATTCGAACGCGCCCGTGAAGCCGTAGGGCCTGTCATGGCCGAGCTCCTCGAGTCGATACAACATCAAGACGATCCGATCATCGTCGACATCGCGCTCAAGGCCGACATGGTCGGATTCGCGGCAGAGGTTGCATCTGCCTGGGACTTCCAGCACCAGAGCCGGTCCGTCTTCACGGGGCTCTACAAGCAGATGCGTCGTTCGGGTGTGTATCCCGTGTCTTCCCCGCCGTCGGTTCCTGACGACCCCATTGCAGAGTCGCAATCGGTGTGCGGCCAATGGCGTTCTCGCGCGCGCAAGTATTCCAAGCAGCGCCTCTACAACAGCCGCGATCTCGTCCCGGGCTTTTCGCACCAGCTCGCGGAGCGGATCGCGGATCTGCTCACCGTCGCCGGCGGGTCCTCCGCCGCAGAAGACATCCACGCTGCATACGCGCCGCATCTCGAAACGATCATCCGCACCGCGCTCGACCTCCAACGCATCACCGGCGAGGAGGTCGTTGCGTGCGATTACGAGGTCCTCACGGCACGCTTCGACGAAATCTTTGACAGCGAGCAGATGGAGGACATCTACAACGGGGAGATCGCCGCGACCGGTCCACCCGGGACCGTCCCTCGTGTGCTCTCCACCGCGGACCTCGGCCTGCGGCGCTCGCAGAAGGTTGCCGATGCTGTCGACGATGATGATGGAGTCACAACGACGATGCTGCTGAAGCCGAAGGTCGTGCTCGATACTGTTGTGTACGAGCTAGGACTTGTCGACGAAGAGGACGCTAGCCCGTCGACGGCAGAGCCGTCTGCTTGACGTAACCTATGGACCTGCCGCTGATGCTCCGTATCTGTACCGCTATGTAATCTGTAATGCATACACTACGACAACTTACGTTTTCCTACGACCCCACCAGGCCGAGCAGCCACCTGAGCCAAGACGAGCGTGCCGCCGAGCGATTACAATTTTTGTCGAGACTTGCAGTCTGCCGTGACACCTCTGAGTACCACAACAGCACCGCAAGCAAGAAAGAATGTTTCCACCTGGATGTCTTATAAGCTACATAGCATGAGCTTAGGAGCAAGAATATCACAGGACAAGATCGACAACGACACAACAACGTGTAGGGATTCTGAGCGCTAGCAGCATTCAAAGGCCCGGCTTCTTCCGATACCGCTCCGGCGGGCATTTCCCCAACCCAGGATCACGCGTCCTGGCTCTCCCTCTGACACGATTCTATGGGAGTAACAGTTGTCGAGTGAGTTGGTGATGTGACCTATGCTCGGTTTCACAAACGATCAACCCAACCGGCGCTGCCAAGTCTTGCCACTTGCAAGTCCTGGTCGCGGTCGATGATGCGTGTGTACTATAGCAGCGCCCAGACCACCAGGCGGTTCGTCCATCAACTAATGTACGTCTTCCTTCGGCGCTGATCCATGCTTCGCACACACACACAGCTTGTGTATATATTGTACAAACAAGTACTATTACACAGTCTTTCTCCTGCGCCCCCCGCACTTCGACATCAACTGAAATCCGCCAACGGTGGCCTTGGACCATATGTGGAAGGCTGCAGCTGTCGCGATCGGCCTGCTCTCGATTGCCTTGAGTGGCTATCACTCAGGCTATGTTCAGATACGTACATCACTCTCGACAGATCACTTATCGGATGGGGGCGTCGAACGGTGGAGTTGTCGACCATTTCTCCCTCGCCTCTTCGTTGAGACACCTCCTTCGCCACTCCAGCCTAAGATCTCACGGGCTGCTGACCGCCTGCATGCTCACTTCTCTGAGCGATTCTCCAAAGGGGATATAGACAGCCTCTCTGTTGCCGTTGTCACCTCGAATAATGTCCTCTTCGAGAAAAATCACGGAGTGATGCGAGCAAATGAAACGGGCTCCCTGCCCACCTACAGCCATTCCATGTACCGCATTGCATCAGTGGCGAAGATGTTCAATGTGCTGGAGGGTTTCATACTGGAGCAGAAGGGCTTGATCTCATGGTACGTACACGTATACTTTATCTTCTAGCATCCACGGCTTCATTTTCGATTTAGGGATGACCCGATCGACAAGTACATCAAAGACTTCCACTATGTTGCGACGGGTTTGGATAGAGCAACCGCACACCATGCGCCTCCGCTCACCCTTCGTCAGCTCGCCACACACATGTCTGGGTTGGGTAGGGATTGGCCTCCAGGGACAGTCCCCGGATGGCCCCACGACATGCGTGGCATGGGACCCCCACCGACGAATGGCCTCCCTTTCCCTTCCTACGATGCCTTACTCGCTTCGATTTCCAAGCACCATCTCACCTCGCCTCCTGGCGCGTATCCTGCGTATTCGAACGCAGGTACGGCCCTCCTTGCTTACGCACTTGCCATCGCAAGTGCTACAGCTGATGGCAAGACGGGGAAGATCAGCTACGCAGACCTCGTGAAGCGCGATATCTTCGGCCCTCTTGGCATGAACGGCAGCCACTTCCTAGCCACGGAAGCCAACAGGCACCTTGTCGTCGTTCCTTCCCTCGCCCCTGAGGTTGCGGTTCGTACTCTAAGCGCCTCGTGAACGATCATGCAGGACTAACGTTCGTCCTTGGATAGGACCAGGACTTCCTGGACGCGATGAACCCTGCGGCTGGACAGTTCTCTTCTCTCGCGGACCTCATCACCGTGACGCAAACATTGCTGAACCCGCGTCACCCGAAGAGTCTCCTGACGCCCTACTCTCTGGATACCTGGTTCCATACCGCGCACGCTTTCGAGGAGGACGACTGGACCGAGATGGGCTTTATTTGGGAGATCGTCAAGGCGCGCGACTCGAATGGCCGTTTACGGAAGATATACTGGAAGCGTAGGGAGTAACATCTGTCGCTACTTACGATTCCTCACGATTCCCTATGCAGTAGGCGCGATGGCTGGCTATCATGCCGCCTTAGCCATACACCCCGGGACGGGCTACGGCGTCATCGTCCTGATGACCGGTCATTACCCCGACGCCGCAAAGCTTGCGTACGATACCTTCGAGATTTTCCAGCCAGCAATTGATCAGGCCCTTGCTGAGCTGGCGGCCGAGCTATACGTGGGCGAATGGTATGATGTCCACGGCAGCGAGGAACAGCCTTCGTCTGCGCGCATCGTGATAGACAAGGGCACGTTATATATCAAGAGTCTGAAGCTCCTCGGTGTCGATGCGCTTAGGAACTTTGGGGCGCCTGGGCGGCTCGCCCTCCGTTCGAGCCAGCGTCGGGACGAGTTCAGGTGCGTCTCAATGGTTTGCTCCAATGTTAATGTCGCAGTCCTCCCTGACGCTCAATGCTGTTTACAGGATCGACACCGGTATCCCCGGATACAATGGACAAAAGCATATGGGCTGCTACCCGTATTGGAATGGGCAGGACCTCTGGGGTGTTCGGCAGAATGCTGCTGTGAACGCGATTTACTTCTCGGGAGATCGGGAGGGGCGATTACTTCACGTCCCTTCCCTTTCAATCGCCATGACCCGGAAATGATGCGTCCGAAGTGTTCCCCTGATCATATGTAGATTAATGTAACGACCTCGTAGCGAGAATGGGTACAGTGGTTCCAAATACACGTATTTGGCACTTTTCTGGAGATAAGTACCACAGGGCAATGGGGATACACAATCGTGCGTTCCTACAACCACAACCAGTCGTAATGTACTCTAATGTCGACCGAAGTTGGCATCCAAAGTATTGAAGAGCTATATATTACTAGAACCGTGATCGACTACGACACATTGGGAAGTCTCAAGTCGTTCTCTTGCATAGGCAAGCACCTACCTCTCACACGCCGGCAGCGAACGACCACACCTACAGAGGATGCAATGATGTGAGTGAGCAAGAATGGCGTTGAAGACGCACCACCGTCACGGTGACGTAGATCGTTCATCCCGCTGTCCGCTGTCCAACAGCATACCGTCAGTGCCCCAGTCATGGCCCATGCCACATAGCATCGGCATTAGTACTCACCAGTCGCAGGCTCAGCCTTGCAATGCAACGCGCCTCACTCCGTACAATCCGAGCCGCCGGTCCCTGACAGGCGACTTTACCGGAAAGGCATCGGCCCGCCTACCTCGGTATTTAACGCAAGGATGAGGACGAGCCCGAGTGAGACGCGTCGCGAACGTCGACTGCCACTAGGCGGGCTTACTCAGGCCGTCGACGCGGCGGCTGATGTCTTTGCGCATATAGCGTATTGCGATGTTCAAGCGGTGAGCAGGGGTCGGACAAAGGAGATACGGGAAACGTGCGTGGTTGGGGATTAGCCATACCAAGGTGATGTTTGATTCTCCGATGGCGAGACTTCGCTCCGGAACGAAGCAGTGGTCTGTATACCACAGTCATTAGTGGATGGTCTTTCATTGAATGTGGGTTGGCGGCACACCTCAGTAATAGAAAATGCAGAGGAGGAAGGACATGGGGATTTTGGGGTAAGAGAGGAAGGACCCGTGCGCAGGGGTTTATATACGCCGCTTAGAGTTCGGAAGCTGGCGGTGATCAGTGGCGAGCCTTAATGTTGCCTGCTTGTTCGGCTTGGCTGAGAAGAGAACAAGACGTCAGTCGCGTCGCGTCAAGATCGGCCGGACTACTAGGGCTGTCCCCCCTGCGTGCGAGTCAAGATTCCTAAGCTGGATCGGCGGGTAAAGAACCTGTGGAGATGGCGGGAGCAGAGCCAAGCAGCAACCTCTACAAGCATAGGCGACAAGAGTGATGGTCCAGCTGTGTATGAATAACATTTTCATTGCGGCAAACTGACGCATCCCATTCTCCCAGCTCGAGAGAGGTTGAATAGATAGTTGAGGTGTTCATACCAAGTGTGCTGACCATTGTTCGCAAGCTGATCGTGGCTGACGCTCAAATCTAAGCACCTGGACCAATGCTGTTCCTCGCCATCACTGGTGTGTCACGAAGGTAAAGTGAAACCCCACGGAAGACCAGTCCGTCCGTAGCGCAACAGCGTCGACTCCTCTTGGCACCATGGAAGTCGTCGTCCAAGACATCACCACCCCTATCGGATCACTGGCTCCCAGATCACGGCTGTCGGTGTTGGCGGTGGTGACGCTTGGCGAGTCTACTGAAGTGTATCGTTCCGAAGGGTATATGAGCAAGCTTATTCGGATGTTCATTAGCTACACTGACACCGTGTGCTGCGAGAACAACTCGTTCGGTGAGCGTCACGACAGATGAACTACAGTCGCAGAGCTACAAGTGGGCCAACACATGGCTTGTGCAGGCGGCCTCATCGCAATCTGATGCATCCCTACTTCTGCCTGAACCAGGGATTTGCTGTTGATGATAGGGACTCTTCGCGTGTGGGTGCAGACAGCGATGTGCCGGTAGACATCCGGTCGACGTCGACTATCGTCGACTTGTCAACAGATGACGATGTCATCTTGTGCACAAAAGTCGACGTTAACTTTCCCGCAGAACCATCACCTGACTCTGACGCCCATGGACGTGATATGATTGGAGGATGCCCTATCGCGCACGCATCCAATTGACAAATTGGGACGTCTCTCTCATATTGCAGCAAGTCTCGCACTCGTTTCATCGATATGTCTTAGCTTGCTTGCTCCTTCATGTACCTGTGTAGATATTGTAGCCAATGTTCATCTTTTGCCTCTCTCCATAATGCCTGCATATACTGAGGCTCGTCAGACCACTAACTCAGCATTCCTCAGCCGGCGAGGCTGGTACCGGACGCACTTCTATGACCACCCAGGCTACATCGAGAACGACGCGAAGGCTCTCTACGGTGATAAGGTTGAGGTTTGGTGCAAACCTTGCTTCCAGCGCCGTGTTGCAAATGAACAGCGTGAGGATTCTTTTCAGTGCACTCGGATTAATCATGACAGACCTCCGAACGCGGCTTGGTCTGCCCACCCTCATGAACCTTGCAGAGCTTCGTTTGCATCTGCGCGACGAGAATATCCGCAACAATATGTCAAGGTACGCCTCAAGCGTCACTTCGGGGATCGCACAACGGTACCACTAGTGCAAAACTCGGCTGAAAGCGAGGCTACTCATCTCCAATCTCTCGAAGGTAGGTAGCAAGATTATTAATAGAGTCTGTATATATCTCACGGTGATCACAGGCTCAACATCATGTACAGGTTCCCTGCGAGGTACTGCGTCACATGGAGCCTTCGGTGATCTTGTAAGGCAGCATCAGTCCGAGGATACTGATTCAGAGGACGACCCGATCTTTCCTTCTGTTATCAAAATCAAGCTCGAATCGCTCTTCTACTTCTCATGTCATTACTGGCAGAAACGGAGGGAAGATTCCGACATGACGGCATCATTAGATGAAGAGCTCGAGGTATGGAATATATTGGACATGGATGCCGATGGAGAGCCCGCTACAGAGACTTCGGAGACAATAGATGGCGCATGGGGGAACCAGCCAGATGCATTCACTAGTGCAGTACTTGGAATATGATACATAGTTGCTGCACTGACAAAGGGGAGCGGCGAGAGTAGATGAGAGGGTAGGTGGAAGAAAGTGGGTTGGTGATACAGTTGTAGGGATCGGAGCGCTGATTTGAGATTATTTACAGATAGCAGAGATGCTTGGGAAACTGTTGTGCAATGTTTGATGTCAAACGGATGAGTGGGGAGAGTTCGACAACTCAGACCGCGGGGAGGACGAGCAGACGGGTGAATTAGGCGCTGAGACGAACGGGTGAAAACGTCGAAGTTGGTGGGTCGCCGACAGGCGCGTGAGCGTGCGAAAGTGTACCGTTCACCTTGTCGACATGTCGACGGGTTTACTATACCTGTAAACCTGGTCAACGGTTGCGTCGACCCGCACATCCCTGGGTGCAGAAGTGGACGACCAAGTAGCCGGGGACGTTACAAATGACGAGGAGGGTTTGTTACACCGATATCGGTTATACCAGGACCTTAGCTCATGGTCTGGGCCAGATGCCGGCTGCTCGACCTTTTGTGCGCCCTTGGCAAGTCTCAGCGATAGAGCATCTTCATGTGCGATCTTGACATATCTTGAATATTTCGTGTGTGAAGCGTGATTCACCCTGACCCTGTCAATGCGCGCATTCGTTCGGTCCGTGGAGGAGACTGGTATGACCGAGCGACGTGGCGCAGGCGACGGTGAACGTTCGACGACTCTGTATCCGGCTGAGCATACATGATAGAGACGCGACTAGCATTACAATGGACTAATACAGTCGTTTGCATATCAAACTGCAGTCCACGCGCGCGTGCCAGCGATGGTGGCACATTACATAATTTGATAGACGCCCGAAAGCAGACTCGGACGCATCAACGCCATTCCGTGTCGACTTCCGACTACATATCCACAACTTCCTCCCGTTCGAGTCGCGCACCTGTATATGGCGTCTTCACTCAATCACCAGCCAGCTGAGTTGCAGCTAGACATACCCCTCGACGTCCAGCTAATGGTTATCGATGTCGTCGCGACTACTGACAATCCCTCTGACTTGAAGGCGTGCGCGGTGACATGCCGCGCCTGGCTTCCGGTAGCACGCTGCTACCTTTATCGTTATGTGGTTCTCAGCCGAGTGTTTCAAGTCAAATCGTTCTTCCGTGCTATGGCTTCAGCACCCGAGCTCGGTCCACTCGTTCAAACAATCTCCTTTCGCGATTTCCAGACTTTCACAAAGGACGAGACATTAGCAACTGAGGAGCTTGTGTCAGACGTCAACGTTAAACACCCACTGTCGACCCTTACGAATTTACGAACACTGGTCTGTAGCGAGTTACGGTGGACGGCTGCTTCCACGCCTGCTCACTTCGTTTACGTGCCAACACGTGACTGCATTCACTATGGATGGCTGCTTCCTCAAGTACTATACCCAACTCAGCGACATCCTCCTATCGCTCCCTCATTTGGAGTCTCTCAGAATAAAACGGTTTGGGTACATGTTCAAGTCTCAGCACGAGCAAAACGCACGTGCGTGCCATTGGCCTAAGCTGACACAAATCGAGGTGTGCACAGTGCGTACGTCCCATGCCCCCTTGCAAATATCTGATGGTCCTCTTGCTAGCTCTACATGCTACACAACCCTGTAGACATGATCCTTGACCTTCTGCATGCATATTCCGTTGAAGTCCTAAAACTCTCTGACGGCGATTGGGACCACCAACAAGAGTATTCCGGTGAGTGCCCAGCCATATTCCGTCAGGGGTCCTTGCGCTGAAACCCGATGGTCACGTATCAGGGATATCACGATACACCTCGCTCCGCTCTATCGAGATCACAACCGCATGGCAGCTAGACCTTGTTCTGATTATTCAAGTCTTGTCTCACGTTCGGTCGACGCTGCTCGAAGATGCATCCATCACCGTATTCGTGTCGAATGCCTGGGAGAACGGGGGACCGAATCGGCAGGAAGTGCTGGCGCGGGTGCAGGACATTGGTGCCAAGACCGACGACATCCTGGCTGCGCCATCAGCCTTTCCCTCCCTCCGCCTTGTGAGCCTGACATATCTGCACGATAGTCTCGATGTATGTGACTTCGGTGAAGGCTTCCGTGAGGCTTTTCGTGAGGCTATCGAATCAAGTCTGCCACGATGTCGGCAGCGTGGCATCTTGAGGACACAATTCCGTGAACGTAGGTCTTTCACGGCCCTTCATCGCTTTGAGTCTCGACTCACGTTCATCTCCTCTCTGTGCTCAGGAAAAGACAACGAAGGGTTGTATGTTGGAATATGGTAAAAGAGGGGCAGGAATTCTCGGCTAGACGTACCACTCTTCCATCGACTATGATCAATATAGTCGCGGCTACCAACTCCCCAATGTCAAGGCATGTGAAGTGACATGATTTGCATGACTCGCTGCTGCTTGGTATCACCTCTACCACGTCGTAGCATCAGCACGTCGACTGTCATGCAACCAGGCATATGGTTGATTGTAAATGGACGGCGGCCCTCACACCCCAAAATGCATCATGAGCTTGAGCCAGTTCCAAGACAACAGCAAGCAGAGGACCCGGATGATAGGCCGATAAAATGTCAAAGCTGTAGTCCTACTTAGTGAACGTCCTGTGGCACATGAGAGCTTAAACAAGCGGCTCATCTATACTGTGTTCATACTCACGTCAACCTCCTTTCCGGACCGAGCAAGGTCGACGAGCAACCCCTCTACGACCTCCGGCCTGGCGGCGCCGGCACTCAAGTACTCATGTCTCGGAACAGGCTCATCAAGTATGTCGGCTCGTCGACGCGGACCGAGAATCGAGAAAAGCACGGATATCTCGAAGCGTCGCTGAGCGCGCTCACGCACGCGCTGAACCCTTCGCCGCAGGAGGACAAGCATCCGGCCGGACAGACGAAGATGAAGGACAGCTGTTGGAGACACGGGAAAGGTGGCTCTCTGGGGCGGGCGAGAAGCTCGAGGAAAGCCGGCCACATGGAAGGCGTGGCGTGCGTGGCGCCTACAAACACGGACCGAGGCCTTCGTACACTCGTGTCATGTCTTCCTCTGCCAGTAAAGTTATTGGGACGTGTGGAGTCTAGCGTGTCCGGCCGGGGGACAGGATCATGAAGGCTTATGACACAGTGCTCGAGTGAGGGGCCGAGCGTTGGTAGGAAAGGGTGCCACCCCATACATCCTCTCGCGATCTCACCATCCCCGCCATGTTACGATGGTACTGTGAAAACCCACTATAGAGACTCGCGAGCTCAGCTGAATGGGATGAAGGGAAACGCGAACACCATTGGCGCTCCCCGTTCCGGGTAATCCCGTGTAGAGTTCATATGCCATGGCGCTAAAGAGCGTCTTGCCTCCACCTGTCTGGGTCGCATCTGCTGATGCTCAAATCGGTTACCTGAGCTTTGGGCTATGATGGTTTCTCATCTGGGTATGCAAGCGATGCGGACAGGCGAAGCACTCGCTGTATATAGAGGCTGATACGTCATACACTGGTGACCAGATAAGGTTCGTGCGCGGCTTATGGACTAGGTTTCGCTGTACTGAGCTTCTTGAAACAGTTCTGAGCTGGTGAGTTTTCTTCGAGGCCGATAGCGTGGCTCTCTCACCGCCTCCCAGTCTCCCGCCAATCTAGCTCCTCGACCAGCCCCGGGACTTCCCCCATGGAGCCGTCCGCCTCCGTATACACGACCTTCAACCTGCGAGTCTACGACCTCGTCGTGCTCGTCTTCTCCAACATCTTCGCATGGCGCTGCTCTACTCGCTCCATACTCCTTCCCCTCTACGAACAACACCTCAAGGAGTCCACCGCTCACCTCGAGATTGGGGCAGGCACCGGCTACTACCCCGCTGCAGCGGCCTCCTCCGGTGCCTTGTCGAAGACTAGGCTGGTCACTCTCTGTGATCTCAATCCCACCACCCTCGAGTATTCGAGGCAGCGCCTGGAGAAAGCGGGCTACCGAGGCTCGATCCAGACACTTGTCCACAACGTCTTCCAACCGCTTCCCGAGGACATGCACGGCAAGTACGACTCTGTCGTGCTGTACTACCTCTTCCACTGCCTCCCGGGCTCCTTTCCTCGAAAGGCGATAGACGTCCTCGCGAACGTCGTCCCCGCGCTCTCGCCGGACGGCGTGGTCTACGGATCCACCGTCCTGGGGCAGGGAGTGGCGCACAATTGGCTGGGCAGGAGGCTCATGGGGCTGTACAACAGGAAGGGCATCTTCGGCAATGTCGGTGATTCGGTGGACGGTCTCCGACAGGCTCTGGAGGAAGCGTTCGAGGAATCTTCGGTGGAGGTTGTTGGAGTTGTGGCGCTGTTCGAGGGGCGGAAGCCGAGGGCCATCAACACGTGATAGATCCCTATCGTATGCCGAACTCTCTTGCCCTTCACGGCGCTGTCACTCATTCCTCCGTACTTGCAGGAGGGTGCTTTGTTCTAGTACGCTGCACGGGATGCAGGAAAAGATGTCGCCTCAATCACCTCACAGCCTTCGAGGCCTCGTGTGCGAGTCCTGTGGGGCATGTCGTCCGCTTGATTTGAGCTCACTACCGTTCAATCGTCCTTGCATGAAAAAGGCCGTTCCTATCTTTGATCCGCCCCGAAGTGAGCTTCTTCGCCCTGAAGTTCGGTGGAAGGGTTCTCTTTGGGTCATCTTGGCCCTTGCCATTGGTTTGGGGTTGCAATATCGTAATCGGAATTGAATGCCTTCTTCCGAGGCCCGCAAGATTTCCGCGCCCATTCTTGGCTGTGCACATCCACGTCGTGGTGTTCTCGCTGCGGTACGCTCTCAATACCATCGTTTACTTTATCCAGTTCAAGTTCAATTGCGCTGGGGCGGGTTAACCTAGAACCTGCCACATTGCCTCCGACACCGCCAGCGCATCAACTTTGACTCTTGTCTTCTACAGCGTTTGTAGCCACACCATGAACCGCCCTCAAATAGGGTTTCGAGTCCGATGATAAAGTCTATCGAAGGGGTCGAGGTCAGAACCCTTCCCACACCCTGCCGTACAAATGAAGACACACGCCCGCCTCAATACTCATGCACTCAATTTGCGCCCGTCGAATGTTTCACGAAGCCCTGCAAGTCGGTAGGTTCACGAGTTTCTGCCGGCAGTTTCAGAGTTCGTCATTGATCACAGCCAATGATGATATAGCGGCGATCGAGGGACGTGGTGCGGTTCGAAGATAATGCGTCCCAGCCCGTCAATAACAGGCGCGACCCCTTCTTCGACATCAAACGCACAGGTCAGCTGCACTTCAGCGAACTGTCAACCGCAGGTGGCTCGGTTTCATCAGCAACATCCCACTGCTGATTATGCGACTGATTGTTTGCTCCGCGTGGACAGGTCGAAGAATAGAAAGGTAATGCGACCGTGACGCTCATAGGGCATGAGGGCGACTTGCACACAAGAGATCTCCTCATCCTTATGGCAATCACCCGGCATCTGTCAGCGTCACTTGGCTCGTATGTCTCATATAGGCTAACCTCGTGCAAGTCAAGGCCCAGTGATCACGGCCATGGCTACTGCGCCGCACGAGCTTACAGCGACCATCCTCGCGATGTCCGATAGGGCGGCATTCCCCCTGCCGGCTCTCGACAATACTTACGGGGCTCTGCTCCTTGGGACTTTCATTGGGCTCATGTGCGTCTCCTGGCCATGGCGGTCGAAATACCTTCTACTGACACGTCTTCGTGACAGGTTGTATGGCCTTACCGTTCATCAGACCTACAGATACTTCAGGCTGTATCCGACCGACATCCCAGTCTTGGTCTATTTGGTGAGTACCTACACTTACGAAAAAATATGGACGCTAACTCCCGAGATCGTGTAGGTCCTCGCGATCTTGTCAGTACAAGTGATTCCGCAGATTCTCCATCTTACACGTCAACAGGACAATCGAGACAGTGCATACAGCTATGATTATGGCTGCTTGGTGCGTATCCCTGTCAGCTGTCTCTTCAAACATATCTGAAGTATATCCCACTAGTTACTACCATCTCGTATCGAATTACTTCAATCCCATCACTCTTCTAGAGGGACACTGGTACGTTTAACGTCGAGGAGTCGGTCTTCCTCTTCGCTGATAGCCCTCGAAGGTCAACAAGGGTTAGTGTCAGATCAATCGTACACATGGGGAACGCTCAACTTTTATTTTTCCGGGCGGCTAGATCATAACCCCCACGTCGGTATGCAGCCGCAACCTTATACCTGCTAGATTACATCCTTTCTTACTATAAATTGGAATATGCTCACGCCCAGGGATTGTGCATCTTGGTTTGCCAAGCGTGAGGTTTGGATCGCTATTTCAACAATCAGTCGCTTACACGTTTTCACTAGTTTCTACGCTCGTCGGGTGTGGTATGGTAGGTGAAAGGAGTTGATGTCAAGGAAAGTCTTGCGCTGAGATCTTTCACAGTGGGTCATCAGTATAGATATATTGTCGGGGTTGCGGTGAGCAATTTTGCGCTGAATGGATTGCATCTCGGTGCTTACAAAGATATAGGGAGTCCTTATGCTAGCCCTCCTAGGTTAGTACTGAGTAACCCCTCGCAGGAAACCTCACAATGATAGCGATGCTCCGCTCTCACTGGCAGCGTTCACCATCTGTAAGTGGCGGCAATGTCGTAAGCTGCGCTGCTTTGGCTGACGAGTTGCGTGTCGATCAGCTGCAACTGTTGAAGGGTGCGTTCCAGGTATCGATTATTAAGCATAGAGATCTGACGCGTTGACTGCCTTCATAGCTTCATCCTACCTTTGAGCGACTTCCATCGTGACAGCGTGAGTATTAGGGTCTCATCCCGAAACATAGATCAAAATCTGATTCGCGACCCTCAGTGGATGGTGTCTGTCCTGTTCAGCCTGGCGGTGGCCATAGACATACTCCTCACCAGCTCTTTGATCTTTGTGCTGGTGCGGAGCCGCACAGGATTCAAGCGGTTAGTGATGGTCCGTTACAAGCATATTATATACTGCTGATAGCGAGTATAGGACCGACTCTACCATCGATATTATCGTGGTATATGCCATCAATACAGGTGTGTGGCTCCAGTAGCATGCAGGGCGTGGTCTTCCTGAATCTATACAATGGCAGGGCTCTTGACAAGGTCAGTGCCTTGATGAACAGAGTCGTATTGTATGCCTTGCTGATCCAACATGGTCATGCACATATAGCATCGTCGGACTCCTCGGCGCCATATTTGTGAGCCCTCTCAAGACTCTACTCATGCCAGCCAGTCTTTGACGTCGGCTTCATAGGCCATCATCCTGCCAGGCAACTTCATATACATCGGAATCAGCATCGTTGCAACCAAGCTCTACGCAAACTCTGTCCTCGCAGTGTACGTCGCTCGTCTCTCGTTCCTCCTACGCTATGGTGTTGTCACTAACGTTTTCGCCCCACGTCATGCCTAGTCTCAATTCACGCCGCGCGCTGTCCGACCGTATGCTCGAAGGGTTTGAGATGGGCTCCTATGAGCCTCGAGGCCCTCGAGCGCGGCCTCACACAGTGGTCGACACTTGGGATGTTCCTCAGTTCCCCGTTGATCTCCCATCCCGCGACACACACATAAGCTTCACAACGCCCACGGATACCAATTCCGACGACACAGCGTCCGGGGTCCGCGGTCTCCAGGCGAAGTCCGTGCTAAGTTCAGAGGCTCTCACTGTGAAGATGGCCGCTTGAGAGTAAAGCAATCGACCACCGTGCCCTGCTACGCCATATCTATTAAAGAGATTGCCATGACTCTATGTATCGAGATGTGGACTATGCCGATGTTTTGCCTATTTATTCGGCTAAGTGTGCTTGCGGTTGTCCGCGATCGTGGCTGGCGCCCAAAAATACGCGCCTGAAGCCGCTCTGTTTCCTTACCGTAACCGCCGGGCCGACATCCCAATTTCTGTTACGAATGGTAGGACGAACCCTCCAGGTACATAACTTGCCAACGTCGTGACTACCCCTGCGAAACTCCAGAATTGCTAGGGGAAGCCGGGGTGTAGAAGGGATGGCAGAACGAGCACATCGTCACCATCGGACTTTACTAGTACTACGAGTGTAATAGCATCATCGAGTCGAAGCTTTCCTTCTCCACCGCACGATCGACGACGGCATGCAGGACCCGTACGAGATGGTAGGTCGGTGCTGACAGGCGGATCACAAGGTATTCATGGTCGCGTGGGGTAGCGGGGAAGACTCGTCCCTCAACTGGAACTGGAAATTCTTAACGGTACATTAATATACTACCATTGAGAACTTGACTGACACAAGGCGGTTCCGGGGCGCCGATAGCGAAGCATTTTTCCCCATCACCTAACCACTACAGAAGATCGCGAAATAGATCTGCATGCAGCAAAGCTGCAACCCTCCAAACTGATGACAAAATCGACTTAGGAAGGGGGACTGTATGCAGTAAGTCAGCTTCTAGACATCCAAGCCTGTCAGGGTCAGAACACTCACACAGGGGCGACAGAGCTAGCTGGGCCAGGGTCGGTGGGGAGAGTGGGGAACGGAGTAGAGGCGCACGCCTGCTCGACATCGTCGATGGTCTGCCCGGCGGGGAAGTGCGCATCAGAAGCGGGCGCAGGAGGCACGGGGACGACATCGGAGCAGTCGATGAGCGAGCTCTCGTCGTGGCCGAGGATGGACATCCTGCGGAAAGCGGCCTTAAACGCAGATTGGAGCTTCGCCTGGTTGTTCACGAACGACTGCCACTCGCACGCCGTACGCGAGTCGCGCGCGAGCTCTGAGTCGGACTGGAGGCGGAGCTCCCCCGCGAGTGCGGACTGGGCCTCACCCTGGTTGCCCCCTGTGCCGGGGAACAACGTGCCGCGAAGCTGGGTCTCGATGAAAAACTGGGTGTCAAAAAGCTCGGGGGTCGAGTCGAAGGGTGTGCCGGGGATGCTAGGGTCGACGTGGTCGGCGGCAGCGATGGTGTGGGAGGCCAGGAGCGCAACAACCTCAGCAGGAGTGAAGCCGCCGACGTCGGAGAACGCGTCTTGGAAACGGGCGAGGATGCTGTCGACAGAATCGAATGGCTCGGGGACGGTCTTGTCCGGCGCAGGCTGCGTCGCATCGGGACGGCCGATGAAGACATTTAGTTGAGGAGCACCAGGGCAGTTCGAGACGCCGATCGCACCCGCCAACTGGATGAAGTCCGCGGTCGTAATGTTGTGCTTCGCGATGATAGGCTTTTGCTCGTCAATGATCTCGTCGACACCGTTGTTGGCGTGGAAGTTGGGCTCGATGTCCTCGAAGAGGATTATTGAACCGTCGGCGCCTCCACCTCTGTGTATTGGTCAGAATGGTTTGTGTGCTCATTGAGGGAGTACCGACCCGAAAACGCCCGTTGCGGCAATGGCGGGAGAAATACCGATTGCATCATGGAAGGTGAGACGAAGGGACTCGTGCACCTCCTCCCCGCACTCGCCACCGTCGAAGAGGTTCTCCTGAATGTCCTGAATGACCGGAATCAGAACGCAGCACGCGCTGTTGGCCACTACTGTGCCGTCGGAGCAGGTGGCACGACGAATGAGGGCGCCTATTGCGAGACGAGTGGGTCAGTAAGCCATAGTCAAACCGCACCAGTAACCCGTTAACTCACCTTTAGTGATCTGAAATGCAGCGAGGACAGAGATGAGGAGGGCTTTGAAGACCATTGCTGAAGGTCAGAGATATGAGAGGTAATGGAGTGTCGGAGTCTTGAGGAACGTCGCGATTTGCACCCGCCTGTTTATATCACTGACACCTGTGCACAACAGTTTGCGATTCCTTGAGCCTACAGGTTGTCCGTCTGTACAGGTGCACCCAATCACGATGTGCACATTCCGTGAGTGTGAACTGGGAGACCCACATAACGGAAGCGAGTTGCGGACCTGGCGCAGGGTATAACCGTCTCACACACTGCCGTCCGATATGACATAGCCGGTAAGCTATCCGACATGACAAGTATGCAGACGAACGGAGTTAAAAGAGGGCGAACGCTGCCTGTACACAATGCCCTGAATACGATCATGAGAACTATGCTCATACGCGAGACGATCACAACGCACTGTTCGCAAGCGTACGGAAAAGAAGTGGAGTGGTCGTGGCATTGGTACTGGTGCCTGCGAGCACAGAGGCACACTCGCTGCCACACTAGTGCAACGCCAAGAAAAATGGTGCAATTTTGATGAGTAAATATGTAGGGTGATGGCGGGGATAGAGCATATACCGTATCTCTAATGCGTCTAGGAAGCGCAGAAGATGTGTAGCCTGTGAAAGTCAACACCTTGCAGCACCCTGTCCAACGCATCAAGCGAGGTTAAGGGCGTTCCGGCATAAGACGTCTAGGATGCGCGTTTTCCTTGAGCATTAATGGGATGATAGCCGGATTTGATTCAAGTGAAGCTTGAACTGGAGAAGGCTCTGTGTACGCTTAAACTCTGACTGTGTGAGTGGTGCATACCCAGGTTGGGCGCAGAGAAAATAGACAGTCGACACGTTCGGTATTAGCCGGCACAGTCGGTCTTTCCCTATTAGGTGCATGTAGTTCGGGCATGGAGATCGCCCCGGTGCCGGACTCGCTCCCAGGGCAGAACGGATCACGAGGAATATCAATAGGGGTAGTCAAAGATGGCGGTTCGGTGGACGATTCGAGGGAACGATTCGGGAGACGATTCGAGAGGGGGGGAATCCGCGATTCTGGCAGAATCGCGTCGAATCGCCGGTGCGAGTCTGGAGGAGCACCGCCCACTCGAATCGCGATTCTCTGCACTCGATTCCCTCAGCCCGAGCTCGGATAAGCCCTCTTAAAATAGGTTATATGTCAAAATTTAATTGGGGTTTCTCTTAGCACGTCTTACTTACGAGCGACCATGGCCCTACTGCGAGCTTGCCGCTTCTCTATTTTTATCAGAATTGCTGGTCTACAGATTCCCTCCACCTTGTAGTGTCCAACCAGACCGAAAACCCTACTTTCTCAAAGTCCGGCCGTCTCACCTGGCAACCTGCTGATGGCTCTGGCACGAAGACCAGGAATCGAGTGCGGCGTGTCTTGATGGACTGAATATATTTGCTCTGCGGGCCCGAGAGCTGTAACGAGGCATACTGTAGTACTTAGGGGAAGAACAACGCGGCACGATTACCTAATCCCGATATCACAGACGCCCGTAGGCCTGACCGACTCAAGAATCTGCCCTGGAATCAACCCGTAGAAACGTGGGGTGGTCAAAGTGCCCACACGAATCCAGGACGATTCCCTTCCACCGAATCGCTGCAGAATCGCTTGTCGAACCGTCCTCCGAAACGCCATCTTTGACTACCCCTAATGTTCGTGGGAGTAAGATTACAGTCGTTTGCATATCAAACTGCAGTGTCGTGCGCGCGTCGAGCCTGTTTGTTCGTGTTTGCTCCGCCGTCGGGTACCGGCTAGGACTGCCACTTCGGTGGGTGCACCCTCAATGAAAACAGACAAAATCCCTAAAAAATGTCGTAGCGGGTTGATAGTACATACAGTATGGCCCCTAGCAATGCCTTGTTGGCTTTCAGTGCAGGAGAAGCTTTTTGTACTTGATGGCCACAATGGGTTGACGGAGGCCGGTCCCAAACAGGCAGAGAGGCGCTCGCTCACGGCGTTGCAAACACGGGCAAACAGCCCCGCGGCGCGCGCGTCGACTGCAATTTGATATGCAAACGACTGTAGTAGTGCGTGGCATACTTGCTGGGTAGGGTGTGTGCTCGTCGTGTTGCCTACGTCCGGTAACTGCCTCAGACGGCCTCCCGGTGAACGTGCTACTCTCACGACGACTACGCACGCAAACAGGCATTACCGAGGTGAAGCAGATATACTCTAGCATGCGTGTGGTCTCCGCCAAGAAAAGGAAGGCATGGTGTAAGGGACCAATGACTTTCCGACGTTGAGGAACAAATTCGGTTGCATATGGAGCTCGGCCAGCAAAGGCACACAACGAAACGTATTTTACTCAATCTCCGGCCATGATTTGTCAATATCGACAGTCACGTAGTGGCTGGCGCTTTGCGTGGTCCGAGGGCGTATCTGCATGCACGACTTACCATAGTGCCCATGAGAAGCGCATCGTCCCCTTCGACAACGCCCAAAGCCGCGGAGAGTGCTTATCGGAGACATATTACAAAGGGATGAGCTAAAATGAGGCAGAGACGAGGGCACGGAATGTCCATTACGCACGAACACATGAACGAGCCGTAGCAATTACAGCAGAGGATAGTGAATCAAGAGAACGACAGCGGACCACGAGAGAACCGGAAGGACAAGGACTAATCAAACGCGATACAGGAGAACCACTCCAGCCCTTCGCCTCGCCTCTCCCTCGCCTCTTCTCTAGCACCTACAACACCACAACACGAACCGCAAGCGCCCCGCGCGTCGCCGCTGGCCTACCCCTCCAACCTCAGACGCGCTCAGTAGCGCGGTATGCTCACGTTCTCCATGCTCGGCCCAGTCGTATATCCCTCCGCGCTGTTCGCTTCGCCGCCCCCGTACTGATACGGCGCTAACCTGATGTTCTCTTCATAGGATTCCCGGGGCGGACGTACAGCGGACATGGTCATGGACTCACCCCCTCCTCCTGCTCGGCCGCGGTAGACATTCGCGCTTGGGCTTGAAGAGAGGCTGCTGACGCCCGAGGACGAGCTACGCTCGAAGCCGAACGCCTCGCCGTACGTCTTCTTTGTGACCGCGCGTCCGTCCGCGTTCGTCACCGTGATGCGCACGCCGTGCGTGCCCGGCTTGCCGCGAATGAAGTCGATGAAGAACTTGGTCGAGCTCCAGATCTCGCGCGCGAAGTCGGCTAGAGGAGGCCAACGGTGCGACATATAAGAGATGGGCTCGGGAGACGTATGAGCTGTGTTGATGACGTACCGTAGTTGATGCTGTCCAAGAGCGGCCGCCCGAAGCCTGTCTTGGGGCGGCCCGGGATGACGTACTCCTTCCACGTGTAGGCGTGCATCATGAAAGCGGAGAACAGCACCATCTGTGTCGATCTACGTAACGATCAACTGTTCATCGAACCGGGAGACAGCACGTACCTCGATGCAAATGGCGAGCGCGTTGAGACCATCGGCGATGTTGGTCGCCGTCCAATATGGCGTCGCTTTAATCACAGGTGGATTCGCTCCTTCAAGTGCATCGAACTGTCATCGCAGATGAGAATCACCGGACGGTTACGATTGAGTTAGCCCCTTCTGCGAAGACCTACCACCAAGTACTGATAGAAGGTGAACATGACGATGAGCTTGATGGATAAAAACTTGGCCAGAGGCTTCTTCCCCACGAGCTCCTCCTTCGTCAGCCCGTAGAATATCAACAGCCCGTATAGCGCAACCCTGCATATGAGCGAAGCTGTGAATGGTGACGTCTCAGCCCTGCGCAGCGTCCACGTACGTGATGCTAACAGCGTCGATGACGCTGATGTATGCGTGTGCAGTCTTGAAGCTCCAAGGGCCCGACTCGCACAGCACACCGTAGTGTTGGCAGATGATTCCCGCGATGGAAAGTGCTTTGCCATCCCATCAGTACGAGCAAGCCGTGCGAAGTGCTGGATGAGTTTACCTGGTCGTAGGATGACGTACTGGAGTACGGACCACTATCGCGCTGGCGTCAGAAAGTGTTCGGCACCGGAAAAAAAACGAATGCGCAAACCTTCACGGCGTACATGAAGTAGGCCTACGGGATACAGAGCTAAACATTAACATCGTGCTGCAGAAGAAAGAGGGTCTGATGCCCACCTTAGTTGGTCGATACCGCCAACAACAGAACTGGCGTGAACAGGGTCAGTAGGGGAGCAGCAATCGCACCATTGCCACAAGTCCACGTACAGGAATTGGTAGACTTGATTTGTCTTTGCGGAGGATGGCATTGTCGACGTCGTGGCCGACTGCTGTCGCAGCGACGTACTCGATGAGGAGGAGGCTTGTCATTTGCGAATCAGTCAAGGGGCAGTCTGTTGAACAGAGGTCGACTCACAGGAAGGCGCTGAGAGTGATGGACTGTAGAGCATGTGGTCAGTTTCCGCGTAGATGCCATATTCAAAGCACGGTGAATGGATATTGAGCCGCAAAGAGCAGCCAAGATGATATTCATATTTCTCGAGACTACTGCTCGTTGGGCTTGCAGGTGGAAATGAAAGCCGTACACTCAAATCAAATGACGGGCTCCAGTTGCCGTCATGACGGCGATATCTGTAGTTAGCAGTCATCACCGATGCCTAGGACAGTAACCAGGGCGCAAGGGAGAGTAGTAGCCGTGCCGACGAGCTTGAGTCTTTGTTCACATCTTGGTTCACCAGCGAACGCGGCGTTGGCCGAAACCTGCGCCAGAACAAGACGGATAGTTCCCTTTATGTCGTTCCGCCACATATGAAACGATACGCATGTGCGATGCGAATAGAGGGTCGTGCAGAACTATCGCATGCGGGAGGCCCCCCTCAATCCGAACGGGAAGGGGCGTGAGGCTCATAGAGAACGTGGCTCATTCGACTGCTGCGAGCTAGTAGGAGAGACGAAGAAAAGGGGCATTTCAAGGAACTCACCTCGTATACTAAGAAAGATAGAGCTCGGGTGAAATCCAACATGGAACAGTGGATATAGACGTACCACATTCGATGAGGTCATAATACGTGTAGCTCCTGAAGAACCGGTAGGAAAAGAAGGATATCAAGGCGTAGACGGCAGGCATATACAATATTCGGATGCTGGAAAGCGTGTTATTGGCTTCATCGCGGTGCGCTTGCTGTGTACGTACATTTGTCGCTGTTCGCCAGGGTTCGTGTAGTTTCTGGATCGGTGGTTGGGAGATGTGTGGTGCTCCAAGATGCCGCATACTCACCTGCAGTGGAACGAGACGTTGATCGCCGTGAGGAGGACCGTCTACCATGCCCTGCATGAGTGGTCTGAAGACTGAGGTCCACCGTCCATCGAGCTTGCACATACCACAGCGGCGCACGCTCCTGAAACCACCCATCCTATCCGATGTGCGTCCCAGTTCAGCCCGTTTGAGCTCCAGAAACTACTCTGGTCAATTATTTGTCGGTTGTCTGACGGACAGAGAGTGCTGTTCTGGGCGACCATGGCGAGGGAGTTGGGGCGAATGTGGACCAATATCGAGATAGAGCACCTAGGAGAAAGGAAGGAGTGGATATACGAGCTAGCGACGCCCGCTGGGCGTATAGAGCAAGGGAAGGATGTTGGGCTGTGCCTCATCGGACTGCGGAGCCGGCATCTCGCCGGTGGCGCGCGCTCCGTCCGGTAAACCTACAACCGTTGTTGTTTTCGACCATTCTTGAGCTGCGGCAGCATCCTCTGCTGGTCCTTTGTGCCATCACCAGCCGACACGGCGCGCATGCGAATAGACTGGATAAGTGAGCTTTCTGGCATTCCACCGCTAAGAAAGTATACGCAGCTGTGTGCGGTGGTAGCCTTGTTTCGCTCCTCGGTCATCCTTGATGACATCTACGACAAATCTCTATCGTAATGCCGCTGCCGTGCCGGAAAGTACTGCATGCCGCTTCGCTCCGCCAGACTACGAACGTTGAATATTGAATCCTCGAGGCTCCCCGATAGAACGCATAACATGCACACGCTGAGTCTGAAGCTTCGAAGGTGTACCCACAGTGCGAAACCTTCGATTCTAGTCCGAACCAACGACTCACTGAAAATACTTCTACACAGCCGGTAGCTTTGGGTAGCTGTCCTTTCGAGAGGGCGGTGGTGAGCTCACCTTCCGCGCCTCGCCATATAGAATGGCCTCAGAGCCCGCAGCACCCAGCTGAGTACGGCACCACGTGGTCCTACCTGACACCCAGCCCGGAGCTCTTGCCGACCAGTTCCCGCACCCTTTGCCGTTGAATATGACAGTCCGAGAACGAGTTCCGAGTGATATTGTTACAAGCACACAGTTACCTTCTCGTCCCAATCTCCTCCCCGAGCCGGTTCCCTTGCTGGACGCTCTATGCTTACACAGGCAGCCCCCCCCCTCCATACTCGAAAACACACACAATCATGCGCGCCGTCCCCTTCCCTGGCCGACAACGAGCGCCCGGGAAGCAGGCACGAGCGCACCGGTGGCAGAAGTCATCCTCTGGTACCCATCCTCAGCTACCAAACTGCGCGCGCACGCGGACAAGTGCCTACCTGCGCATCCTGCCAGGGCGGCTGCTGGCGGGGCGTCGAAAGCGCTCTGGGGACATGGCTATTCCCTGCGTTCCCCGAGCGAGCGGTGCCTGCGCTCCGGTTGGTCGACTGTCTCTGCTGTTGCGGGCTGGGGGCGTGATTGTGCGCGTTGCCGCCAGCGTTTCTGCCCCCGGGGTGGTTGTTGTTATTGTTATTGTTGTTCTGAGTTTGCTGCGGGCGCGGCGCGGGGCGCTGGGACTGGTTGGGAGGAGGGTTGTTGTTCGTGGGCTGGCCAGGAGCCCGATTGTTCTGGTTCGTGCCCCGGGTCTACACGAAGTGTACGCACCAGGATCGATAACCCGAGTAGGAGTAGGCTGGTGCGATCGCACTCACCTGCCTACCTGCTGCGCTGCTGCCAGTGCGCCGTCCCCCTGCCGCGTTGTTGCCGTTGCCGAGGGAGATCGCGCGGCTGCCCGCACCGGCGTTCACGTTGAGATGGAGCGTCAGCGTGGTGTTCGAGTTCGCGTTCCCATTGGCGAACGTCGCAGTCTTCGGCTGCTGAGCGCGCGTCGTCTTCGCTGGCTTCGTCCTCACGGTAGCTGTCGCCATGGTGGGGGTCGCTTCGCGCTAGGGACGCGTGAAGGCGAGGGCTTAGGGCCAGGGCCAGGTGGGCTTCAGCAAAGGGGCGGGGGAGACTGTCTTTACCCCAGCAATACCGCAGCACAAACCGGAATCGGACGATTCGGATTCAATCCTGGTTCCATATCTAAGGTTCGTCAGCGACTGCAGGAGAAGCTGGGTGAGTATCGATACATGCAGCAGCGTGGAGAGCCGCATGAGAAGGATGTTCGGTCCGGAAGGTGCACGGTAGATATTCGAATACGTAGTCACGGTACGGATGAACAGGCAGAGCATGGACACAGCCCGCAGCTCGATACGTCTAGTTATCAGAATGTTGTTTCATAGGCGTGGCGTAGCAGGCCACGGTGGTCGATTACTTTACTCTTAAGCGGCCATCTTGACTATGAGGGCCTCTGAACATGGCACGGACTTAGCCTGAATAGCCTCAAGAGCGCAGACCCCGGACGCTGCCTCGTCGGAATGGATATCCGTGGGCGTCGTGAAGCTTACGTATGTGTCGCGGGATGGGAGACCGACGGAGAGCTGAGGGACATCCCAAGTGTCGACGACTGTGTGAGGCCGCGCTCGTGCGCCTCGAGGCTCATAGGAGCCCATCTCAATCCCTTCGAGCATGCGGTCGGACAGCGCTCGGCGGGAGTTCAGGCTAAGCATGACGTGGGGCGAATGCATCAGGCGACAATGCTACAGCGTAGGAGGAACGAGAGACGCACACTGGGAGGACGGAATTTGCATAGAGCTTGGCTGCAACGATGCCGATTGCGGCCCATATGAAATTGTCTGGCAGGATGACTATGAAGTCGACGTCGAAGGCTAGCTGGCATAAGGGGAGCTTCCGAAGGGCTCACAAATATGGCGCCGAGGAGTCCGACGATGCTATACAAGCATGGATGTGTTGGCAGGACTTACGGTACGACTCCGTTCATGAAAGCACCGCCCTTGTCAAGAGCCCCGCAATGACCCCTGGATCTTTGTCAGAATCGTGATGCAACCCATTGAGCACAGAATAACTCACCGCCACCCCGACAATATATCTATACTGATGACCCACTGTGAACGATCTCAGGGAAAGACTCTCCCGGACATTGACTCCTTTCACTTACCATACCACACCCGACGAGCGTAGAAACTGGTGAAAGCGTGTAAGCGACTGAATGTTGAGATGGTGATCCAAACCTCACGCTTGGCAAACGAAGATGCTCAATCCCTGAGCGTGAGCATGTTCCAATTGATAGTAAGAAAGTGAGTATAGCATGTGTAAGGTTGCAGATGCATACGGATGTGGAGGTTATGATCTAGTCTCCCGAAAAACATTTGAGCGTTTCCCATGTGTGCAATTGATTTTACACTTACCCTCATTGACCTTCGGCGACTATCAGCGAAGGGGAATACCGATGCCTCGACGGTGAACGTACCAGTGTCCCTTTAGAAGAGCAATGGGATTGAAGTAATTAGATACGAGATGGTAGTAACTAGTGGGATATACTTCAGATATGTTTGAAGAGACAGCTGACAGGGATACGCACCAAGCAGCCATGATCATAGCTGTATGCACTGTCTCAATTATCCTGTTGACGTGGAAGATGGAGAATCTGCGGAATCACTCGGACTGACAAGATCGCGAGGACCTACACGACCTCGGGAGTCAGCGTTCGTATTTTTCATAACACCTAAGGTACTCACCAGATAGACCAGGATTAGAATGTCGGTGGGATACAGCCTGAAGTATCTGTAGGTCTGGTGTACGGTGAGGCCATACAACCTGTCGCGAAGAAATGTCAGTAGAAGGTATTTGGACCGCTACGGCCTGTAGACGCACATGAGCCCAAAGAAAGTCCCAAGGAGCAGAGCCCCGTAAGTATTGTCGAGGACCGGCAGGGAAAATGCCGCCCTGTCGGACATCGCAAGGATGGTTGCTGTGAGCTCGTGGGACGCAGTAGCCATGGCCGTGATCACTGGGGCTTGGCTTGCTCGAGGATAGCCTATATGAGCCACACGAGCCAAGTGACGCTGACAGATGCCGGGCGATTGTCATTATGGATGAGGAGATCTCTTGTATGCCAATGGCCCTTATGCCGCATGAGCGTCACGGTAGCATTGCCTTTCAATTACTCAATCTGTCTACTGGGAGCAAACAATCAGATGCATAATCAGCAGTGAGACGTTGCCAATGAAGCGAAGCCACCTGGGGTTGACAGTTCGCTGAAGTGCAGCTGACCTGTGCGTTTGATGTCGGGGAAGGGATCGCGCCTGTTATGAACAAGCTGGGAAAAAAATACTACCGGTATGGTCCAGGAGCGCAGTTGATCTTGAATGAGGCAAACTAGACGATAACATATACGCACAGCTAGCAGGTGAGAGCGTACCGTAGTGAGAACGTCGCGATGTCGATGGTGTACGGTCTATACACAACGAAGAATATCCCAACCAACCCCAGATCCAGGACACGGGACCGGATAACCCGAAGAGAACCCTTCAACGAAGTTTCGTTCAGAGCGAATCAGTTCCCTTCGAGGCGGATCAAAGATAGGAAAAGTCATCTCCACGCAAGGACGATTGATCAGTAGTAAGCACAAACAAAGCGGTCAACATGCCCCATAGGACTCGCACACGAGGACTATGCAGGGAGGGGAACTGCCTCAGAGTCTGTGAGGTGATTGAGCGGCATCGTTCCTGCATCCCGTGTATCGTACTAGGACAAGACATCTCCCTACAAGTACAAAGAGATGAGTGACAGCGCTGTGAAGGGCACGAGAGTTTGGCATACGATCGGGATCTATCACGTCCTTGGCTTCCGCCTTGCGCAACGAGTCCAATAACCTTCGCTGAAGATTTCTCGAACACATCCTCCAGAGCGTGTCGGAGCACATCCACAGAATCTCCGACGTTCCCTTGTTGTACAGCCCATGAGCCTCCTGTCCAGCCAATTGTGCACCACCTAGGGAAGGAGCTCCGGAGGCAGTGGTAGAGGTAGTACAGCACGACAGAGTCGTACTACTTGTCGATGCATCGGTCTTACTCACATAGACGGCCGGTCCTTCTCGCATTTAGCCGTACCTGAGCTCCTTGAGGATGTGGTCGAGCTGAGCGATGGTGATCGCGTCTCTCGGTCACAACCTTTCCCCATGTCAATGACTATACAGTTACCTCGCTTCTGGTATCCGAGTCGGTGAACACTTGCAAGATTCTGCCCAACAACTTCACGGCGCCACGTGGATACGACGTCGATGTCGAGGACCTTCTCCCACCGGTTAATCTTCTGGCAGATTTTCCTGGACTACTGGCGCGTACGCGTACGCAATGAAAGTGACAGGCATTAGTTCTTGAAACTCGAACGGAGAAGGACATTGGAGCGCTGTTCCCGTACTAGAGGAACGACGAGCATTGGGTGAAGGAACCAAAGGTTTCATGCCTCAGGGCTGCAGGCAAGGGAAAGCGACGGTGCCAGCGAACGAGGGTGCATGGTTCTGCCTGACATCTGCCGAACGTCCAGCCCCTATAGTATATGGGTGGAGAGGAGATATCGGGGACGCCCTCTACGTGCACAGACGGTTTGTACGTTGAACATACAGCCATTGGCGGGTGGCGTAAGTTTTTAGCATGCAAAGGTACAGGCGCAAAAATGACGACTGAAGTACCTAATAACAAACCGGGTCCCTCATCTAGAGACGTCTTCGATATACTCACCTGCTCGAACTCAGGAGTCAATTGCCAAGACCGCGGGCGCGCTACAAGGCTCGGCATCGTCATCTGCCGTATCATCATCCAGCGGCTGCTGCCGGCAGGCGTATCGCTAGACGACCATCGCGCATCGCCCAAGACCCTCTTGTCTCAAACCATCGCTCTACCGCAACTACGACTTCCCCACCATGGCTAGCATCTTCAATAAGCTCGAGAAACTGGCGGACAAGCTTCCAGAGGGCCTCGACCATGCTCGGGCAATGGCCATTGGTTAGGGTTCGTTCGCTACGATTTGACAGCCACACTGACTGTTATCTTATCAGGCATTCTGAACCCGGATCGTCTGTACCCCTTCCGTTGTGCTGCCCAACGTCCATCCCCGCTGACAAGCTGCAGGCCGTCACGATGATCCCGAGGAGAAGAGGGCGGACATGGTCCGCGCCGAGATCATGTCCGGCCACCGCTTCCATTCGTTCGCCAACCAGCGCTCTCAGAACTTCGTCAAATGGTGCGTCGGGACGTTCCGCAGCCCTAACTCGCGCTTCATGGCCAACCCCTATGCAGGCATATCGACGGCCATGACTACATGTGGGCCGTCTCGGAGCTGCTCGATAGAGCGAAGGAGGCTATCTTCATCTTGGTACGTCCATTGTCGCCGCCGTAACTGCCTTCCGACATGTCGAAACTCCGGGGCGGTGATGCATAGCGCTGGTGCATTCTCAATCAACCAGGGCGGTGATATCCCAGGCGGCCATGACACGACCGCATGGTGAGATTAAGCGCATCTTGCGAGAATGTGGGGCTACTATGCACGCGGCGAAGACCCCATAACGTGCTGTAACATGGGGAGTTCTCTCGCGGGTATGGCCCGTCGGCGGGTGATATTCACTGGTCTCCGGCTTTACTTCGCGATGGCGTGGCAGTTACTGCTGCTGTTGAACGGTAAACTCATCGCTCCCCATCATAGGACTGGTGGCTCACTCCTGAGCTGTACCTGCGTCGTCCGCCTGCGAAGTACCCGGAATGGCGACTCGATCGAGTGCTCAAACGCAAAGCTGAACAAGGGGTCAAAGTCTACGTGATCGTCTACAAGGAAGTCACGCAGACGATGTCGATGAGCTCTGCTCACACCAAACATGCCCTCGAAGCGCTTCACCCCAACATCGCTTGCATGCGCCACCCCGACCACATCGGTAGCAAAGGTGCTGTCCATCCATATCACCTTACTCTCGATAGCTGATATGTGCCGCGACATGGGCAGATGATGTCGAGTTCTGGTCACACCATGAGAAGGTTGTGGTTGTTGACAATCACTACGCGTGCATCGGTGGCCTCGATCTCTGTTTCGGTAGATGGGACACGCACACTCATCCTCTCGCGGATGTGCACCCAACCGATCCGTTTGCCGTGCTCTTCCCGGGCCAGGACTACAACAACGCTCGTATTATGGACTTCCAGGATGTCCCCAACTATGTCAGTAACGGCTTGAGTTCCCTTGAAGCCGCGCGCATGCCGTGGCACGATGTGCACATGACTCTCACCGGGGAAGTCGTGTTGGACATTGTTCAGCACTTCGTCGAGCGCTGGAACGAGGTCAAGAAGCGCAAGGTGAGAGTATCTTCAACTTGCACGGTGATCGTCGCTTACCCTTGCCTTTGCCAGTACCGTAACGAAGCGTTAGTGTTCTGTCCGCTCGTGTCTGTGCCCGCGCTCATCAGAATATGTAATGTAGGCGATATGATTGGCTCGCGCTTCCGCACGACATTGAGGCGTCCCCTAATGAGGCTGTCGTCCGTATGTCAAGCCTTTCTGAGAGGACCATGCATTTCACTGACCCCTTCGCTACTAGGCCATCCTCACCGCGAGCGCTGGCATCAAATTGGCAGACACTTCAAGGACCGCTTCCACCTCCACTGGCCCCACGGCGGTGAGACTGCCGATTATGATGGCGAGTATCCCATCACGCGCGGCAGCTGTCGTGTGCAGGCCGTCCGAAGTGTCTCGGACTGGAGCCACGGTGTTCTGACGGAGTGCAGCATCCAGAACGCTTGTGCGTACTTCTCGGTCCGACTGCGAGATACCGATCTGACGGGCTAATGACAGATATTGACTTGATTCGAACGTCCGAGCACTTCATCTATATCGGTGAGCGCCTTCGGCGTTCTTCTGAGTGGACGTAGTTAACGAATAAATTGCAGAGAATCAGTTCTTGTTCGTGATCGTGAATTTGGAATGGCAGAGACACTGCGGACTAACCACCCCCACTACAGCATCTCCAACACGCAAGAGGATGGGCCTGTAAAGAACCAGATTGCAAAGGCGCTAGTGGAACGCATCGTTCGGGCTGGTCAGGAGGGCAAGAAGTTCCGGGTCAGTTTATCTCCAGCGTCAGCTTCTTCAATCGCTCACTCGTCTCTCCCCAGGTGGTCGTCGTGATTCCCGAAGTCCCAGGATTCGCTGGACAAAGTCAGTACATATTTCTAGTGCAGTGGCAAGTTGCTGACCTCCTATTGCAGTCAAGGATGAGTCCTCCGTCAAAATCATCATGGCGGCGCAATATCGCACAATGAACCGTGGGGGACACAGTATCTACGAGGAGGTCCGCAAGGCGGGATACGAGCCGTGAGTGCTACTCAGAGCAGTGTCTTTGGTGACACTAACATTCGATTCGCCAGTTCGGACTACATCCGTTTCTACCATCTCCGTGCCTACGACCGCATCAACGCCCCTTGGGGTACGCAAAGCCTACATACCATGTCGCTATCTTCGTTGACCGCAGGTCCCCAGACTCGTACGTTCACCGCATCGAGGAGCGCAGCGGTATTCCCTTCCACCAAGTGAATGTCGCCCTCGGTCGCCTCTGGGTCGGCCTCGGCGAGAGCCCCTCGGATCCCCAGGATGTGTCCGTCTCGATCCCGACAGGGAAGATGCTGGAGGAGCAGTCGACATCCGGCAAGAAGCCCGAGATTAAAGTGGAGAAGTACCAGCTCCCGAGCAGCGTTGAGGAAGCTCGCGAGATCATCGACCGCTGGCGCCGTGCTGCGGAAGAGCTCCGGACCGACGAGGATGTATCCGACAACGTCGTGCAGCACATGTTGCATGACCGCACAAGCCTCCTCGACGAGCGCTGGGCCGGCACTGAGGAGGAAGAGCGAAATGCTTACGTTTCCGAGCTTCTGTACATCCACTCGAAGGTCATGATCGTGGATGACCGGCGCGTCATCGTGAGTATCATGGTGATTGTTGCGACTGCCTGGTCTGACGACTGTGCTTGCAGATGGGATCGGCCAACCTGAATGATCGTAGTCAGAAGGTAAGCTGTACGACCGTTTGTTCCATCTCTCTATGTTGACGAAGGACATGCAGGGAGATGGTGACTCAGAGATCGCTCTCGTTATTGAGGACGAGGATTTGATTGAATCGAGCATGGACGGCGAACCGTACACGGCTGCTCGATTTGCTGCAACCCTCCGTCGCAAGCTCTACAGAGGTTAGTTCGTCTCTACCTTTTCCTCTCACGAGCCGTTGCTGAGCCGGAGCCTAGAGCACCTCGGACTCATCCCACCACAGTTCTGCACCGCGGACGAACGTCCTGACTCCTTCATGCGTGCCGCGCCTCATCCCAATGACGATGAGACCGAGGACGACGAGGATCGCGCTGTTGCCGATCCCTTGGCTGATAGCACTCACGACCTCTGGAATGGCACTGCCCGCAAGAACCGTGAGATCTTCACTGAGATCTTCCGGCCCGTGCCCACGAACCTCATCCGCTCCTGGAGCCAATACGATGTGAGTTCCCACTCATCTAGAGCCATAGCCCATTCTTGGATCACTGAATGGGATATGCCATAGAACTACGTCCCCAATGTGATGACTGGCCACGTCGTGCCGGACGTCCCTCTGTCGCGTATCAAGGAACGCTTGTCTCAGGTCCGTGGTGCGCTTGTCGAGTGTCCGATGGTAAGCCGCCTCCTTTGTGAATTCTACAATCTGTCCTGACACCTTGCCGAAACAGGACTTCTTGATCGACGAGAAGGGCTTTGTTGAGGGACCTGACTGGACAGGACTCAACCCGACCCTTCCCATCTATATCTGATGAGGTTGCTGGTGTCGTATCAGTCGATGGCGGAAGAAATGATTGTGTTATTTGGTTGCTGAATGTATATATATATATATATTAGACGAATGAAACGATCTATGAGACTGTTGTACCACCATCTACGTATACCTTCGGAGGTGATGAATGCCATGGAAGGGGAATGGGTCAAATTGACAGGCATTTCTATATCCATGCCTTGAACCGAATGTGTATTTGGGTGTTTCCCATACTTCTTTCACGTCATCAGGAAGTCGAGTATCTAAAGGGACCGTCCTACACCGCTCGTAACCCTGCTCAAGTTGGAAGCATACGTCCCGCAACCACATGTCTAAAATCCTCTTTCACGCAGGAGTTTCGGGAAATGAGGTGAAGAATAGACAATTTCGTGGGGCTCCAAACCTGAGATACGCCGGTGCATTTCGCCAATTCGCCAGATTGGACGTGCACCGGCTTCTACTTGGAGGTCCGGTCTTTCAGTGTACTCAATGATCATCCTTCTGAAGAAGTTCGAGGGCAAGCGGGCACAAATGGGATTCGCGTTTGGCCGGTGCAAACGCGTGCCGTACACAGTAGATACAAAAGGCTTATATACGTAGCTAAATAGGGGTAGATAAGGGCGCGGGTATCCGTCGGGGGGGCGGGACCTGTGGCGCTCGTTCCGCGAGCTCGCCATCTTGACGCCAGGATTCCAACACCTTCCACCTTGACGGGTGGGCTACGCTCATGATAGCCGTGATGTTGGGTCGATAAACGACGTAGTGTCCGCGCCTGAGTGAGCATCGACCGAAGAACACCGTTTGCACGAGTGCCTGGGGGGTTGGAGGGACGGTCGAGGTCATCAAGAGCGACATGGGGTGCTGAGAAATACCTTCCCCATATGGTTACTGCGTACAGAGCGCATGGCGCCCATTAGTCTGGCAGGAGGCCTCTCTTGCATCGCACTCTTCCACCTCCATTGTGGCTGGCCACGACCTCTGTTTGGCGGTCGCACCATGGATGGCCAGCCCGTATCTGTTGTATCATCTACTCGCACCTCAGCGGAATCGTCGATGCCTCTAGAAGATGACGGCGCTCCACCGAACACCGAGTCGGACGCTGGTGGCGCAAGCGTAATGTTAGACATGGCTACTGAACCCGCCGATCGGGAAATTGCTGCAGCAAACCAGCTAGCTTACACCGCTACTGAGGCTAGAAACGATCCCTCTTGCTCATGCTGTACGTCATAGTAGAGCATTCGATGGAGTGCAGCAGCTCATCATTCGCCCATGATTGTTGTAGGGGATCACCCTAAGAGTCAGAGGCCCGTTGGGCTCAATTTGGTCTTCCCTCCTATCAAAGCCGAGATACTCCGAGCTATCGAAGCCACGAACACATTGGTCACACTCTTACAAGACTATCATGAGGGCCAGAGCGACAGTCTCTCCTCATTCATGTCGAAAGCTGAGCTTCGAGAGATACTGCTGTTGCAGCGGACAACCATACTCAATGCATGTCAACATGTTCCTTTTAATCTATGTTATCTGATTCTCTCGCACTGCAGGGTCTCGAAACCGCTGCCGTCCACATTACGACTACGCCAGGCTATGTTTGCAGGAGCACCAACAAAAAGCACCACAAACTCTTCGAGGAACGGTACCAGGTGTTGTGTAACGTGGAGTCTGAGCTGAAGAAGGGCGTCGACGAGGCAGAACCTCTCTATAATGCTCGCAATGAGCTTATACGCGCCGAGAGGAAGATGCGCAGACGAAGGCTTCTACAGACTGCCGTTCGGGCTGCAGTACGTGCCCTCACAGATCTAGCTGCGAGTAAAGGCTCATGTACCAATCAGTCTGTCATCGCCATACCTTTCTCTCCCTTTGCTTCGGCGGTGTTAACGGCAGTGGACGTCATGGTTCTTTCGATCATCGTCGGCGTTCAGCACCTCGTTGTTCCGGACGCCACACAGCAGGTCCGCGAGACCCTCGAGCGCGTGGAGGCCCTTCAGAAAGATATGGAGCATAAACTCGAGGAGGTAAGACGCCTGAAAGCCGCCCTTGAGGCAGCCAAGGCCAGGGCCGAAGAACAGCAGCAGAATCCCATCGCCTCTCGGTTGGCGGAGGCCTTAGAGAAGGTGCATGGCGCCAAGGAGGCTGTCGAAGCCGTCTTCTCGTTCACGTGCGATGCATGCGCACCGAGCGCGCCAACGGACCAGGTTTCTGTTCGACGGGTCAGCGAGGCATTCCGGAAAGTAGGAGATGCCCTCGATACGCCAGGTATCATCACCGAGCCGCTCGGATCTATGGACGATGAGCAATTCGACGCCTTGGATAGATATCTCGCAGATCTCAAGTCCAGATCTCAAGCCTTTGCAGACCCATACGGATACAGAAACACTAACTCTCGTTTAGCGGCTCATCTGGTCTGATTTTCATCCACGCTCTCCTAGTACCTCGCTCGCTTTCTGTGTTCGCTCTCTGCTATTCGTACCCGTATGCATCTCGTAGCTTTTGCAGGCATTTCACTTGTAGTCGGGCCCTGATTCTATTGTATTCTTCGCAATGACGTTATAAAGATAAAGTTCATCAAGCAGAGCAGTTGGAGCCTTGACACGTGCTGCATAGCTCTTCGCCCTATCAGAATGACGAGGCTCTCTTGAGCTCAGCTTCGATTGCGCCTCCGAGTAGACGATGTACATGTGCGGTCGGGTGCCCAGTGTCTGCGATGGGTAAGGAGTCAGGATCCAGAACCTATCGGGACGAAGACAGCACTCACTATACCAGAAGAATGTCGGGTCTGCGCACTGGCAGAATCTGACATAGACGTCAACATCCTGCGCTTCAGTCAATTATGATTGCACCTTACCCAGTGATATTCGTGAAGCCATAGTCCGCCGCTTTGTCTAGGACATGGTTGAACCAGGTGTGGGCGTCGAAGGTGAGAACGTTGACGTCTCGGTGCGTTTCCGCGAAGTGCGCGACGTGTTGTAGGAGCGCGGTGTTGTAGTCGATGATGTTCTGCTTGTAGAGTGGGGCAGTGGACGTGCCGATATGACTCGGGGAGCGTTCGAGTGGTGGTACGTTGACGAAGAGATACGTGCCGCGGAGGTGGTGGTCGTAGGCATTTTGCTGGAAAAGCTTCCGGCATCAGAGCGTGATTAGGACCAACGAGAGAAAGAACCGACCACTGCACCAAACAGGGACCGCATCTCCAGCTGCCAGAAACTTTTGAAGTCCAACTGGTATACAAGAGAGAATAATCAATCGAAGGCTTGCAAGGACGACGGCAAGAAACCTTACTGTGGTGTTACGCAAAGTGTCGCCCGTGTCGTTGATCCCGATCCAGAACGCGGTAAGGGTTTTCTCAGGCGGGTGCGGGACAACGTCAGCTGCGTACAGCGCCCATTGCCGGACTTGATCGACGAGGTCGACTGAGAAGTTGTGGTGGAGCGGAAGGCTAGAGAGACGTGAGTACACGAATGGCACGTTCACGATGATATGAGAAGCATTACAGAGCCTTGTCAACGTCTGCGCCAGCGAATGCGAAATCCCATAGCTGGTGCGGTGCGCAATCAGAAGGCTTCCCCTCGAAGCAACCTGTCAGGAACTCAAGCTATAAAGGAAGTCAGAGATGTAGATATTGTATGGCAGAGCTGAGCAAACGTACCCAGGACGAGCCGCCTGAGCTGGACTAATATATGCTTGCGTCAAGTAGGAACCTCTGTGAGTACACCGTTGTCCACGTACCGCATTCGCTACTATCTCATTATTGACAAGTTCCTCAGGTGTGAACGAGAAGTTGAATGCATTCCCGATGAAGCTAGGTATTCCTATAAGTACCTTACCGGTCTCACTTCAAGGGGAAACGTACCTGAAAGTGGGATACCCTTGCGTACCTTGCACGAAGGTATACGAATCCCCGAACGCGTAGACATACTTGGTATGGTCCCAGTGGAATCTGGGTTTCAGCCTTGCTGACGCAGCCGTAGCAGTACACAATACAAGCGCAAGCGAACACAGACCGCGCAGGTGGGACAGCTTGGAGCATGTAGCCATAGTGATAGTGACTGACGAGCTATCCGGAAGCCAGCTTGAGCGATTTTGACAAGGGGAAATGAATCCGTACATTCATATACGTCCTCAAGCCATCTGAGATCTGCTCACATGATTGAGCAATGACGACGTTTCTTCAGCGTAGACATACATAGGCGGGCCGTACGAGGACGTGGCGCGTCCCGCACCTGATACCTTCAGCTGATCACGCGTACTCAGCTAGAGATTTGCCTGACCCTTCGGCTCTGTAGAGCGGGCAGCGCGCCCCGTGCTACTCACCTCATCTCACCTTCCGTACCTGATCTAAGTGCAGATGCGCCATCAATAACAAACCCTGCCGAGCACAACTCTGTTCGTGGACATGATCGACAGGACTCACAAGACGATTCCTACATCAGTCTAGTAAACGGGGATCGACAGGATCTGGCCCGGGCGGACCGCTGCAATGCTGGAACTTCAGAGCTTCAGCTTCAATTCGTGAGCTTTTTGATACAGACAAATGGGCGACATAGGTGGCCTTGTCAAACTTGCGAGGGTTGACGGGAGCTGGACATGTAGCACGCGCGCGGGCCGCATGACTTTGGAAAACTCCGACACACCACTTGAAGCTCCGCCTCGTCCAGTCCCCAGACGGCATCGGAGTTCATTCGGGTTCGAAGAAAGGATTCAACCTCAGGCTGCTAACAAGACCCACAGCCTGGCTGAACGTGTACAAAGCCTTGGGTATTGTCCACTTTCTGCGCGCAGGCGTGCCTGCTATCTCAAGTATCTGACAGATCGTCTACCCTCCGGACAGTCTCAGCAATACAATCAGCAGCAAACCCTACGACTTGCTGAAACGTTCTCGGAAACTCCACCAATACTAACTAACTTTGAATGGCAGCCCCAAGGGCAAGCGAGATGGTGGCAACGCCCACTGATGGTTATCCCACGGCAACTTCCTCGCTTCAGTCCGATACGGAGATCACTATCAAGTCGCATCTTCCCTCGTCCGGTACCCCTCAAATCGCGCTGCAGAAGAAGTCCCATTTCGAGTTCCTTCTCCGCAACCTCCGCCAAGGCTTCCCAGAACGGTACACCTCTCAGGATGCCAGTCAACCTTGGCTGATATACTGGACACTTCACGGGTTCAGCATCCTCGGCGCGGGTCTGGACGATCAGACCAAGAAGAGGTGGGCTGCATGAAGTCTGTAGGGAGCCGCATCTGAATGCTTTCATGCAGAACGATAGAGACCTTACTAGCGCTGCAACATCCAGATGGAGGCTTTGCGGGTGGCCCCGGTCAAGCAGCACATCTTCTTCCTACTTATGCAGCTATTTGCGCCTTCGCCGTAGTCGGTCGACCCGGTGAAGGTGGGGGATGGGATGCCATAGATCGGTGAAGCTTGTGGAACTAATCCCTCATCCCGATCGTTCCTGATGCCCTATGGATCATGTAGCAACAAGATGTACAACTTCTTCATGTCGCTAAAGCAAGCGGATGGCTCCTTTCTTGTGAGTCATCATGGTGAGGTGGATGTTAGGCGAGTACAAGTCGAACGTTTCAGCTCTATGACATCCGATTAGACTCTGTCTGATTCACAGAGGGATATACTGTCTGCTCGTGGTAGCCACCCTACTCAACTTGATCACGCCAGAGCTGTTGGCAGGCGTACCCGACTTCCTGGCGACATGTCAGACCTACGAAGGCGGCTTCGGTAATGCATCATTTCCAGGATGGGCTTTCGGATCAGGTAAGGGTTGCCAGTGCATGACCGCCAAATTGGCGAATTCACGTCAGATCTCAGATGACACGGAGGCAACAACACCTCTGTCAAGTCCGAGAGACCCGACTGCGCCCCGCCCTCCCCTCGGCGAGGCTCACGGAGGCTACACATTCTGTGCCACAGCGTCCTGGGTGCTTCTGCAACCGTTCATCAAACTGTATCATCCTCCTGTGCCCGGCAGTCCTCTCCCCGAGCCGAAGATCAACACACGTGCCCTACTCCGCTGGTGTGTGCAGATGCAGGGCCTCCCCATCGAACTCGGAGGGTTCAAGGGCCGGACAAACAAACTGGTCGACGGTTGCTACAGCTGGTGGGTTGGCGGCTGTGTCGTCCTAGTGGAGACATTACTTGGTCTTGCGGCGTCGCATATCGCCGCAGGCGAAGAACCTACCGACGAACATGACGAGGACAGTGCAAAGGCGTGGGATGATGCTGATGGTGAGCACAGTTCACATGACTATTGATCGCTTGGCTGAACACCTCGAACTATGCCATCGCCCGATGTCCCTCAGACTCGCTCTTCAACAGGCGTGCTCTGCAAGAGTACATCCTATGCGCTGGACAGCATCCGGCTGGGGGTCTACGAGACAAGCCGCCCAAGTCAGTGTCGTCTCCCGCGCTTTACCTCGTATAGCTTGTCATGGTCTTTGTTGATGCTTGCGATCGTTAGACCAGCGGATGCTTACCACACCCTGTACTGTGCCGCCGGTTTAGCCGCCGCTCAGCACCGCGTTGTTCCATCCAAGGCTCGCGAGAAGGCTGTTTTGTTGACGTGGGATCCAGTACAAGCACACGCGAAGAGCGGTACGCTCCCATCCGGCATATCTCGACTTACGCTGGATATTGACTGCGCGTAGGCGCGACATACGTCTCCCCCTCGGACGTAGAGCGTGAGACGTTTGAAGAATTGCGAAAACAGATGTTCGCACACGCGCTCTCTTGGTCCGAGGAAGAAGGCACGACTACGTACGTTGGCGGCGCGGCCAATCGCGTGGTAAGTGCCATGGCCAACCTAATGCCTCTGATACACGAGGCGATCGGCTTCTCACCGTTGGCACGCTGTCCTATCTTGCAGAATGCTGCGCACCCCATCTTCAACCTCACAATTACGCATGCGGACGGAATTTTGGCCCATTTCTACGGTCAGATGCCGCCGTCACGCTACCCCCCACGCGGCAAGAAGTGAAGGAGATCAGCGAGCGCAACGGAAGACGGTGCGGTAGACTTCAAGGATTGGTTGACAGAAGGTTATGGAGGATACTCCGGATCTCATGATGTGACGCGGAGACCGGTCCCTATGTGAGACAGCAGTCTGATTGGAAAGCACTCGGTATCCATGTGCTATGGGTTTACCTAACCTTGCGCGCTATGTGGTTCCACGCGCCCTCTGCTCACGTCTTCACAGTAACATGCTGCAGCCAGACGACGTGATAGCAGCCGATGTCGGCCTCCGTCCGGGACAGCCGCGATAATGGAATCTTCTGAATTCCAGGCATCGCGTCCATGAAGGTATCTCTGCTGTCACCCAAGTCTCGCGACCGTGAGTATTTCTACACGAGGTAGGTTGTGATAGTATGTGCGAGGCCCCCAGAACCTTGACAGTGGATTTTTGGGGCGATAGGGGCGCGGCCGCCTGTCCCTCCTGATATTCAGGGGGCACCGTCATCGTCCATGCATTTTGGTGCGATTATCGTTCTGGTGACAGCAAAAGCTGGAGCCGGACTTTATATCAGTCGGCGGATCAGAGTGCACGAGGATGGGTGATCCTGCCACTGCGTTATTTTCGCAAGGAGCCGCAATACGTATTCGTGGATTTGGTGTGGCACAACGGCTAGGTATCGGTACGTACAATGTCAGTCATTGATGAGGATTTGTAGAGAAACATGACGACGGGATAATGTCGCGGAGCTCACATCTGCCCTGCGAGACGATCCTTCTACATAGCCTTGTGAGGTTGGGATGTAGACGTGCTGCGGGGACTTACCAGAACAGGGACGTAGTATAGCCCAGCCTCTACGGGGTCCTTCCCGTCCTTCCCCTCAAATCTTGCACTTCTCGCTCCAACGAGCTCAATCTCTGCCTATCCTCCCTCCTTGACATCTCCAATACCGCCATCTGCTTTTCGAGCCCCTCAATGCGCGCCTTCTCCTCCATCCGGGCCTTCGTAGTGATGGGAAGCAGCTTCGACACTTCGATCCAGCGCACCCAACACGCAGACATCTCCGCGCGAAGGGAGACGGGGATAAGCGCGTGTTCCATGGCGATATCGAAGGCGTCAGGCCACCGCAGGCCGCAGCAGACGGAGCAATCGAGTGGGAGTATCTGGCTTAGGAAAAGGGTCACAGTTTCGGCTCTCGCGATGGCAGATAACCCGACGGCGAAGGTCTGGAGGCAACGGAAACGAGGCAGGTCCTGTGAGTGTGGGTGTTGATGGAAAGAGGGGACGGTCGTCGCATCGACGTGGAGTCCGAGGTGACGGAGGTTTGGGCAATTACGAGCGAATGGGAGCAATGAGCGCAGCGTGAGGCAGGGGCCATTCGCTTCAGGGACGGGTTCGGCGTTGAGCTGCAGGCTTTCCAGCGACGGCCAGCTGCTCGCGAGTTCGTCGATATCGTTGTCGGCAAGGTTCAGTGCGTAGTCCCATCGCAGCTCGAAAGCTCGAAGAGACCTGGCGGAGAAAAGGGGACGAAAGCATTCTAGAGATGGACGTTCGGAGAGGGGTGGAGGAGGGGATAGAAGGGGCGAATCCGGAGCAATGATGTAGTCTACAGAGAGTTCGACGAGGGAGGTGCAACGATCACGTATCGCTATGAAAAGCTCGCGGAGAGCTTCTGGCGTCGCGATCACGACACTCTTCAAGTGTAGTTCTGTTAAGTGTGCAGGGAACAAGGACGAGCGGATAGAATGCGTAGCATCAGCGACCTGAGCGCTAAATGATAGGCTGCGGAGTACGGGAAAGGCGTCGTTAGAAAACGCCGGGACGAGATGAGTGACGTCTGCCCGGTCTCCGGGTTCTGCACGTGCGGGGTCTCCCAGAGAAATGGTGTCCAATTGCTGGAGAATTGAAAGCTCGTTGAAAAGCCTCGAGGTTAGGCAATAAATCGGTAGCGAGATCTTACGTAGTCGCGGAAATCCCCGTATAAGGATCGAGACTTCCTCCTCGAGTTGTCGCATAGGTCCGGCCAGACTAAGGTCCAGGACGGTCAAGTCCTTGCATCGTGCACACACCTGGCGAACGTAGTCTGTGAGAGAAGAAGGTTCGGATCGATACAAATGCAGGCCAAGGTGTTTTACGCGCCGGTGCACGAACGCCAGACAAAGTCGCTGCCTCTCCGGGGCGCATGCATACCAGACAAGCGACTGGAGGTTGGGGAATATGTCGTCGGTCGGGCAAGTAGTGGTCAAATCTGCGAAGACTTTCGGATGCAGCAACGTCGGACGCTTAGACTTCTCCATGGCGTTGCGTGCGTGCCGCTGATCATGGCGCAAGCTGCGGACCCGTCCAGAATAGCGTTGAAAACGTTGCCAGTCCGCGGGTACCAATGGCCTTTTGAATACCTGACAAGTTACGTTACAGAAAGTCAGATCAAAGAAACAATAGCGAGGCAAAGTCATACTAACATAAGCCCCAGGTATTCGTGCTGTCGAGGCCGGGACACGCTCGGTTTTGAAAGCAAGCGGCGCAAGGACAGTCAAGACTCGTCTGAGGTCATTCACCTCGGACCAAAGAGCGTCAAGGGCGAGTTCTGCCCAATGTTTGCAGACGCAGGCCGCTCGTGCAAGGTCGCGATCATCGAGGTACGAGAACATCATCGTGAGGAGTTCGTCAATGTGTCCCAAAGAACGACGGTGGTTGCGATCCATGTGTGGCAGATCGAGTATTTAGAGATGCGAGCTGAATTTGAGGTAAGGGGGGAGTCGAGGAAGACAGCATGTCGACTACCGGAAGAATTTGCCGGTCTATATACCGCATTGTGTTCTACACGGGATAGACACCGATAAGACCCCGGAATCGCCTGTTCAATCGGATGGCCGCCTACCAGTTTGGATCTGGATCTGGCTGCAATCTTCTCAGGCCATTCGACTTCTCTGAACGGGGTTGTCCTCTGTGATGACATGAAGCACTGTTCACTGCAAGGCGAATATGGAGGACACGGTGCTTCCATGACTGAGCCAGACACAGGCTTGGCGGTCCACAATCTGAGGCGTTGCCCGGGAGCGGAGAGGAGGTACGATTAGCGGAAAATGAACTTGACCGGTTCAAGACCATCTGTGCCTCGTGAGATTGATCGGTGGTTAGTTGCCGCCCCGGCTTTCAACGTGTCGCTCTCGGCCTTCCAAATTCTCCGAAAATGCCTTCTCGCGACGCCCAGCGATCACGGAACCGATATACCTCCCACCACACGATGCGGACAATTTCTTTGTAACTGGTATGAGCGGTTGACTTCGGTTCTGATTCGAGGACGTGGATGCAGGGTGGGGTTGGCAATAGAAGCCTGCATCCAAATGAAACATCAGTGAGGCGAAGCTCGCTGGAGCGGTGTGAATGTCGCGATCGAGTAGCTCAGTTCTCATGGGAAAGAATCTTGTTCAAGGTTGCCGAGAACATGACAGATTTGATATAGCGATGAGACGCCCATGTGCTGACAACCCCAGCCTCGGCCATCGGTGACATCAGCAAAAGCGCTAAAATGTCCCTGTAGATAACCCTCCCGGGCCTATACAGGCAAGTCCTGAGATATGCGGCATGGTGTGAGGATCATTCCAATGGACCTGTTGTGTTTCCTTCAGAAGGCCATGTACATGTCCCCACCGGGCGGACAGGCTATGCTCGGGAACACCTGGCAATACCACCGAGATGTCGCTAGTATTGCATGGTGTTGCTGAGGATTGCTGTGCCATGCGATGCCAGCGTCTGAGCGCCATACCATTTGGAGTTGCCCGAGATTGTCGGGATTGTGAGACAGGGCGAATGCGAAAAGTCGGGGGATAGTAAGGCAATAAGACATGCATATTGCACGATACTCACTGAATCCCCTCGGATTTCGAGTATCGGAGGCTCAGACAAGCACAGGAGCATACCCTGTACCCCTAGCAATGATAACGGATATTACTTTGTACTACGCGATTCCGCTCAGGACTCGGATGGGCGGGCAGAGTAGTATATTGCAGAAAACCACGCAAATACAGGTGAGCACGTGTATACGATGAGAGCGCACAATGCACCAAGGGAGAGCAAGATGTCCGCCCGCGAGGAAACCAGTGAGAACATAGTCGGCTACGACAACATCGGTGGTCGCCGCAACCAGGCGGCCCAGATCCGTGAGCTTGTCGAGCTCCCCAGAGGTCAAGAAAGAGCGCAATGTGATCGCTGCCACAAGACGGCCCAGATCCGTGAGCTTGTCGAGCTCCCCAGAGGCTACGACAACATCGGTGGTCGCCGCAACCAGGCGGCCCAGATCCGTGAGCTTGTCGAGCTCCCCAGAGGTCAAGAAAGAGCGCGATGTGATCGCTGCCACAAGACGGCACAGATCCGCGAGCTTGTCGAGCTCACGAGAGGTCAAGAAAGAGCGGGATCACTTCTACCCGTACAAATCATCGGCGGGCTCGGCCGGATTTTCGGAAGGGGGCGATGTACTTCCTGCGACTTCCACGAAGTGTGTGTTGGTGTCGACAAGCTCGTAAGAGGATGAACGGGACCGTGGATCATCAGCCGGTTGTGGGGAAGCGTTATGGCCAGACTTCGTGTGCTGCGCGCGACGTGCCTTGAGCTCCGCCATGCGGGCTTTGAGTACCTGTGCGCGAACGTTGTCATCGTAGTCGTTTCCTTCTTCTTCCATATCAGCGTCCGGATCCTGCTGGTCTGGAGCGCCCGCTTCGCTTCCGAAAACCTTGCTATATTGTCCAGGTTAGTATGTATATGGACGCTAGCATCCAGAACTCACTCGTTGTAGAATGTGAATATATTCCATTCTAAAGGATCCTCCGATGGCTCCAGGTAGTCGTCCTCGATGTCTTGTTCCCACGCCTCGTACCCGACCGTCAGAAACCGGTGGAGGGCAGTGTGCAAGCAGTGTCCGGATCGCTGCCCGTCATCGCCATTCCACCGATCGTCTGTGCTGAGAAGGTATCGGAGCTATGGGAAGTGGAACGTTGAGTTGTGAACCATGCAAAAATGGGAGACGTACGAGAGTGACGACATATACTAAATAATCGGGAGTAACCTTGGTGATGCTGTATATATCAACAAGGGGTGCACGGCCGAAGCCGCGCATACCCCCTGTGCGCCCCACTGCAGACGGGCCCTGGAACAAGTGTCGAAAGCACTGTGATATTGTCGCTTAGTAAGAGGATGCGGGGCTTGAGGAAAACGTACGGAAAGAACGAAGTCGCTCTTGAAAATGTGGCGGTCAGGATGTCTGTTGTCGTACTTGAGGTTGGTTGGGAAAAGGAAGCTCGGGTAAGAATTATTGTCGTCGCTATGCTGAGGGCGATCCCCTTGGTGGCGCTTCTTGCGGCGCATCGCGCTGCTTGCTGCTTGAATCTTCTTGTGTTGGGTGACCTTGAGCTTGCAGTATCTGCAGGGCGGTGTCGAGGATTAGAATGTATCAGAGGAGGAGGACATACTTTGGGGGATCGAGGTTGAACTTCGCCAGTTCGTCAATAGGGACGACCAGGCGGCCCGTGGCAGTTGAGCAGTACCCGCCGTTTCGAGTCTTGAGGTCGCTCATCGAGCCCGGGGCAGGTGGGGGGATGACATAGTCGTTCGATATGATGACGTAGGGAAAGTACGAATGGAAACTTGTCTTCAGTGTTGAAATGTCGGTGGTGCGACCAGCGGCGGCGTGAACTTGCATCTGGGGAAAATGAGATGGTCTCGAGGTGCAGGACATGGGTACGTACATATTTAGCAAAAAGGAAAACATCGTCGGGGCTGAGCAGTATATGCTCGCAGAGGGCCGTGAACAGTGGGATCTCATCGCAGAGATGGAAAAACTTGTTCGTATAGAATCTAGCCGTAGCAGGGCTCCTAGGGCAAATCGTCAGAGGGCAATCAAAGTGAAGAGAAAGGCACATACATGTGCGGGATGGACTTGTAGCATGCCTCATAATCGTCGGCATCGTGGGGGGCTGCGCGCATCACGGTCATGCCACACACAATGGTTTTATGAATATCAGTATACAAGCCACACAACCGGTGGCAATGGCGGCCCCACGTCTTGAAGTGCTCGGTCAGTTGTTTGGGGTCGGCGTCCGCCTCACTGAAGAACGTCAGTAATGTCCGGTTGAATTACATGTACGACGTACCGGACGTGGAATTTATTTTTCTTCTTGCTTTTGCGTATCGCCTTCAAAAATCGTCGCGCGTCGGCGGGCGATAGGTCTTCTTCACTATCACCTTTTACGTGGTTGATGTCCTCTTCCTCACACCTACCTTCGGCGTTATCCTCTCCCTCGTCCTCATCCTCGACCTCTCCCTCGTCCTCGTTCTGGTCCTCCTCCGGCTCCTCCTCGTCCTCCTCAGCCTGCGAGACAAGGGGACGTCGTGACCCCTTCTTGCGGGGGACATTTTCTTCGGAAAGGGCTTCGTCGCTGTTGTCCATCCGTGCTTCATTGGCTGCCTTCATCCTCCTGATGGCGTCGGTGAAGGAGTCTTGTATACGTTGGGGGGAGTCATTCGATGTCGAGGGAGGTGGCAAGGAGGCTGGAGGCTGGGTGGATGACGATGTATCCGAGGATGTGGGAGGACGCAAAGAAGAGGTGTGGTGAGACGACGAGGGGTGTGTTGTGGAATGGCGCGGCCATTGAGACGACCGGCTGCTAGATCCGTCTGGATCGGGCTCCTGTCGATCAGGGTTGCACCGGTTCGGGCCTTGAGACTGGGTCCCGGCGGGATCGGAGCCGTTTGGCGCGGACTTGGTTTTCTTTCTCGTAGGTCCATCGTCTTGAGGGGGACGTGGCCGTTTTTGTGTTGGGAGTGTGTCGGGTAGGGGTATAATCGGACTGTATCAGTGAGATGTTAGTGACCAGGTGCATATATGCGGTCCAAACAGTGCATACAGTGCCTGATTGCCTCGTGTACCCTTACTCTTGGCACCGGTGACCACGGGCGGCTGAGACACCTGGCGGCGGTCACGAATCTTCAGTTTCTTACCGTTGTTCGCTTTGTCTTTAGGCATGGCAACGTGTGAGAAAAGGAAGAGATGGTGTGGTTGTGGGACAAAGTGGGAAGTTCACGTCTTTGACGTGAGGACGACCTTTATACGGTAGGGCGTGAAGAGCTATGACGTGTTTAGGCGTCTACGCGTTGTCCAGTGGAACGCGTCGATCACGTGACCGCGCTGGCAGGTGGTGAGTGCAATCTTAGCCGAGAAAAGATCCCTGTCAAACCCTCCATCATTGCGACTGACTACATGCGCGTCCTGTGGGCTCTGCTCATCCTCTCCATTTTTTTCTTGATGCCTCAAGAGCGTTGCTATGGGTGTCAGGACACGTTCAAGGACCTGGGCTCTCACCTCCGAGTGTGCACCAAGGCACACAGCTTCTACGACGGCGGCCTCCGGCGACGAGTTGACAACAAGGGAAAGATAAAGCAATTTCGGGAGGCCCTCGCCCAGCGGAAAGTGGCTGAGGAGCGCGCGAAGACCGCCGAGAGGCATGCGCGACTCACGGCTCGAAAGGCTCAATTAGAGGTACGTCGGTCGCTCATGGTGACGAGCACTACCCGAGTTACGTTCCTATCGAGGTACGAGAGACCACCCATTCTGTGTGTCGATACAACACACCTGTGTTGTTTCAGGGGACCAATGTCGACGCTCTCCCAGTTGCCCCTGTAGCTATTGAGGGCCACAGTCTCTTCTACTCCAGATTTTGTCTCGGGGTCGCATGTGCGCACTGCTGACCGCATATATCCAGGCCGAACGCGAGGCGAGTATTCCGGTATTTGTCGACCCGGCCCCAGAGGGACATCACCAACGTCGTATCCCTGCCAAGCTCGCCGAGATGCTCCCTACCTCACTCCGAGGTCTCCCCAACTTCCGTCTCAAACCCGGCGTCACAGCACCCATGGCCCGCCGATCAGGTCTCGTCCCGCATGCCGCTCCTCCTGCTTCCCTATCTGTTGCCTCCTCTCGACCGCGCGCGACGGTCGAGGATGCCCCTGAAGATGGCATGGAAGGCGTTGAGCCTCCCACGCGCCCTCCGTCCCCACCACCCGCCTTGCCTCCCCCAATCGACACACCTCCGAACCGCTTTGGGGTCTTCAGGCAGTACAGAGCCACCCCTCGCAGTGACCCGGAGAGCGGGCTTTCACTCGAAGCTTTCGCAGACGCAGGCACACACCTTCGTGCCCCTCCGGCCCCCGGTGAACGCGACGCGTTGCGACCATTCGGTCCTACAGTGCGCTCGTGGCTTTCTGGCGCAAGGGACGTGGCTGCAAACTCTTTTGCGCCATTCTTGAACTGGTCGACGTTCAAACTTATGGAGTGGCAGTATTCAGGCTCAATAACAAAATCCGGGGCAGAACTACAGCGCCTGGTCGACGACGTCATTCTCGACGACAGGTTCAACAAGGAGGATCTCTTGGGGTTTAATGTTGATCGTGAGCAGCGGCGACTTGACGATTTCCAGGCGACCAGTGGTGCCTTTTCAGCCAAAGATGGCTGGCGCGAAGAGTCTGTATTGCTTCACCTGCCGAAGCCCGGCCTTCAACAGGAGGATGAAGAACATACCCCTGCCTTCCTTGTGGACAAAATCTGGGTCCGAAGCTTTCTCGAGGTCGTCAAGGCGGGGTTCCGCGACATCTCGGCTCGCCAGTACCATTGGTTCCCGCACAGACTCTTTCGCACTCGTGCTACTCCCGATAACCCCACCGCTAAACCCGAACGTCTGTTCACAGACGTCTACAATTCTGATGCCATGATCCGCGAGCACGAGGAGATCCAGAAGCGCCCCCGTAACCCCGATGACCCCCCCGATGTCGAGTACGTGGTCAGCGGGATCATGGTATACTCCGACTCTACCCATCTCACCAATTTTGGAACGGCATCGTTGTGGCCCATCTACGCGTTTTTCGCGAACCTCTCAAAACATCTTCGGTTCAAGCCTTCAATGTTTGCCGCGCATCATCTCGCATACGTGCCCTCGGTAAGTCCATGACTCCTCACAGGTCCCATGCCATTTTCCATGCCTTCGGGTGATGCGACTGTCAGCTGAACCTCTATCTCCGTAGTTGCCTGCCAGTTTACTCAGATTTTACGAAGACACGTATGGCGCACCGGCGTCCGCTGCTGTCATCCGCCTACTCAAGTACGACCTGATGACCAAGGTCTGGCTCCTCCTCCTCAATGCAGAATTCATGCATGCCTTCGAACACGGTGTCATCGTTGTCTGTGGGGATGGCGTCACGCGGCGAATATTCCCGCGTATATTCATGTACCTTGCTGATTATCCCGAGAAGTAGGTACCATATCAGTTATCCGATGCATTGCGGCAACAACACCAGCTCACACCTGATATCTTCAGGTGCCTACTCGCCTGTCTCAAAACCCTCGCCCGATGTGCCTGCCCCGATTGTTCAATGGACAAGTGCTCGTTCTGGAAGATGGGGATGAAGAAGGACAAGGCAGACCGGGTCAAACACGCCCGTGAAGATACCGGAGTCCTCCAGGACTTGATCGCCCGGGTCCGCCGATGGATTTACGAAGACGGGACTACCCCCGATAGCGACCACATCAAGAAAACGAAACTCGGTTTTTTTTCCATGGCACCTGTGCGAGTACGTTCTACGTACTACCTCTGATTACTGCGTGTCACTCATGACGTAGCAGTCAGCTTTTTCGCAGCGTTTCGCAGCGTTTGGACGCAACGTCTACCAGTTATTTGTGCCCGACCTGATGCACGAATTCGAGCTTGGCGTGTGGAAGGGAACATTCACGCATCTCGTCCGGATACTCATTGCCGCAGGTCATGATGGTGTTCAAAAATTGGACGAACGGTGAGCGTGCAGTAACCCTTTCGGTGATATGTACTGATGACACTATGTAGTTATTCAATGATTTCGACGTTTGGGCGCGCAACCATCCGGCGATTCAGCGACAATGTGTCCGGCATGAAGAAGATGGCTGCCCGCGATTTCGAACAGAATCTCAAGGTCAGTCAGGGCGCACCCTCTACCTCTTCGTCCTTGTCTTTGTCTAATGTAACCAACAGTGCGCCATCCCATGTTTCGAGAACCTCTTGCCAGAGCCATACAACTCCATCAGGAAAACGTCACGGACTTGGACCCATACTTGGGCCCAAGTTCATGTACTTGGACTCAAGTCCGTGTACTTGGCCTCAAGTCCGTGTACTTGGCCCCAAGTCCGTGTACTTGGCCCCAAGTCCGTGTACTTGGCCCCAAGTCCATGTACTTGGCCCCAAGTCCGTGTACTTGGTCCCAAGTACACGGACTTGACCCAAGTCTATATACTTGGGGTACTTGGGGTACTTGTGCCACAACTTGAACTTTACATGTTGACTTCAGTATACTCAGGCCTCAATTTGAGCAATTGGTGTTCTATCAGTCACACATCTTGTATACTTTTTATGTAATAATATCTATCATAGACATCCATACACTAGTTGTAAACCAGTCTGTTTTAAGGCTGTAGAAGCAGCTTTATAGTCTATTAGAAGAAGGGCAATAACATGTGATAGAAGACTTTAAGTTGTTACAATGTGCTTGTTTCAGTAGTGATACAGAGGTACAATATCCAGATAATGCTCAAGAATAGTGGTATCAGTGGTGGATGTCCAAGTTCTGCTATGGTACAGGAGAGGATGGTGAAGAATTTCTCGGAGTCCAGCAAAGAGCGCTATATATGGCTGCTATTCTGTGCTACAGTGTGAGCTTCTGTAGTGTAGTGGTTGAACATGCTGTGTTGGACACTGAGATTGCAGATTGCTGGTTCAATTCCCTCTGGTGGCATTTTTTTTGCCGCCGCTGCACCCACTAACAAATATTGTACACTTGACCTTGATCAAGAGCAGCTGTCCTTTGGTTTACTTCCATGCATATCATCTTTATTATTCAATACATCTCACAGTGAACTTGGGCATGAACTTGAACAGGGACTTGGAGGACTTGGCCAAGTACCTGGTACTTGGCCAAGTCGACCCACCCGACTTGGCCAAGTCCATTGGACTTGGGGTACTTGAGGTACTTGGGATACTTGAGGTACTTGGCCAAGTACCCCAAGTACCTGTACAAGTCCGTGACATTTTCCTGATGTCACGCATTCTCGACATGCTATTCGAGCTCACGCGATGGCATGCCTTAGCCAAGCTCCAACTCCACTCTGAGTCGACCATCGCTGCATTGGACGCATCGACCAGCACCCTTGGGCAGGCCATGCGTGCCTTCCTTCGGCATGTTTGCCGTCAATACTCAACACAGGAGCTCCCCAAGGAAACGCAGTCCCGACAACGACGCAAAGCCGTGTCCGGACAGAATGCGCGGTCTGCTACGACTGTATCGCCCAAGCAAAAGGCGTTTACAGTCTTGAACACTCCCAAGTATCATCGTCTAGGTGACTACGCACGCAGCATTTCTGAAACAGGTACCATGGACAATAAGTCCACACAGGCGGTATGTAACGTTACTAGACGTTGCGTGCATATTGTTGCTAACCAAAACAGGGCGAGTTCGAACATCGGCGAGTCAAACAGTTCTACAGACGCACTAACAAGAATCAGGCTTTCGGCGGACAAATTGCCCGGGAGGTTCGTCGCGCCGAAATCATCCACAAGATCCAGCAATCACAGGGCAACGGTGCCAAGCCACGCAACAAGACACGGAAACCGAAGAGGGCCTCCGCAGCTTGTGGAAAGCGACTGCACGTTCATTTCGAGCAAGCGGAACCCCTTCCGCCCACTCAGCCCAACCGGCACTATCACATTTCAGATGAGAAGCGGTTTCCAGTTCGACTCGATGACTTCCTGTACGATAACGAGGGCGATCCAGCATGCGAAGTATGTTGTGCCCAGTCCGCATTCACGGTCTCCCCACTCCATCACCTGTGGCCTGCGCGACAACAATCACCCATGCTGTTACCCACTCACTGTAGTGTTACTGACCGCGACTCACAGAATTTTGTATGGGAACTCAAGGCGCATTTACACCGCCGGTTGCCAGGTGGCGAAACACTACCCCCGGACTATATGCCCACGGTCGACGACATCTTCTCCGTACGGATCGAAAACGACAAACTCTATCAGCACAAGGTCTTCCGGTTAAACTACACGACGTATGACATGCGACGAGACCAAGACTCCATCAACCCCCGGACTCATCCCGATATCATGATGCTTGCTCCCGAAGGGGCCCCCCACCCATATTTGTATGCCCGTGTCATCGGAATCTTCCATGTTGAGGCATACCGCGCTGGCGAGAGTTTGGATGGTGCTGACGACACTGATATGGAGCTTATTCATGTTCTATGGGTTAGGTGGTTCGACCTCGATCCCCGCGCTCCTGGCGGGTTCAAGGCACGTCGTCTCCCGCGCCTCAAGTGGGCGGCACTCGACGACGGCGCATTCGGATTCGTGTCTCCGGACCAGGTTCTACGTGCCGCACACCTGATGCCGGCTTTTGCGCATGGGCAGTCGGATGCCGCGCTGCCGGGTTATAGCGTTGCACGCCACGAAGATGACGAAGACACAGATTGGAAGTTTCATTACGTCGGAATGTAAGGTTTACACATAGCATCCTGGTCACTTCATACTTACGTACATTGCACAGTTTTGTGGATCGCGACATGTTTATGAGATACTATGGCGACGCGGTTGGGCACCAGCGGGGCGACTCCGGCAAGCCTGGCCCGGCACCTGTGCCAGCACCAGAGCCGATCACCCCACTCGTAGGGGATGGCTATGACGACGAGGTTGACGAGGAACCCCAGGACGCCACTACTGATTCCGGAAAACCTTTGGGAAACGACCAGGAATGGCCACTAGGACCGGATGGGGAAGAGGGTGAAGCGGAGAAGCCTCTGGACGATGGTGAGAACGAGGATGAGGAGGACGGACCTGACGATGATGACCGAGTTGAGAGCGACGACAGCGGAGATGATGCCGCTCTTGGGCCAGAAGATGGGGAGGCAGGTATGGATGAGGATGAAGATGAGTTAGCTCGTCTAGGCTTTGCGGCCATGTAATTACCACCGCATAGCTTCAAACACGCCTCAGTCTGCGCCAGCACCGAGAAGGCGATGAACGACAGCCTGCACCGTGAGCTAACCAGTGAATATCCTTGTTGCTATATACGAGCATTATACACCCTTGCACGAGCAAACGAGGTCATGCAAACCCAAGCAATTATCGTGCCATCGTACAATCTCCTCGCCAATCGTGCCCGATATTTTGGGTATTCCGAGGACAGGCCCCTCCTGCGCTCGAATCGGGCGCTCATGCTGTCTCGCGCCTGAACAGGCGCTTCAGGCCATATCCGCAATGCTCAAGGCGATTTTTGCGCTTTTGCTGATGGACGCGTGACGCCCGAGAAATTCGGACTTCCTCCTTCAAGTTTGTCGCCGAAGTCATTGTAGAAGCGTCAGTCGGTTGTATGTCCCGAGGGCCTCTAGCGTAACGCCAAACGGCGTTGTCATGTAGTCTCCAGATCCGAGCTGGGCGGAGGCCAGCTCTATAGTCGCCGAACGGTATCTTCCACGGCAAGTCAACGACTCGCCGATGAGAACATTGTGAATTTGGAGGTTCGAGTCAGAAATATGAAGCGACGCCTACTCTGAGAAGACAGACGCTGCATCCGATTGCCCTGAGATCGAAGCTTTGGGACTATGATGAGCCGCGATGCCGCCTTTGTTACTCTACCCATCTCCATATTTATTATTGAGTTATTCTCTCGTCCGTCATCGGTTGGCGATCAGTCTGATGGCAGGTGACGTGGATGGGTGATGGTGACCGCGTTTGACCGAGAATATCCCTTATTCTTTACGGGACTCATGTAGGTATCTTCAATGTGATCGCGGATGAGATGAGCCGAAGCGTCATAATCGTCGGACAGCGATGGCGTCAAATGTACAATTCGGGCGTGCTACTGCGGCGCATGACTCCTTGGAGGACCGGCATTAGCCCCGCAATAGGTGGTCAACAGACTGACTCGACATCGAAGGACGCTGAGGGAGCCTGGCATCATGAAGTCTGCGAGGCGCTGAGAGCGCTGAGACAGCGCGCTCGGCAGTGCTCTGCTCGGCAGCAGCTCAGCGTCGCCAGCGGTAGATTCTTCTTTGCATCCGATCGTCGGTGTACGAGTGGACGGGGGAATGCTGTGAAGTATTATGCGTAGATGCAGTTGTGACCGTAGGCCCCACGCTGCCCGCTTCTATCCGTTCATGCTAGAACAATCAGCCTTCCGTTGTAGTCGCCACATAGGAGCCATTCTACAAGATACTTGCATGCAGCTGGATGGTCGCGCAGTTCTACGCGATTGTTGTCTCGGTGAGCGAGAGCCCTAGTACAGTGTGGCGCGCCCCGACCGGTCCATTCCACTCGGCGCTACTCGGTCGTGCACCTAGTGTGCTTGAGAGCAGAGATCTCGTGTACTGTGTTCGACATATGCGCTCACCGCTCCTGAACCCTGGCGAGGTTTATATAAATGCGTGCTACGGAGTCTTCCTCTTCTCTCCGTGCTGAATGGGGAACTCTGGCCCATAGTCAAGGAAGAGCTCTGTCCCGCGTGCAATGCTCTTCTCTATCAACGACGACTCAGCATCTCAGCCTCACGGCAGTGACCAATGCTCGCATCCACTCACTCGCGAATATGCCGATCCTCTGCTCTCCGTGTACGAACAAGACTAGCGAGTGGTATGATCAACTTTGGCAATGATTGAGAGGGCACCGAGAACCTACTCATCACTTCTAAGTTCGCCTTCCTATAAGGAGCGTGGTTGATGTACCTCGCAGGATTGCCCGCGTACGTGCTGTCCACGGATATCTGGGTATTCAGTCCGAAGACATAGCTGCGCCCGATATGTTCCGCCAATTGACTACATAGGAGCCGTGTTCAGTACCAGAGAGCCGTCGAGGAGGGCAGTAATCGTACCTGCGACATTGGAAGGTCGGCTCGTAGATGAGCTCTCCCACATACTCTATTGTTAGGTTGAGCACTCAGGGATGATTCTCGCAAAAACGGCAGGTGACGTACCAGCAACGAGGTCTCCTTCCTTGACGTCCTCGTCTAGGAAGAGACCGAGACCATGGTCGCTTTGCCTGACCGAAACGCTCTAGGAGCGTGTTATTCGACGGTGCGATAGCAATACCGATTTAACTCGCGTACCTTGGACAGACACTGCTGGATCTGCAAGTTTCTGCAGGACTTGCGACACGGAGAGCACACCTCAGGGTCGCACTCCCTCCGCGCTTTCCGGCACGGACAGAGGTCCGTGGAGCACGCAGGGATCACCTTGTCTTTCTTGTGCTTCTTGTAGCTCTTCACGACTAAGCTGGGACAGTGGCAGCCTTTCCATCTCCTCGCACCTATGATGTGCCCTTCAATGGAGAAAAAGGGGTGGAACGAGCGGCCATGCTAGACGACACTTACAAGTTTTCGCACATCGACAAGCACTTGCGCAATGCGCGTTGTTCAGGCTGCACGCACATCCCGTATCTGGACTGCATGGACCGGTATGAGCGCATGGCGCGTTGCTGTGAAAAGCGTGTCAGCGCAGGCTGGGCGTGGCCCGGGAATCTGTCGTAGGATCCACTTACGGAACGAAGTTGGGAGCGGTCTCGTCCCCTGAAATATACATAAGCACTTGCGATAGCCATCCAGCTGGAGAGCCAGCTCACCGAATATCGGATTGAGCATCTGATGATCGTCGGCTCCATCGTCCTCAACCGCAGTGCGAATGAACTTGCTACACAACACTGCAACCTGGTATGGCTGTCAGTTCGCATACGGGGGAAACGGGCATGGAATCCAGTAGGACCTCGCGACAGGGCTTGCGACATAACCGAGCCAGCGCACACGGAGTCGTTGGCGGAGCTGCATAGCATATCACTTGTAGCTCGCCAAGTTCTTCGTCCGTCCAGCGGATCTCGTCCTAGCATCGCTGTCAATACGCTTCCACTGACACCATCACTACGACCGACCTCATGATTCGTGGGGCCGTTCATTTGACACTCCGGACTACACGGCAGTGCGTTGGAGAGGAGTTTGAACTGCTCTTCCCCAGAAGAGCGAGGCTGGCGGAGGTCGATCTCAAACTGTTCAGAAGCTAGAATTCGCAACCATCAATCCATCGCATTGTCCGTCCTGATGCACGCTCACCATGAGATAGGCAGTTCGCTTCCATGCAGTCGACGTGCGGACACCACAACGTCATGTAGTCCTGCAGTCTTACCCGAAGATCATGCCGCGGTGGGGGCGACAGATCTGGGAGCGGTGGGTACAAGGATCTCGACGACCTGTGCCACGGCATGGGATCACTTGTGGGAGTCAGGGCGCAAACCCGCAAAGCCAATGATAAGTGTGTAGCAGTACCTCATTCTTCCGGTCCAGATGGCACCCCACACGGACGTCGTCCGCAACTCGAGAGGCAGGATCCCGGTGGCGTCGATATGCTCGATGGACACACCGCGCTGAAAGTGCACGCGCCGCGCCGTCTCGAGCACGATCTCAAGGACTGATTGACCATGCACATCAGTACAAGTAGGAAGAATCGGAGAGTCCGCGTACCGTCCGAGTCGCGGTAGGCTTCCTGCCATGCTAACCCTTTGTGGTCGTAAACGTACTCGGTGGGGTCGAACGTTGGATCGTCGGCGAACGGAATAAACGGCAGATAATTTGGATCGTCTCCATGGAGTATGTTGCGGGACGCCGGAGTGCAAGACTCGTACGGTGGATATGGTGTGAGCGTCATTGTTATTGTCGTTGTATCCGCATCTACGATCGCTGTGTGGAGCTGAATACTTTCGTTTACTGTGTAGCGAGTGAACGATGTTTCCGAGTCAGTGATAGACATATTTCTCGTGGGTATCCCGTCTTCGGCAGGGTGGTTGGGGTCCGTCAGGTCCGAATCCGATATGGAGTGTACCGCCGGAAGGCCCATGTTGGCACGAAGTGAAGTAAGCTTCCGGGAGCAGTACGTGGGCTCCCATGCGTAGTAGTCATACCAGACCTCTCTAAAAGTTTCTTTTACTACAGACGGAGTTTTGCGTGTCATTAGAAGTCAGCTTCGAGAGCTCTTATGACCTCCTCCGGTAGTATGAAGCAGGACTCTATATGCGCGAGAACATGGTTAATTAGTGTTTCCCAATCAGTGGTTGCGCTCACATCTTCTTGAACCCTTTGGGAGGACTTGGTGTATAGACGAGCATCGGGGGGAGAAGCGGTCCGGGCAGACGTGTTCCAGCGCTTCCGCTGGCCAGGTTGAGCCGGAGCTTTGGCGTTGTTTGTATCCCGGTCGAAACGCACTGGTTTCGACGTGGGTTCAATCCGAACCTCTGGTATCGCTGCGCTGCATCACTCTTACCTCTCTTGTATATGCTAGTCACAGCCTAGGGACGTTCTTGTGAGCATCCGGCAACTCAACTACATACAATTGAGTGAGACGTGGCCAATTTCCCATTTGATACCAATGGATGCATGCTAGGAGGTAGTAAGTACATATATATGCGCTAGCGATCTTCCGAGAAATGAGGCGTGTTCAATCCTTGTCGCTCGCTCATTTCCTCGCGCGCCTACCGGGCGTCTGCCTACCTGGATTCAAGGTCAGATCAAGCGCCTGTAGCACAGCGAGCAGAGGTGCGCAGGCAGCGGGTGCAACACGACCGCATGAGCGTCGCGAGCTGGGACTGAGGAGCGACGCGAAAGCTTAACGATTTGAAAGATAGAGAGCTCCATGACTCGAGACGCGGAGTCGTCCCGCAAGGTTTTGAGTCCAATTGCCATCAGGCTTACAGTGGCAACCCCAGGTGGCCAGTGAACCGTGTCGTGCCGAATCTGGTTCCGATTTGGGCGCATTGTGTACAATTATTCTCGGTCAACAAGTCTATCACGACTGCCGACGTCTCCATCCACTTTCTGGACAGATTTTCTGGGCATAACAAACCTAGCATAGTAGGACGAAAACGTCGATCTCGCTGCACCGCTGCCTGTGCGGCGTGCTACAGGCGCTTGATCTGACCTTGAATCCAGGTAGGCAGACGCCCGGTAGGCGCGCGAGGAAATGAGCGAGCGACAAGAATTGAACACGCCTATGGCTGCCACCCTAGCCGGCGCTCGCGAGAGTGGCAAAGACGTGCAAACAAAAGGACACGCGCGAAACACTCCAACTCGATACGCAAACAACTAGCACTGTGCTGGGAGATTGGCCGTGGCCGGCTCCACAGGCAACCAAGACGCTTGCATCGAGGACAGCGTCTGCGCGCGCATGTCAACCGTGGGTGCAGCTTGATCATAGGTAAACGATTGTACAGTCAAATCTCAGCTGAACTTTCCCTCTACCTACAGTCTAGCTTCTGTGCGTGGCGATGTGCTCCTTGTTCTCGCCCCAAAGCTTTGACCGTGCAATTGGTTTCCTACTCAACGACCCGCCAACCCTCGAGGCTAATTGTGCACTCGTCTGCTGCCGCCGTGTGGTCGCTTCCATCGCGTCTATTCCGTCACTCTCCACTTCTCTTCCTCGGAATGCTCCTCCCGTTGCTCACAATTCCTCGCTCTCCTTCACGGAGACCCGTCTCTAGTGCGATACGTCCGTTCTCTCAGGCTCGACGGGAACAAAGGCGAGGGTCGTTTGGTGTACGAAGTAGCCACGATATTGCATGTGCCCACCCTTCGATCTATGTGCCTCTAGGGACTGGAACTCACATCCTTGACGGAGGCTGTCCCCGTCGTCTGTTTACTGCCGCTCCTCGACGAGCTCACTCTAGACGCGCTCAGCACCATATCACGTTTGTCCCGTCCTTGTAAGCCCTCACTTGCCGACAGCGGGCCACGGCTCTATGCGTCTCCCGCGCTCAAGGCGCTTCATCTGACATCAGACAGGGGGGATGAGTTCGACTTCGAGGACCACGATCGCGCGGCTTTGGCCCGCGCTCTCCTTGAGGCAAGTGTACTCCACCCGGAATCGCTTAACTTGATAGGGCCGCTCAATTCTTGAGGACGCAGGACGCAGGACGCGTTCAGAGGCCATTGATGGAGGTGATGGACTAAGCGAGACTAGCCGACAAGCTCGCCTTCGAAACCCCTCGAGCGACGATGACACTCCTTCCCCCTCACAAAGTGCCTCGAGGGTAGTGTCAATCGACGCGGAAAGCTTTCGTCCTCAACATACTTGCGATTCACACTTTTCTGCGAGGTTTGGGACACGACAGACCCCTTGGAAAACAACGGGCACGAGAAATGAGGTTGGTACCTTGCCATATGCGGCAGGTTCGGCTAGCCCATCACATCCATCAAATGAGCTCTGAGTGCGTCCTGCGTCCTGCGTCCTCAAGAATTGAGCGGCCCTGATGAAGTTCCTGTCCTGCGCAAGGGCATGCGCGGCGTCGCCGCCATTCCTTCCGAAGCTCGACTTTACACTCGATCACTGTGCCTGTGCCGTGAGCTTCTGTGCCTCAGGATCTAGTCGTACGTCCCCCGTCTTTGCATGGCCTACGCTGTCGCTCACGTCTCCACAATGTGCACCCAGGTACGATGTCGCCCGCTTCCTCATGCGCTTCGCAGACGCCCCGCAATCCCAGGCATTCATCACTAATACGGTGATGGATGCATCTTCGAGCACCGTCGACCGAACGTGAGACAACAATTGGATAATCTAGCTGCCATGCGGTCGTGATCTCGATAGAGCGGAGCGAGGTGTATCGTGATGTCCCTGATACGTGACCATCGGGTTTCAGCGCAAAACGACCCCTGACGGAATATGGCTGGGTACTTACCGGAAACGTTCCCGGAGATGATAGCCACGTCGATAAAGGTGAGTTAATTGTGCAGTCCTTTGCATGCGCCTTGAACTTTTGGACTTCCGCAGTTCATGAGAAGTTCGTCCAGCTCGCTCTCGGTTCCCCAACTCCGTCAAAAATTGCGACAAGCGTTGGCGAATTCATAGATGCTTAAGACAAACATCCCGTTTACATGGGACGTCCACTTGGCACCCGTACCGGTCCCCCAGTCGTAATATACGTGGGTGCCTTTGCACGTTTGCGAGACAAGCTTGCATCACTCGACGACCGCAAAGCAATGCAAGATGCAAGACGTTCCGCTTCCCGAGCCATCCATCCTCAGGACAATCACAGATCTCTTCATCGAGTCATGCAAGCTGTATCCTACAGAGGCGGACCGCAAGAATGCTGTTCCTCCCCTCCTCGAAAAGCTGCTAGACGTCAACTCCTCGCGTCGCCACCCCATATCTCCTGGCGAGAAGCTGGCTGAGTTTGACGCTGTTAACACCATTGATGTAGATGGTGCAGTTCAGGCGTATACACTTATCGTCGAGGTGAAGAACGAGCTAGGTATATCTGGCGCCAGTGGCGTCCAGTGTGCTTTTATCTACGAACAGGCTGTCTCCCTTCCTAGAGCGCGTACTTCTGATCATGAATATTGGACAGGGAAACTGAGTACGTCTTCAGTATCAACTAATCTGCAACCCTCCGTGCTGCCCCAGCATCCTCCTTGCAGTGGCTGGCCCCTACCTTTGCTTCTATGGCGCTATTCTCGCAGACACCTTCGTCGTCCAGCCTTTCACGGACTACATCTACCTTGGTGGGGACCCTAACCCGGACGCACGTATCGTCCATACGGCCAGGCGCTTCTTAGCATTCAGAGAGGCCATTCGCGAAGCGAGATCATATTTCAGGGGCCTACATCAGGACATTCCTGGGCCCCCGCGAGCCGCACGTCTTCCCTGTCCGACGTATACCACCAGCTCTGACGCCATCCGAAACTTGCGTTTTCAATGATCGTTTCCGTTACGAGGGACTCCGCAACGATGACCAAGACCACGTCGACCGTTCGCTCTTCTCCGCGGAGCTCAACGACGAAGCTGTCCTCGTCAAGTTCTGCACGCGGTACGGTGCGGACGCCCATCGCTATCTCGCGGGCAGAAATCTCGCTCCTGTACTGCGTCACTGCATCAAGCTTGTAGGACAGGTGACCATGGTGGTCATGGACGTCGTAGAGGATGCAGCGAGTGCGTACTACAAGTACATCAATCGCGACTTGCCGAAAAGTCTGGTGGATAAGGTCGAGGAGGTGGTGAAGGCTCTCCACGACGAGGGATATGTTCACGGGGACATACACCGACCAAATATCATGGTGCGGGAAGGCGATACGCTGAGCGTAATGCTTATGGACTTCGATTGGGCCGGAAAAGCTGGAAAGACGCACTATCCGGTTAGTCTCAATCTCTCCGGCAACATTGCTTGGGCGACAGGTACAGAAGCGGGGGGTCTCATTGTTATGGGCCATGACGACCACATGGTTGAGATGCTCCGCAAAGGTGGCAAATGATGATCTTCGGTTTGTTTCCTTCGACTAGCTGTGGTCTTAAGCTTCTACCGGATGACGGCAAGCTTAGAAGGGAAAGGTCCGGATGCACGAGTGGGTACGGGGACCGTGGGGACAACAATGGACTTTTCGGGTCGTGAACAATGCTGCTTGCAATTTCTACGTTTGCGACAGTATAATCTAAGTAGTAGTCCACTAAGGACTTGTGAAGGGTCATACGGCAACATTTCATCTCGGGCTTGAACGTCTGAACCGCTGGGGCTGGACGAGGAGAGTGGCGGACGGGGACTGCAAACCTGGGCTTAGACGCTGATCGCGCGCTCGCACAGAGCACAACTTCCAGCGTCCGCCTAACCCTCGTTCGTCTCGTCTTCATCTATTTTCTCGCCGTCTTTTCTCCTCCTGCAGATCCATGTCGCTACTTAGCCACTATTTACATGACTCTTTCTGGTTGCGCGTCTTGCATGAGCGACAAGATTTGAGCCTCAACAGTCACTCAGTCGGATCGCATTCTTTCTCAGCCTTCTTTCCACCTGCCTTTCCTCCACCAATCTCCACGGTATCCGTCTTTCGGAGAGTCAAGATGCGCCCGTGGAAAGCTGCCGTCAGATGGCATTAAACACATTCATGTTATGTCTTGGTAGGACATAACAAGTCAAGGACCAATAGACCACGGGGGGTACCAGACCGCAGCTCGACGTCGCTCTTCAGGTTTCAATCTCCATCTGGCCTCCGCCCTGGGTTCTTCGGCAGCTTTATTCATCTTCCCCCCGCCCTCCTCAAATGAGAATATCTCTGCGATGCCGTACCACAAATTGGAGGCCCGGAGAGGCGGGGCGCAAGTCTTGTTGTGCGCACAGCTGGTCCTCCGCATTCTTGGGCGCTCCGCTCTCGCCGCTGTCAGGCTCCTAGTCGTACCTCAGCTCGTCTTCCTGCTTGTCGTGAGCAAGATGTTCGTGCATCTGGAAGGGGTCTTGCAACCTGACTTTCCGAAGGGATGAACAGCATGAATCACGTTCCTTATCACTCATTAGGCGGCTGATGGATAGTTAGAGGATTGCTCTTGAGACGGAAGAATGCGGATATCATCAGGAGTGCGTGGGCAGAGGGAGCAGGTCCGGAATGCGGGCAATAGGGTGTGTAGCCCGTTTTGCTTATGGTACTGTTATTGACTTTGTCTGACTGATCCATCCCACCATTTGCTGCTCCAACGTGCGGAAACCTCTATCGACCTCGCAACCGGGACCCTCAAGATCATATGATGGTACATACTTCTCTTGCCCGGATCCTTACCTCGCGCACATCCTTCCATTCAAGTGAATGCAATCCCCCCAGGGTCTGTCCCTTGCCCTGCTGCTTCCGGAGCCCGGCAGCATGAGGTTACGGTAGATCGCTAGGTGGCGCCGGGCCGGCGTGTAGCGGTTATGAATTCATCAAGTTGGACAAACTGGACTAGTGTCAACCACTTGGACTCCGCGTCCGTGAGTCCGTACTGCCTTCTCAATTCATGAGCGCAACGATGCACATGGTGTCCTTGTATGCGACCATGTACTTCTCTCGCGGTGGCTTACTTTCTACACGTTCGCAATAGCTATGGAATGTTCCAGCGAATGGGCCGACAACTCTCTGCGCCACGCGGAACTGGAGAACGACTCTGATGAGCGTCGGACTGGATGCCATGGGGGTCATGTGTCCATCTCCTTCTCCGCGCAGCGCTTCGGATCCGGCGCGCGCCACCAAGCGAGATCGCTGCATTGTTCCTGGAATGCGGCGGCAAGTGGAGAGAGGGATCGGCGTGTTTAGATTAAGCTGGAAGAGTGCGAGATCCAAATCTGAGCAGATGTTCCTGCACTGATTTACCAAGAGCCAGCGGTCTTCCTCGTCTGCTCGACCCGGTCCGAAAAACAGCGGTCTGCCCTTTCTTTGCGCCACGCTCGGAGCTTTCGGCCTTCGGAGGACTTTTGGCTGGATCTTGCACCCTCACACTGTACGATTCTTATAGGAAACAATGAACCCAGTGCATGATGGCAAGTCTTCTCCATCTGTATTCTAGTCGTTTCACCGTCTCTGTGGGTTTTGGCACGGTGCTATCGGTAGTTATCTGTCTCTAGCGGGGACGAACCGCGAGCGTCCGACCGGGCGACGCGCCCTGGCCCCTGGCAGCAGTTCCAGCCGACGCTCCGCGACGCCTCCATGACCGTGCGCTCCCGCCCTAGTACATGTTCGGCAAAAGCAGGGCTGAAGTGCATGCACGGACCCTAACATGCTGAACAAGCCCAAGCCTTGGGACCACTCTCCTGTCTGTCGGCGGTCGCTCACGCCAAGGACTCTAGCGACAAGCGTCGAAGCTAGCATGGTTGACGACGGGCCGGGGGCGGGCCGGGAACCTGGATGATCTCAGGTACGGGGTCATTGATGGGCTGCCCCGCAAACGACTGAGCGGCCCGTGGGGTCGCCTAGCTCAAACCCCGCACATAAAATCCCCCGCACTGCACCGGGCAGCTCTTGGGACACCCTGCGCCGTCCTTCTCCTCCCCGCCGCCTTCCTTCTCCCCCACCGCGCGCATTCACCATGGCCATCCAGGGCACCTTCCACAACATCCGGGTCTACTGTGAGCCTCCTCGCTCGTCCTCGTCGAAGTCCGACGTTGGCTGATTGACATCGCAGGGCTCGCGTTCGTCGTGTATTGGGGCATCGTCCTCTTCGGTTATGACACGTCAGTCCTTTCCACACCGCTCGAGGGTTGCCTGTACTGACGAGTGCGGCCGATAGCGGTATCGGCGGTGGCGTGGTCTCCATGAACTACTTCAAGGAACACTTCGGCCTCATGAACCCGGACGGGACGCCAAACAAAAAGAAGGCCAACGACGTTTCTTCCAACGTTGTCTCAGTGCTCCAGGCCGGTGCATTCTTCGGGGCGTTGGGTAGTGCGCCCATCTCAGGTGAGCGCATACATTTGGCTCTCTCGAATGGCTCCTTGGGAGTCGAATTTGGTGGCCGGGTCTGCGTCCTTGGTAGTCTCCCTCTGGAAGCAGCCCTACCACTATGAAATATTGCTGTTGATAGGCACGTCTGCGTGCTTGCTCATGGCAGGACCCCGGGTAGCATATAATCTATGCCCCTCGATCGCCATCTGAATAGCGGCGATTGAATTGAGCACTTGCCTTCAGAACTCAAGACTTCAGGCTTCCGTCACGCACAGACACTAATACGTAATCCTCAGCCGCGATTGGTAGGAGATGGACACTGTTCGCGTTCACCCTCGTCTTCAGCCTCGGTGCAGTAAGTCTTCCCCTCCTGCGCGGAGACTGGTATCAGAGCTGACTCTGGGCCGATGTAGATTCTGCAAACCGTCGCTGGTGGCTCGCGCGGCCTGGGATACATTTACGCAGGACGTGTTATTGCAGGTATCGGCATTGGCGCCATCTCCGCCGTCGCGCCCGCGTTCGTGTCCGAGTGCTGCCCCAAGGACGTCCGCGGGCGTATTACCGGCCTGTTCCAGATCATGGTCGCCGTCGGCGTCATGCTCTCGTACTTCATCAACCGTACGTCTCTGTGCTCCCTCACAGCTCCGTGTAATTTCTCACATACTGTCTCGTTTCGTATGGCTACGCAGTGGGCGTCGGGCTGCACATCAAGACGGGACCCAACGTCTGGCGGATCCCCTTCGGGCTGCAGCTCGCGCCCGCTGGGATCATGGCATTCGGACTGCTCACCTTGAAGGAGTCTCCACGGTGGCTCGCGTCAAAGGGCCGCATCGACGAAGCCATCACTAACCTCGCCTACCTCCGCAAGCAGGATGTCGACGACGAGGAGGTGCGCGCCGAGATGGCAGAGATCGAGGCCGCGATCCAGGAGGAGCGCGAGGCGCGCAAGGGTTTGGGCTTGCGCGAGGCGTTTTTCGGGAAGGGCAACTTCATTCGGTTCGTTATCGCGGTCGTGATCTTCATCCTGCAGCAGTGGGGCGGCCAGAACTCGGTCAACTACTACGCGCCGCAGATCTTCAGCTCTGTGCGTACCTTCCCTCTCCATTTACCTCAATTTGTTTGTATTGGCAGAGGACGTCCGCTGATACGGTTGGGGCGACAGATCGGATACACGGGCACGTCGAACTCGCTGCTCGCGTCGGGCATCTACGGCATCGTGAAGGTCGTCGCGACGGCGCTCTTCGTGTTCCTCCTCGTCGACTCGCTCGGGCGCAAGCTGTCGCTCTTCATCTCCTCCATGGGCATGGGCATCCTCTTCTTCATCATCGGCGCGCTGCTCAAGACGTACCCACCGCCCGCGCACGCCGTCAATCCGCCCTCGGCGAGCAAGGCGATGGCCGCGATGCTGTACCTCTACGTGTGCTTCTACAGCATGGGCTGGGGCCCGCTCCCGTGGGTGTACGTGTCGGACATCTTCCCGACGCGGACGCGGCATTACGGGCTGGCGACCGCTTCCGCCTCGCAGTGGCTTTTCAGTGAGTTTGTCTTTGGTTCTGTCTTGGGCTCTACCGTTGGTCGTATTCGCTACTCGGCGTTCAGCGCTGACTGCTCCCGCTTTGTTGTCACAATGCAGACTTCGTGCTGTCGAAGGTGACGCCGACCCTCGTGAGCGACCTCGGATACAAGATTTTCCTGATGTTCGCGACGATCAACATCGGCGCCATGGCCACCTTCGCTCTGTGCGTGTTTGCTCTCTCCCTCCGCCGCTTTCCGCAGCTGACTGGTGTGTGCGCATTCTAGACTCATCCCTGAGACGAAAGGCCGCTCGCTGGAGGAGATGGACATCATCTTCGGCTCGGTCTCCGCAGACCAGCGGCAAGCAGACATCTCGAAGCGGGAGCAAGGTGAGCGCTCGTATGCTCTTGTAAGTGGAAGCATCGCTGACAGGCTGCCCCTCCGTATTTTCAGCACTCGAGCACGAAAAGAACGAGACGAGGTCGGAGCGGTCGGTCGACAACAAGGTCTGACGCCTGCGCTCGTACATTCCACTCGGGTCCTTGTCCTGCTCCGTGTCTGTCGCATTGTATTGTAGTGATTGCTGCCATGCGCTAGTTCCATATCCCTTACGCATATACGATCTCCACCCTCGTGCGCCCCTCCCTTCCCCCCGCTGTGGGCTAGGGTAGGCACGTCCATCCCAACACGTAATGACCGTTACTGTTCTCCCTGTCATGCTCTGACGACTGCACGCGCGTTCCATGGACGGCACACTCCGTGTCTTCTGTAGTTTGTTTGTCTGTACTTTGTTACGGTTGTTGTATATTAGTGGTTTCGACTCTCAAGATGTCGCCTAGCGTGCACAATGGGACTTCGATCCTAACCGCTGACATAGTGGATATATGCAGATTCTTGCTCGAATCTCTGCTCGACATTGCTAATGTAAAAATCGCAGATGACTGCAATTTGATACCAGCTTCACGTCGGCCCTTACATTCTACGCGCGGAGAGATGAGAGAATCGAATGGGGTTATCCGAGAATCTGATGCGTTTTTCAAGCTCCATCTCGCCCATGAAAGAGAACTAAACCGGGCTCGCCCCATCAAAGCGCCACCTTTGGGGTCAGACATGCCGGAGTCAGAGAATTCAATGGAGAAAGATTGACCCTAGGAGGTGTGGGACTGAGGTAGACGGTAGAGTACTGTGGTTATTGGTGGTTACAGGCTATCAAGGAGGCGGGCTGGGCAGAACCTGGTGTCAGGCCAGGAGGGGTCCCGATTGGATCTAGGGTCAGGTTGTTATCTAATCTTTTAGATTCTCGATCGACAAGATCAATAATTATACTAAGGTTGGCCCAACGAAGATTCGACACCTCCCGTCACGCCTGTCACACTGTCCGTGTCCCGCCCCTCCACTGCGATTTCGGGGTATCGGCTGGTATAAAATTGAGCTATAGGCTCTGTGGTACCATACATGCCGCCTATCCAAGTTTTTTCCTCAATGCAGAGGGAGGGGAAAGCAGCGAGGGACCTCGCAAGCTCACGTGATAATCACGTGATGGGGTCGAATCTTCGTTGGGCCAACCTTACCCGCCCGAGTCAGATCGAAAACTTGGGGTGCCTCAGAAGTGCCTCTCGTCCTCCTCCGCCCACTTGAAGCCATGGCCCCCCTCACCCACCCGTCAATTAAGGGTATGTGTGCACGCCAGTTTTTCAGAGACATATGGCCTGACGTCCTGGGTCTCCTCAGATGGCTGGTTCCGCGAGATCTCCTCCCAGTGGCCGGGCCAGGCCATGACCCTTAAGGTCAACAAAATTCTCCACGTCGAAAAGTCTCTCTACCAAGACGTGCTTGTCTTCGAGTCCGCCACCTACGGCAACGTTCTCATCCTCGATGGTGTCATCCAGTGCACCGAGCGCGACGAATTCTCGTACGTCCCTGTCCTGACTCTCTGCAGATCGATCGTGAAAGCCTATTGACATGGATACAACAGGTACCAGGAGATGATCGCCCACATTCCTTTGGCAAGCCACCCAGATCCGAAGAAGGTCCTTGTCATTGGCGGCGGCGACGGCGGCGTCGTGCGCGAGGTCCTCAAGCATGACTCCGTCCAGGAGGTCGTCTTGTGCGACATTGATGAGGTACGTTCGTATCATCTTATATTCGAAGACGCGCAATGTCTACAGCACGCTCAACCATTCTCAGGCCGTCATCCGCGTGTCCAAGCAGTACCTCCCCCACATGTCCGCCCTCCTCAACGACCCCCGTGTGACCGTCTTTGTCGGCGACGGCTTCAAGTTCCTCGCCGACAACACGTCCACCTACGACGTCATCATCACCGACTCCTCCGACCCCGTCGGCCCCGCCGCGTCCCTCTTCCAAAAGCCCTACTTTGAGCTCCTTCGCGACGCCCTCACTCCGGGCGGGCACATCTCCACACAGGGCGAGTGCCTCTGGATCCACCTTGACCTCATCCAGGACCTCCTTAAGACGACCCGCTCGCTCTTCCCTGTTGCAGAGTACGCGTACACGACCATCCCAACCTACCCTTCCGGGCAGATCGGCTTCATGGTCGCGTCCAAGGAGGCGGGGCGCGACCTGTCAAAGCCCCTCCGTGAGGTGCCAGGCACGCGCTACTATAACGCCGAGGTCCATAGGGCCGCGTTCGTCCTCCCCGAGTTCGGACGGGCGCTGCTCAAGGAGGGCAAGGATGTGCGCCCCAAGTTTGGTGCGAGTGCGTTCACGGGCACGCCGTCAAAGAAGGTCCTTCTTCTCGGAAGTGGCGCCGTCGCGCGTCCTTGCGCCGAGTACGTCGTGCGCAACCCGAACAACGCGCTCACTATCGGTGAGTTCTAGCGCTCATTGGTCTTGCGAGACGTCTGACACTGCGACAGCCTGCCGCACTCTGAAGAGCGCAGAGGCGCTCGCTGCCGACCTCCCGAATACGACTGCGCGCTCGCTCGACGCCGGGTCCGAGGACCCCGCGAAGCACGCCGCGCTCGAGCAGGCCATCGCGGACGCGGACCTCGTCATCTCGCTCGTGCCGTACACGTACCATGTGAACGTGATCAAGGCCGCAATCAAGGGTAAGACGAACGTCGTGACGACGAGCTACATCTCCCCTGGCATCCGCGCACTCGAGGATGAGATTAAGCAGGCGGGGATTGTGGTCATGAACGAGATTGGCCTTGACCCGGGCGTGGACCACCTGTATGCGGTTAAGACTATCGACGAGGTGCACGCCAAGGGCGGAAAGGTCAGTAGCCCGCTCCCTTGTGCCTCGGCCGTTACGTGCTCACCAGTATTCATACCGAACAGATCAAGGAGTTCCACTCGTACTGCGGCGGCCTCCCCGCGCCCGAGTGCTCCGGGAACCCGCTCGGTTACAAGTTCTCCTGGTCCCCGCGCGGGGGCCTCCTCGCTCTCCTGAACGACGCGTCGTACCTCGCGCGTGGGCAGCAGGTCGACGTCCCGGGCAAGGACCTCATGAGCGTCGCAAAGCCGTACTTCATCACGCCCGCATTCGCGTTCGTCGCGTACCCGAACCGGAACTCGGTGCCGTTCCGCGAGTTCTACGCGATCCCGGAGGCGGAGACGGTCGTGCGCGGCACGCTGCGCTACCAGGGCTTCCCGGAGTTTGTGCGCGCACTGAAGGCGCTGGGGTGGCTGGACCTGGAGAGGAAGGAGTGGCTGAAGGAGGGGCTGACGTGGGCGGAGGTCTTCCAGCGTGCGATCGGCGCTCAGGACGCGAATGAGAGGTACGCACATTACAAGGATCGCCCGCGGACGTTCGTACGTCCTTGTGTGGGCCTCATGCTAACGTCGTGTCTTGCACGCACAGCACGCTCGTCGCGCGCGTGAGGGAGATCTGCGCGTTCCCCGACGAGGGCGAGGCGCACCGGATCGTCTCCGGCCTGCGCTGGATCGGGCTCTTCTCGCAAGAGAAGGCGACGGTGCGCGACGGGAACTTGCTTGACACGCTCTGCGCTCAGCTGGAGACGCTCATGGCGTACGAGCCCGGCGAGCGCGACCTCGTCATACTCCAGCACAAGTTCATCGTCGAGTGGGCGGATGGCAAGACGGTACGTTTGTGCTCTCTTTTCGCTTGACTTCAGTCTTTCGGGGTTGTGCAGGCGGGCTGACTGGGATTGATACTTGTAGGACACAATCACCTCGACACTCGAGGCGTACGGGAACCCGTCGGGCCACTCCGCGATGGCGCTGTACGTTGGGGTCCCGTGCGGCATCGCTGTGCAGCTCGTGCTAGATGGCAAGATCAACACCCCTGGGGTGCTCGCGCCGTACTCGAAGGAGATCTGCGACCCCATCCGCGAGATCCTTGAGGCGCAGGGGATGGGCCTCGTCGAAAAGGTCTTGTGAGTCGCAAAATTTATGACTTAAGGTCCGAGATATAGTTTCGAAGTGGGGTGAGTCGGGAGAAGGAAAACGGGTGCGCCGTAGATTGTACTATTCCTGCTTTGCTTTGTATCACAATACTGAAGACGCCCTAATTATAACAAAGGGGTGTGACACCGTGACATAAAAATTGGCCCTATGGCAGGTACTCTAACAAATTTTGGCTTTCAAAAGCCCAGTAAATGGTGCATCTATAAAGGTTGTAGATGGTCACAGGCAAAACAGGCATATTCAGCCCATTCACAAGCTATTTGAACCTGATTTGAGAGGGGTCAGATGGAGAAACAGCGCCTGTGACTCGGTCGGGGACATAACAAATATTGGGGTCATCTATGACGTGACATCGAAACCAGCCAACACAACAAAGCCTGGCCGTGATGTGACACTTTGTTATAATTAGGGCGGCTTCAGTAGATCATAGGACAAATTGACAATCTCTAATCGGCCCGGTACCAGGCGTCACGTGGCGATGCTCCGATTTGGAAGGTGTTTGATTCATGGTTCGGGTTTGTTCGTGACGCCAACGTTGAACCCCAGTGAGAACGTGCATGGTTTCAATCGATTTGGGGCGTGCGAGATGGTGTTCAGCTGTCAATACTCGTGCCGTGTCGATTTCGGTCGGACGGGCGTATTTGAGCGCCCATTTGACGTGTCTGATTTAGCTCTAACGTTGCGAGATCGGACGGGCATCTCTCTAAGGACATGACGTCTACGATTGTCTCTAGCTGTGGCTCTGTTATGTACAAGCTAGCTTGAGTCTGTCTCTAGGACCGTGTGACTTCTCCTCGCTGTGCAAGAAGATCTAGGCTGCTTGCTCTAGGGGCTTTCCCTTCGTCATGCCGCTAAGCCAGGCATCAGCAAGCCTATTGTTTGGCGACTTCAAGGGTTTGCCTCCCCTGCTCATTCAAGCTGGTGAAGCTGAGGTACTCCGGGACGAGATCACATTTCTGATGCACAAAGCATCACTAGCCGGAGTAGAAGCATGGTACGAGTTGTACGAAGACATAGGAAGCCGGCATAATTGCAGCGCGTTCACACTAGTGCCCTCAACACGACACTTTTGCTCTGTATGGGGAATTGTCCCGCAATTCCGGCTCAGGGACCAGTTCTATCACCAACATGTACAGTACTACAGGGGCCAGAGACGCGAAGTCTGTTCTCTGGCAGTGGGAACCTGCCCTTAACACACAATGACGTCATTGTGGTGGACTTGCTGCTTGCACAGGTGCCTGCTGTCTTTCTCTCCGTCCCCTCCTCTTGTCCTGCTTGCCCGACAGCCAGTTCGACGCACACACTCCTTTACAACGTCAGGAAGGTACGTTGAAGTCTGCCGCAGCTAACAACGTGCGTCTGGTGGTCGAGAGCTTGTGTACAAGGTGAGACATCGTGCATGGTGTCGCTGCTGCAATACCAACCCAGGTGAGCTATATCACGTATATGCAACACCCTTGGAGGTATGTGTCATTTAAGTGTCCCGTCGTATGCACCTGCACTATAAGTATGTGAAGACTTCCACCACAGAGGCGACACTTACCTTTCCAGCTCATCCTTCCGAGATCTGCCTGGTGCGCGCAGCTGTTCGAGGTGAGAATTGGTTTCATGCCTCGCAACGGCGTACGTGCATGCTGAAACATCCTAGTATAGCTCTCCCCTCTCGTTCCCCGACACTTCGACTTGAACACTTCCGCTCCTTCGCCGCCTCGTCTCTACATCATCCCCCGGTCTGGCTATCCGCGTCCGACAGCTCACGAGCTCCGGTTCAAGCTCGTGATGCATACCCGCCAGCGAGGTAGCCCTGCCATGACAAATGTGGCACGCCTACCTAGGGAAAGTG